GACGCAGAGACCGAAACTGGTGATGTAATCGGCTGTCAACAACTCGGATGAAATTTCAGCCCGCCGCCCGCGAAAATGTTGTCCTTAGCAACGGCGTTGCTATGGACGGCGGAGTGATACGCTCTGCAAAGAAAACTCGTTCGAAAAGCGTTCGATTCAGTACGTGGCTTTCCGGCTTGTGAAAGGTGTGCAGTATGATTTAGTTAATTGAGTAATATGCTTAGCCTAATGAAAAAATTACTGTATAACATGAGGCTGATGAACATGTTTTGTATGATTCAATATTGCTACATTTATCAAATTGAATATACGTACAGGTATGTATGGAGAAAGTGGGCTCCTTTGTATTTATAAATTGTGAGAAATGTAAATTTCTCAGCTGATTCCTTCAGAGCTCAATTAGTACCAAGTATAGATAAAGTCTCTTGGTATTATTAAATATTTAGGGCCACATCAATTTAATTTGTTGGTTCATGGATTCGCCCGCTTCATTTTTTTTCTGATTTAAAAAAGAAAGGTTCTGGTTCAGAATGAACTGAAAAATGCTCATATTTTGCAGTTGAACCGTTGAAGACAGTCCATTTTTCCCCAGTTGTTACAGTTTTTCCATTCATCAATGCAGTCTTTTCATTAAAAGTTCTAATTCATTGTAATTTTAAACCAGCCTGGTATGTTGCTTTGACTTCATGGCTCCTATCATAGCATTTGGGGCTAGCAATGATAGGATGCCTAGGCCTGTTTTTTTTTTCTCCCTGTCACTTCATATTTTTTCTGAAAAAATATGAGCACCAACAAATTAAATAGGTGTGGCCTAAAGAATGCAGTTGTATCAAATATGGTTACTCAAGATGGGCCAGCTTTGGATCTAGCAATGAAGTACAATTAATAGAAGAAGCACAGTCACGTACATGTTAAAGCCATAGCAAGTAATTTTTATGGATGACATCAGCACTCACATCAATTTTTGCCTGATTTTGGGGAAAAAAACAAGAACTTCTGTTGCCCTCTGACTGTGGTCAACATGCCAAAAATGGACAAAGTTGTCTGTTGCTACATGTATGCCAGATGGTGGATGGCAGATAACTATGAAGATAGGAGACAAGACAAGGCTCTGATTTAATGTTTTGTTTCTTACTTTTAATGCAATGATATGTGATGCTGGCTGTGTATATATGATGTTCCCACTGAATCAAAACCATTTGTACAATGATTGAGTCAAAATTTGAAAATGTAGGAACCTTGTTTTTTTTGGCCTGCCTTGTTTTTTTCGCCCGCTCGCATTAGATTTGGAGTCTGCGGATGATGTCATCCATAGAATTTACTTGCCATGGCCTAATCTGTAGTTACTGTAACACTAGGTGAAACTAATAATTTCTTCCAAAAGAGATGTCCACTATAATTAATTTTTCAGGTGGTCATTCTAGCTCAATCTGCGACCGACCGTAGTTTGCAAAAGGCAACCCGGGAAAACAAATGACAGTTGGGTCAGTGATAAGTGTAGACTGGGCCAGGTCTGGGTTAGGTCATACATTATTCTCAGGAAGTGCCATAAATAGGTCACAGAGTTCATGTAAAATAGCCTACATCGTAAAATCTTATTGGCCCCCGTGGATGACCCATAGAGGTATGTAACTGTAAGGCCACACCAATTGAATTTCTTGGTTAACGGATTTTTGTAGAAAAATAATGGAGCGGGCGGGCGATAAAAAAATAAAAATAAAAACAGGCCTAGGCATCCTATTATGGCCCAAAATGGTATGATAGGAGTCATGAAGGCAACACACCAGGCTGGTTCAAAATGTAAACAATGAATTTTGAAGTTTTAATGATACCATTGCATTGAAAGATGGAATAACTGTAACAACTAGGATGAAAAGGACTGTTTTCAACTGTTCAGGGCAAAATATGAGCATTTTGCAGTTGATTCTAAATTTTTATTTTTATTTGCAAATCAGAAAAAAATTAAGCGGGCGAATCCGTTAACCAAGAAATTAAATTGGTGTGGCCTAAACTTGATAACTTGTTTCCTTTTTTCAAATTTCATTTCTGCAAGAAATCAAATGCGAAGTTAGTTACAAAATGTATATAAGGCCTTGGAAAAAATGTTGTGTATCCTGTTTCCTGACCGACTCTAGAAAAAAAACGCCGACCCTAAGCCTTTTTTTTTGTGTCGACCCCTGCAAGGAACGAGCTGATCCACCTTTTCTAACTACATTATCTGACACTTGTGTGATGAAATGTTGTACATATGGTTTTACAACATTATTGATACTTTTGAAGTTGGACCACTACCAGAGAAGTAAAAAAATTCTAAGAAAAAAAGACACTGTCCCTACCTACAATGTACAAATCATGTAACTGACCCTAATTTTTTTCAGGACTGAAACAGGAAAATTTTTTTGTGCTCAAAATGTCTGTTAGTCTAAGAATGGCACTCGTAGCTATTGAACTTGCAACTAGTTATGACCATTGTTAAGAATTCATTTCCTGTATAATGATATAATTATGCTTATTGCCATCATATCTTATTTAAAGTGACTATATCTAATTCCAAGATTGACACAGATTTTCACAAACTAGTGATAAATTGTCACTGGGTGAAGAATGTCAGAAAAAAAGTAGCCTGATTTGTGACAATAGTCAAATAATAATAATAAAAAGTATCAGTGCATGACGCCATAATGGGCTATTTCACGGTACTTGGCCCAACTGAACGACATTTTGAACCTCCGAAATTACAATCTTAAGATGACTCAATAAAGAAATTTAGGTCAGAACAATTCCCAGCTGTAAAAATACATCAATCTTCAACTGGACACCATTGTTTGTTCATTTATCTAACATGAAAAATATCTATGTTGCCCCCTTATCAGTGACATGCACCATAGGCCATGTCAATATAGCCAGACATTCAAATTACTTTAAGAAACTTGCAGCCTAGGAAAAAAAATGTTGTGTTTCCTGAAAAAATTAGGGTTGGTAGGTAGGGATTGTCTTTTTTTATTAGACTTTAGAGCAATTTCTAGTAATCAAAATTGTACAATTATGACAGTTTGACAAATTTAATTGAAACTTGGCAATGCATGAGGGCACTCATACTTTCAATGTCAAAATTGAAAAACTGATTATACAACGTTTTATCACTCAGGTGTCAGATAATGGAACTAGAAAAGGTTGGTCAGCTCAAAAAATTTATGTCCTTGCAGAAGTCCACCAAAAAAAGCCTTTGGTCATTATTTTTTGTCTAGCTTTGGTTGGGAAACAGGAAACACAACATTTTTTTCCTAGGCCTATAACGAAAATGCTGATACACTTTTTTTATCAACACAGCTGCATTAGAAGCTGACTTGACATAAATCGTTTAGGTCGTGGAAAATTCACTTACCCCAGAATTGTACCGCCATGCTAATTTTGACCCGGAAACCACAAAATCAGATATAATGTGCCTCTGGGGAAAACAGTGATTTAGTAACTGTCACATAAGAGGCCATGGTCACAAACTGTTTTCTTGACAAGTAAGTGTAGCATTGGGATGCTCTGGGCTTATGGAATTTGTACTCTTGAGGTTTCTAAGCTTTTAGAAAATAGTTCTGTTAACAGTTACAAAATCCATTTAAGTTTGCTGGGAATTAATTTTGCAGGAGGGGAAAAGGAGGCTAGCTAGAGGCTAACACTAGTCTAGTGGTGGAAACGTAGTGTGTTAACTTAGTAAACTGAATACATATTAGGCCTAGGGAAAAAAAGTTGTGTTTCCTGTTTCTGAATCAGTCCTTTTTTTTCTTTTTCTGTTTAGACTTTGGTAATCTCTAGTGATTCAGCTTATACAATACAGCTGTAAAACTTGCATGAGGACACTTATAGTTTCAATGTCAATGTACGTTGGAAGTGTCAGATCATGGCCCAGGAGCAAGAAATGGTCAATCAGCTCGAAAAATGTATGTTCCTTCCAAGGGTCCACACAAAAAAGACTAGGGTGGGCAGTTTTTTTATACTTATAGGGTCAGTCGGGAAATAGGAAACACAAATTTCTTTTTTCCCTTTGTTTTAGCAGCATGATGATTTTGTAGTGTGGAGCAGTCACCGTGAAAACTGGAAACACAGAACCAACACAGATACATGTATTTCTAAATTTATAGTTTTGTAGTTTTCTGTAGTTAGATCAGAAATAACGTGGAGAATCAACCAGATAACTTAAGATGCAGTTAGATAGGGGTAACTATATGAACAAAGCATGATGCATCAGGTAAAATTCATTACATACATGTAGCAAGGAGGCATACATGTACATTGTGTACAGTGTATGTCAGCAGAGTCTGCATTGGTTGGAATGCCTTTCAGCACTATGGACAGACCAGTCAAAATGGTTCTTCCTTATACATGTAGGCACACATGATCATGATACAGGACTCAGCACAATGGACTGACCAATCAAAATGGTTCTTCCTTATTATTATAGGCACACTATCATGATTATGACACAGGACTCAGCAAAATGGACAGACCAATCAAAATGGTTCTTCCTTAGGCACATGATCATGACACAGGATTGGTTTCTTTCTATTTTGATTGATTCATCAGCAAAACTCTAAATTATCTAGGAAGAAATAAGAAGCATAAAACTGATGGTAAAATCAATGGATAATTTTTTTACATCTGACATCATGATTGATCAGGTTTGCATACAGTATGCTCTGTTCTCCTACTATAAAATATGTAACATGATGTAACCCAACACCAGTTACCATGGTGAGAGACAGTCTGGTTCAGTCAGGTCAGAGGTCCCTGTTTGGAGAAGAAGAAGAAACTGAGCAAAAACAATAAATATGTTTTCCTTTGATAAAGTTTTAACATAAAAATTCAATTCTCTTATTTCCTTTCATAATTCATTTTGAATATGTTCTGTGGCTTTGTTTTCCAAACTGTTTTCTTTATCTAGACTAGTATAAGATGATATTAGACTAACCAAGTGCCTATTGTTTGTTGTTCTTTGTCCTTTCCAGTACACAGCATGGAACTTCATCCCCAAGAATCTCTTCGAGCAGTTCAGAAGAATAGCAAACTTTTACTTTCTGTGTGTAGGAATCATCCAGGTTAGTCTACGTTCTCAATACTTTCACTTGGAGTTTTACCAGTACATATTATATTGTACTGATACAGCATTAAAGATAATACATTGTGTAGATACAATTACTAAACATACAATTTTGTCAAATGTACATTGTACAGTATGTACTAGTGAGATAATATACCAAAAGTCACACCAATGCATTCTCCTTATAAGTTTGGTCTTAGGCATTTAAGATTAAGATTAAAAAACAAAAGGAAAACTAGAAACTTTAAGGTAGCATTTGAAAAGCAAATGCATAGGTTTACCTTCGCATATGGTCTGCTCTGTTAATTCTTGCTCAAACACATATATATGGTCAGATAGGAGTAAATCCTTCCTGCTATAAAATTGCATCATGATGTAACCCAACACCAGTTACATGTACCATGGTGATAGACGTCTGGTTCAGGTCATTCACCTTTTTGGTTTGGAGAAGAAGAAGAAGAAACAGAGAAAAAACAATATGTCTTCTAGTGATTAACATAATAAAGAACTGGAAAGGAAACTTAAGTCGGACCACATTCACTCCTTGAATCAAGGAACACCATCATCAATCCAGCCCTCAGACCTTGCATTATTTTTTCAAACCTGAGAGAACCAACAAATTGGATTGGTGTTGCCAATATTGCAAGTTTGTGTCCTTGAGGACATTGTCCAAAGCAAAAAAAAAGGCGAGTGTGTTTTTGCTTGATTAGCTTTGAATGGTGTCCAGGGCTGTTATGTCCAAAGCAGGGAATGTCTTCTTATTTGCTGTAAGCTCTTGTTCATCTACAGATAAGACTGTTACAACAGCTTTTACTGCAGGTCCAGTAAATTGAAATCCGTGTTATTGAGATCTGGAGCCTCCATACTCATAGATTTTCTGTCTGAGTTTGTTGGAATCCTTTGTTGTAGTCTGCCAATTCACAAAGAAACACAGCATTGCAGGGAAGTAAAATAGAGGGACATCTGGCAGAAGAATAGCATGTTTAACAGGAAAAAGTGGGAATGGTTGACTGTTTGATACTATCTTTGGTTCTGGAAAGAAATTATCTTGTCAACCTTGAAAAAGTTTGACCCTTGTCTCAAAAATACATTTTAGAGGACAGACGTGAGTGTGTAAACTGATTTTGTAGCTGTGTCTGTATCATACAAGGAGTAAAATACCTTAAGTTTTAGCATAACCAACCAGATATATATGTACAAATTTAGTCTAAGAGTTGATTGTGGGTACAATATTAATGTTTCTGGGTACCAGAACGACCTAGCAAAAACCTGCTGGCCCTTATTTTGGTCGACTGCTGGCAAAGCAATAGAATTTTTATAAAATCTGTAAGTGATAAAAGATATTGTATTGCAACATGATGTTGCAATAGAGTTTTCAGTCACTCACTCACTGCACGGCTTAGCGTCCGTTGTTCCCCGTCATGCAAGGGTTGGACGTTTTACATTTTGGTATCCTTGTTTTCTTGAAATATATTGAAATCACTGTAACAGTAACTGTTGTAAATCTAAAATATACAAGCTGAATTGTCATTGGTTGAATGTTGTAAATTTAAAATATACAATCTGAAACGTCATTGGTTGAATGTTGTAAATTTAAAATATACAATCTGAAACGTCATTGGTTGAATGTTGTAAATTTCAAATGTACAAGCTAAAATGTCATTGGTTAAATGTTGTAAAATTTAATTTCAAATGTACAAGCTGAAACGTGGTTGGTTGATCTTGCAGCTGTCGCTAGGAGATGACACGCCTGTCAGCCCTGTCACCAGCATCATGCCACTGGTGTTTGTGGTTTTTGTTACAGCAATCAAACAGGTGGGACTTTTCTCAGTCTTACTTCATTAGTTTTAATTGTTTTAACTGTTCAACACTTGACAACAGTATTTTTAGATTAAAAGACCCTACCAGTTTGAAAATCCTATCTTGAAAGTTCATCTGTATTATGAAGCAAGTTTAAACTGCAATATCCAACAAATATTTTTTATTTAGTCTTCTGTTGATTTTGTTGTATTATTTTAGTGGACTCCAGGAAGACTAGTGATTGTATTCACTCATGGAGATCTCAACAAACCAAAACCAACATGGATTTTCAAACTATGAAACAAGTTTGAACTGCAATATCCAACAGAAAGAAATTAGACTCACCCAAATTTTCGACTGTACAACTCCAGTCTTTGTCAAAGAATGAGCAATCCACCGCTTCCATGACGTCACGCAGATAACACACACGTGACTCTGTGAGCAGTTCAGGGCATTACAACCATCCCTCAACAGAGACGGGGGGCGCCACAGACTTTCTGCAACCTATGATCCACTGCTCGAGGAGTCACGTGTGTTACCTGCATGACATCACAGAAGTGGTGGATTGCTTATTCCTTGACAAAGACTGGAGTTGTACAGTCAAAAATTTGGTTGAGTCCAATTTCTTGTGTTGGATATTGCAGTTCAAACTTGTTTCATAGTTTGAAAATCCGTTTTGGTTTTGGTTTGTTGAGATCTCCATGAGTGAATACAATTATTGGTCTACCTGGAGTCCACTAAAATAATACAAAATATAACAACAGAATCAAAAGAAGACTAAGATAAACTGAACTCAAAATTACACTGTTGTAATAATCAAAATCTGATGATATACAACAAGTTTTAGCTCAAACTTTGAAAGTTGTTGCTGAATCGACACTATTCCCATAGATTGAATGGATGTGCTTCCATCTGTTTTATTCATTTCTGTTGCTTTCAACTTTCAATGTTATGGAGATACTTGACTTCAGCGTACATTTTCTTTACTGCGATTCACAAATGCATGACTTGTCTGTATGTACATGTAGATCTGCATTGATCAAACAGTAAAAACCTATAGCTACTTGATCATAAACAGTACCATTATTGCAGACATGCTTAATGATATCTTGAATGAAATTCAATGATTCAATAACAAACTTAGGAATTTAACCACTAAGAACAGTAGCCACAGGCTGAATTACATGTATACTTATGTTACATTTTATTGTTTTTGGTACTAAAAAAACTTTTTTTTCTCTTAAAATTGCTTTAAATTTTTTTCGGTATCAAATGACCCAAATTAATACTTTCTTATGACAGGAGAATAAAAGTAAAATGAATAGGGCTTAGTTTGTCATGAAGCTAACAATTTTCAAATCTTGACCCACTAAAATTCTATTATTTTCCTGTATTTTGAGGGGCACATTTTGCTGATAGACTAAGCTTAGCCTGGTTAGCCTCTTCATATATCCTTAAAGTAAGCAGATTCTTGTCCATCAAAGATTATTGCAATTGTGCATCAAAGCAAACTTTTCATTATGAGTAGAAAAATTACATCAAATGATGGAAAGACGGGTGCTGGCTAGAACACTTGGTGTACAAAATGTAAAGTGAATCATTCATTAAATAATTGTTTATTGCAAATTCTTGCCCAAGGGCTAATTGCAGGAACAGAAGAAACATATGGTATAAAAATTTTAGTACATATAGAACCACTGATAACTACTAAGAAACTACTAGTAAAAGCTACTGGGTTTGACTTCATTTGACTGCAGGGCTATGAAGACTGGCTGAGACACAAGGCCGACAATGAAGTGAACAAGAGTCCTGTACACGTGATACGGCAGGATGAGCTTGTTGAGATCATGTCACAAGATATTAGGGTAAGTCTCACCAAAACTTTTTTTTTACTAAAACTATGTGGAAGAATTTTTATTGTAAGAATCCCAGTAAAGTGCTCAGCTGCACATCAGATATTGGGCATCACAAAAGAGTTACATGCACACACGAATGAATGAATGAACTCTATTGATTGACAGTTTTACATGGTATGGCATCATGTATGGCAACAATGACAATGTGATCAATACAGGAAGTCTATTCTAAGAAACTATTACTACAGGAATATGAACATAATATGATCATAAATGGCATATGATCATGACATGATGTACATGTACATTAAGCATTTTTATCTATTAAAACACTTTCTTTTGTAATGCACTACATAACATATTGGCTTAGATATGGAGTTGGGGCATGACATAAGTAGATTGTAAATAGTAGAAATGTCTGTGTTTGTCTTTGGGAAAGGTTTACTAACTCTACATGTGATTATTGTGACGCTTCATCAGGCGAAGACATTTTTTTACAACCAGTGGAGCATGTTCATCATCATCGGTCGGCTGCTGCGCAGGCGACTGCAAGATCCCTCTACTGCCCCTTGTCGCAAGCAAGGTTGGCGATCTGCTTCTCTGTTAGCTGATTGTGCTCATCTCCCAGTAGTTGCTGGACATACTTGAAGTAGGAGGTAGGCTGTCGGCCTCGCCTGCGTCTGCCATGAGAGGGCACGTAGAGGGCGTACAGTCTAACAGGTTCATCCTCAGGCATGCGCAGGATGTGTCCCAGAAAGTTCAGCTGTCTCAGACGCACATGCTGAATCAGCGGACTAGCTTGGGTCAAGTTAAACGTTGGAGCATGTTAAACTTTGTTAAACTCCCACAGGTAGGGGACATCGTGAAGGTCCAATCAGACGAGAGTTTTCCCTGTGACCTGGTGATGCTGTCATCAGACGACCCAGAGGGCAACTGTCACATCACAACTGCCAGCTTAGATGGCGAGACCAACCTCAAGGTACTGGATTTTTTTTATTTTTGATCTTCTTTTTTTGTTTTTTTTTATGTTTGGTCTTCTGCACCCACCCCTGTATCCATTCTTCTTTTTGTTACATTTTACATTTTTGCCAGAAAAAAATCAAGGTCGTAGCATGTCTGGGACAAAAGATACAATACCAAGGTGAGCCAACAGAAGGCCCACAATCGAACTTGACCTTTGTCTTCCTAAGGCCTACCCACATACTAAATATCATGATCACAATCCATAAAGGCATTCACCAGAAACAATACCTCCATTTTTTATGGAGGTAATTATTGTACAAAATTGTTATCACCACAAAGTACAAATGTATGCTGTAAAGGACTGAGATATCCTATATACATTTGTACATGTAATAGACTTGTACTTTATCCTTGGGGGGAAGATATACATGTAGATTCACACCTCCATATTTCATGTCGGACTCTGTGTTTGCTGTGTACATAGATCCATTCCTCTGTGCCAGACACGGCACACTACAACACTATACCAGAGCTGAAGGGCCTGTATGCATCCGTCGAGTGTCAGGAACCAGAGCCAGATCTCTACAGGTAAGAGATTCAAAACTTTTTACAAATAGCCCATTTATACATTATACCTTTCATACCAAGAAAGCCTATTGTGGAATAACATCATACAGGATATTTCATACTGTGGCAGGGCTCAGGATTAAAGGTGGTCCAATGGCCACTGGCTACTAGAATTTAGGCTAGGACAACTATAAAGACACTTTGGGACATTTTTGGGACCTGAACCAGACTGTCTATCACCATGGTAACTCGTATTGGGTTACATAATGTTGCAATTTTATAGTAGGAGGGATTGTCACCATATACAATCATGATTTGTATGTGAATGTGTTTGAGTAAGAATGAATGAAGCAGACCATATGTGAAGGTAAACATTATGCATTTGCTTTGCAAGTGTTACCTTTCTAGTTGTTACATTTTTTGTTATGTTTTGCAGATTTGTAGGCAGAATCAACATTTACAAGAGCCCCAACGAACCAGCTGCTGTGAGAACTCTTGGGCCAGAGAACATGCTGTTGAGGGGAGCCCGCCTCAAAAACACCCCCTACATCTACGGTGTGGCAGTCCACACCGGGCAGGAGACCAAGATGGCCCTCAACTCACACACCAAGCTGGGAAAGAGATCAGTCATAGAAAAGTTAGCAACCTTCTGATAAATTCTTAATATTTATGGTATATTGTGGCAGTTTTAAGAAAATATAGAAGGATGAAGTAAAGCAATATTTTTTAGATTGATTCTAAAGAGTATAGGGTCATGTGGCGCAACAGCAGAGTGCTCGACTTGGAACCAAGAGGTCCCGGGTTCGAGTCCTGACATGCCACCGATCTTGTGCCCTTGGGAAAGGCACTTTATATGACTTCCCCACTAAGTCTTGACTCAAGTGAAAATGAGTATTGTCTGTCCTGCATTTGCTTCTACGTGTGAGGCACAACACCAGCAACAGCTGTCTGTGTCCCATGTGTGTTGTACTGTTGCAATTTCAATAAATCAAATCAAATCAAAGCAAAGTCAATATCAAATAGAAATAATACAGACTTACAGGTACTATTAAGCCACTGATGATACATGGAAAATCACAATTTGGAAACAAAAAATTCCCTCACCCAGAGCTTTCGACCAGTCACTCTGGTCTTCCTCAGTAGACTGACCCAGGGAGGCTTGTCACGTGGCTTCTTTGAAGTGTGACGTCAACACTGGGTCAAAGTATCTGGTAGATGATGTCGGCCTCCGTCGGCCTCCTAATGTATATGGCTTCCTTCACCTCTCTCAAGAAGCTTCACTGGGTCAGTCTACTGAGGAAGACCAGAGTGACTGGTCGAAAGCTCTAGGTGAGAGAATTTTTTGTGTTGGACCAAAAGTTTTAACTTTAAACATCTTAATTTTGTGTTGTTTTTTGACAGGTCTATGAATACCTACCTTCTGTTTTACCTGTTTGTGTTGCTGGCTGAGACCACCCTCTGTACCGGCCTGAAATACTGGTACATCGGCCGCGTCGGCGAGCCCTGGTACGTGGGAGAGGATCCCTCGAAAAGGCCTGAAGTAAGTATTCATTATGGGAAAAGGGCTCTGCCCCTAGGGTGTTGGCAAAATCAACATCTAGTGCTGAAATGCTATACAATTGTTTAACAATACTGTAAATGGCTATTTGCAGCATTTACACTGTCATTTCTGTACAGTGAATTTATGATTATTGCAAACAAATAAGTCACCGACTTGCTTTCTTCTGGACCTGCCGCTATTGCAAACATTTTTCTCAGACTGTGAACTTTTGCTACCACAAAAATAAAGTGATTTACAGTAATCAATCAAAATTAGGACCCTGACACATTTGTTGCACAATAAGTATACATCTTGCTTATTGAAGGTATTCTTAGTAAGAGCAGTTGCAAATGTGTTGTACGAATTCAGCTGTTTTGTGATAGAAAAGTTTGCCATAGATCCCTTGACAGTCAGTTTTGTCCGCGTCATAAGCACATAAACATGCAACCACAACAACTGTATGTCCATACTATGGTATTTGAAGTGAAATAACATTATTGTGACTTGTACTAATGTTTTACGTTTTTTAACCGTGTAGTTTCTTGAAGGGTTGGTGGATTTTCTGGCTTTCCTGGTTCTATTCAACTATGTCATTCCCATCTCCCTGTATGTGACTGTGGGTATGTATTAATTTTCAACAGATCTTCAGAATTTAAATGATTTAGATATATCATTATTATTAAGTATTACACTGGCAGTACTTCTACTAAAATCCTCTAGATGTACATGTGACATTAGTCCAAAAATAGCCAAATTTTTGGGCATTAATATTAATTTAGAAGGGCATCATTAACTACATGTATCAGTTTAAATACTCATTAACTATCAGTTACTAAAATAACTAAAGGGCTCTTGTTACTTTAAATTTATTTTATGTTGATGACTAGATTCCTATATCTTCTAATCAGCAACTCAAGTAGTGTTGCTTTTTATACTGACCACTTCATGTATTCTTTATTTTAAAAGTAACTGTGAGAATACAATGTACAATGTATGTTTAACTTACTACTTGGATGTTGGATGTTGGCAATCTCTGTGCTTGATAAAGATTTTTAATAAAAAAAACTGTCTAAGTGTTGCTCATGCTCTTTTTCTTGGTATTTAGAATTCCAGAAGTTTCTGGGGTCCATTTTCATCAGCTGGGACATAGAAATGTATGATGAAGTAAGTGATGCTGTGATGTTTGTTTGTTTGTTTGTTTGTTTGTTAAGATCCAAATATGGTAACTTACATGACATAGCTTGGAAAGCAGAATGATAAAGATGTTTTTAGAATGGCCTCATGTGCCATCTTGTACAGGACTTCATGCACAATGAAAATTTTGCCTTTACTTCATCATAAAATGTTTGTACTCTTCATTACATTCACTTGGGACAAGCATGGATACACATGTCTAAAATCATGGATCAAACTTCTATGTGCTGCAATCCCTAAATGGGGATCTCTGGGGGGTTTACCGGCAATCATTCTGCCATTAAAAATCTATATTTGCCATTGACCTTGGTCTTAATGCTGGTTAACTGCCTGGGGGTCAATGTCAATGATGGAAGTGAAAAATAAATGAAGCAGTATGGATGGTGATGTAGTCTGCATGATAATAGAGTTTAGACGTGTTTTTTTTTTAATTAGAGTGATGACAAATGCTGTCAAAGAATGAATAAAAACTTTCATCTCCTTGAAGAGGGCCTGCATGGGGGGGGGGGTGTCCCCGACAACGCTCTAAGCAAAATTTTGAGAGCTGGCTACGTATTACGCTGAATTCAGGAATACTCCCCATTACGTTTTACGATAAATTCCAAGTAGCTACAATGCATTATGTAAAATCAAAACGGTGAATTACACTCTACGCAAATTATATGCTCTACGTTGCATTATAGCAGTCCATCTACGCTCTACTTAGAAATGAAAAATTATGCTCGCAGATTACACTCTATGGAAAAGGGCATGTTTGCCACCATTGAATAATGGCTAGTAACTTGTGCTTATTTTTATGTCCTTTTACAGAAGAATAACTTGAAAGCTCAAGCCAACACCTCGGATCTCAATGAAGAATTGGGTCAGGTAAGGGGATTTTGCACTTCGAGTCAACACAAAGTTTAACATTTTCTTTTTTTTTTTTTGGTGACGGCTCTGGGGCAGAACCTTTTACTACAATGTATATGCGTCCAGTTGGGAAAAATTCTAGGAATTTGCTCATTTTTTTGGTTTTTCTCATTATAACTCATGGAGCTATGGAACTTGGTAGGTGGGTAGGATTTGCTCCCTAGCTGCTTGTTATGGTACTGCAGCGGAACTTCCGGTCTTGATATCATGTGATCTGGTCATTTTAGGGTGACGATTTTGGATGGTAGATAGCTTTGTATAAACCCCAATGTCACCACAGTTTTTGAATTTTTATTGAATATATCATGCAAACATTTGGCTCTACTTTGCACCTTGCTGTTTGTATGGTGAGCGACATTTTCTTATTCGTTCTCTCTCTCCTTAGATCGAGTATGTTTTCACTGACAAGACGGGAACACTGACAGAGAATGAGATGTGTTTCCGGCAGTGTTCCATCGGCGGGACACAATTCGAGGAGTACAACGGCAGTCTGGTGCACATGAGCTCCCGAGTGCCAGTGTCTACAGCAAACATGGAGGTCAGAGGGCAAGCTGTCAATCACTACTAATTTACATAAAATAGGGTTAGATTTGACCTATCACAGATGAGGATCTTATAGAGTGTCTGTGTCTACAGCAAACATGGGGGTCAGAGGGCAAGATGTCAATCACTCCTAATTTACATAAAACATGGTTAGAGGTTTGACCTATCATACATTGTAGATGATGAGGGTAAGATGTCAATCACCCATAATTTACATATTATAGGGTTAGAGGTTTGACCAATCATAGATGAGGAGCTTAATATATATAAATATAGAGTGTCTGTGTCTACTGTAGCAAACATGGAGGTCAGAGGGCAAGCTGTCAATCACTCCTAATTTACATATAATAGGGTTAGAGGTTTGACCAATCATAGATGAGGAGCCTAATATATATAAATATAGAGTGTCTGTGTCTACAGCAAACATGGAGGTCAGAGGGCAAGATGTCAATCACTCCTAATTTACATAAAACAGGGTTAGAGGTTTGACCAATCATAGATGAGGAGCTTATAGAGTGTCTGCGTCTACAGCAAACATGGAGGTCAGAGGGCAAGATGTCAATCACTCCTAATTTACATAAAATATGGTTAGAGGTTTGACCTAGATGTCAATCACCCATAATTTACATATAATAGGGTTAGAGGTTTGACCAATCATAGATGAGGAGCTTAATATATATAAATATAGAGTGTCTGTCTACAGCAAACATGGAGGTCAGAGGGCAAGATGTCAATCACTCCTAATTTACATAAAATAGGGTTAGAGGTTTGACCAATCATAGATGAGGAGCTTAATATATATAAATATAGAGTGTCTGTCTACAGCAAACATGGAGGTCAGAGGGCAAAATGTCAATCACTCCTAATTTACATAAAACAGGGTTAGAGGTTTGACCAATCATAGATGAGGAGCCTATAGAGTAATCAAAATTCAATCAAGTTTCCATCATCATCATTTGTATTCAGTACAGTTTTGTAAGTTTAATAGACATGGCAACCTTACTACATGTAGTTTAGTATGGATCCATGGCAGTGGTTCTGTACTTAACCTTCTCCCTGCTACCTAACCCTGTAGCCATTAGAGAATCGGTAACCAAGTGACTTCTTCAGTGTGCCAAAGGTTAAACAAATCACTTAATATCTGCAGCACTTGTCCAAAGTGCTCACTTTGAGTGATTATAGTGAAAATCATGCTGGCTAGTTGTTAATAAGGCAACGTTTACAGCGTCTGCGGCATTTCATCCAACAGTGACAGATTGCGTCTGCCAACACTTTCTGTGATAAAGATTAGGCCTAGGGAAAAAAATGCTGTGTTTCTTGTTTCAGTCGTAAAAAAATTTGAATTGTAGGCCAGACCAATTTAATTTGTTTGTTCTCTTGCGATTTTTTCATAAAAAATATGAAGCGACAGGGCAAAAAAACAGGTCTAGGCATCCTATTACAGCTCCAAATGCTATGATAAAAACCATGAATTAAACACAAAAGGCTGGGTTCATATTTAAACAATGTATTTTAAATTTTTAATCAAACCAATGCATTGATAGATAAAAAACTGTAACAACTAGGAAGAAAAGGATCCGGACCTTCCTGAAGAACTGTTGGGGGCAAAATATGAGCATTTTTTAGTTGATTCAGAACCAGAATTTTTTTTTGCAAATCAGAAAAAAAATTAAAAGGCGAATCCAAGAACCAACAAATTAAATTGGTGTGGCCGTAAGTAGGGATTATCTTTTTTTTTTAGATTTCAGTGATATCGATATATATTCAACTTATATAATACAGTTTAAAACTTGCTTGAGGACACTTTATTTTCAATGCCAATGTTAGAAAACCAATTGTACAACGTTTTATCACTCAGGTGTCAGATCATGGAGCTAGAAAAGGTTGATCAGTTCGAAAAATTATTTATGTCCCCTGCAGGGGTCCACCCCCAAAAAAGTCTAAGGTTGGCAGGTTTTTTTAGGGTCGGTCCAGAAACAGGAAACACAGAATTTTTTTTCCTAAGCCTAACAGGAAATCGGTATTCACTGCACTTTTTCACAGCCAAATCTCTTGGCATACGCTCAAGAAACAGTCGGTAGTCAAGGCGTAACCTTTCTGAGATTTTTGGTCATGCCCAAAAGCTCAATATTTGCCTAGTGATAAATTGGAACACAGCCAATACAGGAGTTCTTCAATGACAGTGTTTTAATGTCAATTTTTTTTGTGATTTACAAATACTTTTGATCACTATTACAGTACCTTGACTGTTGAGTTTTTATATTCTTTCAACCTTAGGCCACACAGATTTAGTATGTTGGTTATCTGATTTGAAAAAAAAATTCTTGTTGTGAATCAACTCAAATATGCTCATATTTTGCCCCCACAGTTGAGGAAAGTCCTTTTCTTCCTAGCTGTTAAAGTTTTTTCATCTATCAATGCAGTTAGTTTGATTTAAAGTTCAAAATTCATTGTTTAAAAAATAAAAACAACTCAGCCTTTTGTGTTGATGTCATGGCTTATATAGAGCTATAATAGCATTTGGTAGCATTTGGGGCTATAACATGATGCATAGACTTCTTTTTGTTATATTTTTTCACTCTGTCGCTTCATATTTTTTCTGAAAAAATCCAAGAACCAACAAATTAAATTGGTATCGTCTTAGAAAAGGAAGTATTGAAAGAATGTGCTAACAGCAATGAATGCACATTTTTTACAATCCTGGTCTTTACACATTCTTCCATTTAGGGGCTATTAGTTTAAAGGCAATCATTAACTATCATTAAAATGTAAATTCACTATATGGGACTGGAAAGTAGGGATAAAATTACTTCCAATCAGGATACAAATTGCTCCATGACTCAAACAATAAATTTCATTGCCCCCCTGCTTTCAAATACACTTAAACCCTGTTGATTGCTCACATTTTGAAGCAATAAAAGATACCTAATGCAAGGAATTAACAGTAGTTTATGGCATGCTTTTTAAGGTAGTTGATGTCTCATATTACATGCTTTCTGCAGATCCATTCCTTAAGCTCTTTAAGTCATAAATGCTGGAAGAATATTAAATAGGAATAGGAAGATAGAAGTACTGACTGAGGATACATGAGAACTCCTGCATAATGCTTTTATTTCAACTTGAAGTGTGCAAAAGGATCAAATTTTCAGTGACCACTGTCACCTTCATCAGGGTACATCATGAGATATAACATTGTATCAACAACTTCATTTTATACAATGTTTATTGGGAATTACAGAAACACAGACAATGTACATTGGAACCCAAGCCTTATCAATGACCTCTGTATCTGGACATAACTTTAGAAATACAAGCAAACACACAAAAAAACACCCTGAAAACAAAACCTACTACACAGAAACACGGTGGTAAAATCTGGGCTGCAAAGTTCCCACATTTCATAGAATCCGAACTGTGTTCGATGGTGTTCGATCTGGGCGATTCGAATCGAACCCGCATTCCATTTCGGGGTCACCTGCGGTCATTTACAATAAAGCGGCAAAACAAGCCCTTCTGTCTGAGTGCCTCGCAACAGATAAAAAACAACACTTTTCTATAGATACAAACAGTTTCCTGGACAGTACATGTCCGCTATAATTTTTGGTGGGTATGTAACATGTAGCGAAGCTACTGTCGTATCCTTGGGTGACCTTGAATACGGTAATGATTCTTTACACCTTTATGAATAACACAATGCACACTTTCTGGCAATATGACATGTCTGCAAAACTCGTTCAAACCTGGAAACATGGAGAGTCAAACATACCCTATTTACGGCTCAAAATGACTGTCACGGTTGTCCCAAAAATCGTGTTTTAGGGATTTTTGAAAAATGGCCTCAATTTGAATTATGGGTAATTTAGTGAGAAAAATGTCAAAAAATGCAATTTTTTTCACCAATATATCGACAAAAACTAGACTTAAAATCAAAAATTAAAAAATCCCTAAAACACGATTTTTGACCTTATTCCTAGTCGTCGAAAAATATAAAAATCGAGGATCTGCGTCAATATACGTAGCCAGGTTTGAACGATGTTTGCCTAAAAACGTGACATGACTTGTGCTCGGAAACCCGAAAATAATCGTCTTTCTGAGCGAAATTTTTAAAAATCAGTGATTTAACATAAAATGCTAACATTTAAAGGATGTTAAGACGATTATTTCATTTTAATTTGACGAAATTTACCACCAAATATTATTTTTTCATTTTTGAATATTTTACGGGTAGTCTAAAACAGGCCAAAATAGCGTCTTGTAACCCGATACTTTTTAGAACGCTCCTAGCAATGGGAAAGAATGCCGTAGTGACAGACCGCCGTGGAAATAATAATTGCTTCACTCCCTTGGGGTTAGGTGAAATCTTCCCTTTCAACATTAGTTTGAAGATTTAAATCTCAAAATGTTTACACTGGTCCTGTCCCTGGTGCTGAACTTACATTCACACTGACTATCCTCCTAGTGACTTCACACTGGTCCTGTCCCTGGTGCTGAACTTACATTCACACTGACTATCCTCCTAGTGACTTCACACTGGTCCTGTCCCTGAACTTACATTCACACTGAGTATCCTCCTAGTGACTTCACACTGGTCCTGTCCCTGAACTTACATTCACACTGACTATCCTCCTAGTGACTTCACACTGGTCCTGTCCCTGAACTTCCATTCACACTGACTATCCTCCTAGTCACTTCACACTGGTCCTGGTCCTGTCCCTGAACTTACATTCACACTGACTATCCTCCTAGTGACTTCACACTGGTCCTGTCCCTGGTGCTGAACTTACATTCACACTGACTATCTATATCGCCCCAATCCCACAGGCGGCAGTTGAGGAGTTCTTGGTTGCCATAGCGCTGTGTCATACTGTCCACGTGCACAGCAACAACAGCAGTGCAAACAGCACCCCAGTCAAGGCCAACGGTGTGTCCATGGACTCAGCAGCATCATTCGAGTACCAGGCATCCTCACCTGACGAAAAGGCTCTGGTGGAAGCAGCAGACAGGTGATATGAATATTAATAAATATGATTATAAAGCAGATTAAAACTGTAATTTCCAACACAAGAAATTGGAGTCACCCACATTTTTGACTGTACAACTCTAGTCTTTGTCAACGAATTAGCAATCCACCGCTTCCGTGACGTCACGTTATGCAGTTGATACACATGACTCGGTGAGCAGTGGATCGTAAGTTGCAGAAAGACTGTGGCACCCCCATCTTTGTTGGTGGGGGGCAGCACAGACTTGAATGTATTGGAAATTACAGTCTGTGTTTGAAATTTTGAAATTACAGTTTCAAACTGCTTCATAATGACTTCTACTAAGTTAAACGAACTTTCAAGATGAGGTGATATGATTGAATGTGCATTTCTGAGACAACAGGGCTCAAAATACTTTCAGCATTAAAAATTACATGCACCAGACAATTTTACCTCCACCTACAACTCAATATCTTTGAACGTCCTCTGTAGATTTGGTATCACCTTCCTCGGACAGACAAGAATAACAGAAGGAAAGTCAGCTGGAGACTTCCTCAAGATCAGTGTACGGGGAGAAGAAAAAGAGTAAGACATATTTTATTCTTTTAAGAAATATGAAATGGATTGTTACTGTTCTTTGTAAGCCACATAATTTTTATTGTAGTACACTGTAATTTGAATGTTTGATATTTCATTGAAGAAAAATTCTTGTTTTGTTGAAAAACTGTCAAGTTTGAGTAATTAATTCCATCTGTTTGTTGGTTTTGTTCCAGATACGAGTTACTTCACATCCTTGAGTTCGACCCAACAAGAAAAAGGATGAGTGCCATCATCAAGTTGCCAAACGGTACACAATGTATAATGATTTCCACTGTCAATAGATGAAGTTTTTAAACAAGTAAAAGATACTACTATATTCATTGATTAGTCCATTTCAATTACTAATGTAAATGATCTACTTTCTGATTAATGTAAATTATAATTACATGTATAACAGCTACATTTGAAAATACGTATTTTAATGATTAATGTAGTTTAGGCATAACATTACATGTACTAGAATCTGTTCTGAACTTACCATATGAAAGTTAATCTTTTACCTGCTTCTGTGAAGAAGGCAAATGTAAAAGGTACCAATCCATTTTGAAGGATTTAATTGGTTTGTGTGCACTTGGTTTAACTGAAGCCATTATTAGCACACAAATCAGGGCAGTGCTTTTCCCACATGGTACAATTGCAAAATGCACAGTGGCTTTGGAGCCAATGAGAAATAGATTTCAAAGTTCACAATTAGACTGTCACGTTCTGTCACTTGTGCTGAATGACTATCACTCTGCTATGCTCTATCAATGGTGCTGATCACTTCACAGTTTGACTTCACCAAGAAAGTTGTCGGTGTGTTTCAGCTTGCCTTACCTGATAAAGTTGTTCTGACTATCACAGTGTAAAATTGAACCTTTCATTTTGTTTCAAATGGAATAATTAATGAAAGATTCTGATTCTGATATAATGATAGAAATGTTAGAGACAAGCACCTGATTTTTTGCTAAATCACTTTTGATGGTGGCTGATGTGTAGACTTTTAATGGTGTTGAGGATTTGTAACCTTCATAACTGATATTAGTGAATGATTCTAATGTTATCCCTTATTACAGGAAACATCAGACTGTACACCAAAGGTGCGGAGTCTGCCCTGCTACCTCTGTGTTTAAGTGGAGAACGAGACAAAACTCTGTACCATGTCAACCAGTTTGCTGAGGTAAGTTGTTGTTTTTTTGTTTCTTAACTTACATGTGTTAACTGGCTCAAGGCATAACACTCCAGTTTTGTATGCTCAGTGCATAGTAAACTAGACCTTCAGATCAGGGCTATCCAGCCTAAACCAGGGCAAAATGAAATGCTCAATGCTGATTGGTCAATATCTTAAACTCGAGCAGAGCGCCCTGCACTAGAGAGGCACAGAAAAAGGTATAAAAGGAGGAGTGGTCCGATCTCTGTCATTCTTGAGAAAGATTAATAAAGTCGAAACTGGTCGAATTCCATGCTCATCGTTGTCATTCTCCCAATGCTATGAATGACTCCAGTTTTGTATGTTTAGAACATTTAGCTTTTTGAAGTTCAGACTTATGTATAGGTGAGGAGTCGGAATTACATCTGGAACCTGCTGGGGATTCGAACCTAAAACATTTAGATTTTACTCAGTAACCCTAACAACAAAGCCACCATGCCACCACATGTGTTTAGAAGTGAATTTTTTATGTTAAACCTAGGATGTAGTGGATCATGACAACAAGACAGCATTCTACATGTAGATGTAGCAAACCAGTCAAAGCTTTTCAACTGCAACATGAGAAGATTGTTTAATTCATAACCATTGCAGCAACAGTATTACATGTACATGTATGTGACACTGTACATATTTTTCTTTAAAAAGATATCTATTGATATTTGTGGCAGCACAGGCAACAATAGCTAGTCAAAATGAATGAATGCATCTCTTTGATTATCTTAGTGTGTTATGTTTTAAGTACCTTTGTAGTGTTGGTAAAAATGATGGTTCCAGACAGCCTGGGAACATCGCCAAGTCAGAGAAGACATTTGAGGTGTTGTTGAGTGATTGTGGTGCCTGCACCTTGGTGGTGTAATTGGGATATCTCCTTAGTTTGAGGATCAGGGTTGAAAGCTCAACACTTACTGTAGACTTCGTAAATCATTCTGACAACATGTCTGTGTTAGCCAAAAACCTACATTAGGCCACAGCAAGTAATTTTTATGGATGACATCAGCGCGCGCATTAATTTTCGCCTGATGTTGGGAAAAAAATTGTTGCCTTCTTACAGTGGTCACCATGCCGAAAATGGGCAAAGATGTCTGTTGCCATGCCGGAAGGTGGATGGCAGATAACTTGTTCCTTACTTTGATGCAGTGATATGTGATGCTGGCTGTGTATATGTGATTTTCCCACTTGTACAGTGATTGAGTCAGAATTCTAAAATGTAGGAACCTTGTTTTTTGAGCCCGTCTTGTTTTTTTTGCCCGCTCGCATTAGATTTGGATTATAGGATGTCATCCATAAAATTTACTTGCTGTGGCCTTACTTCTCTGACTTCAACTTTTAGTCCTTGGAAAATAGGATGTGTCTTCTGCAGTGATTGAACGTTTTAAGCCACCAGTGGTGGTTGAATGATGTATTATGCATTGTATTAGAAATGTTTCTTTCAGTCCTAAATTTGGTTGTAGCTTTAGGTGTATGCAGAAACTGACAACCGGACTATAATGATTTAAGTATTAGTGGAAGTGACTTACTTCTTTTTACATTTGTACATTGTTTAAACTTGTTTAGACTTGTATAACCAAAGGAATATAACAAAGACCCCCATAGAGAATGGGAAGATAATTGGCCTCTGTCCTGTACTTTGCATAGATTGGGCTGCGAACACTGGTGTACTGTATAAAGGAACTGAATGAAGAACAATATGCAGACATCAAGAGCAAGATGACAGAGGCCAGGAATGCCCTGCAGGACAGGGAAGAAAAGGTAGGGGGCGTTGATTACCATCATGCTGACTGCAACATGTTGTTGGTTGAAAGAAGGTTCTCTGTGAAATGTCCTAGTTTGTAAACTCATTGTCGACTTTATTTTTTTTATTCCAATATCCTTAAGCCAAAAGGCTAATCTTTCAGGGTTCATTCGAGGAAAACATACATACATTGTACATCAAATAACATAGTAAAAACACACACATATCATGAAATTGCTTCTTGTTGTTTTTTGTGCTGAAATAAGTAACTTACTGATTTATTAATGGTTTATTGGTCAAACATTACCTGTGAAATCACAGCCTTTTATAGCTGAATTGATGCAGGGTTTACAATCATTTTACAATCACATAAGAATCAATCAATAATCACAAACAATCGCATAATACACATGATACATAATATTATAAATTATAACATATTTGCTCCACACACTTTTGTGGAACTGTCACAAGGGTCTGTGCGGCTGACATTCGGCGCCACCAGGTGACCTCATTACGACTTTCCCCAACCGAAGTTAGGTACCCATTCACACCTGGGTGGAGTGAGGAAAGTCGTGCAAAGTGCCTTTCCCAAGGGCACAACGTCGGAGCGCATATCCAAAGATGTCCTGGGTACAACTCAGGATTGAACCTGGGTCTTCCCGTTTCATAGTCAAATGCTCTACCACTACACCACCCCACACCACAAATTGGCATTTCAATTGGCTATGGCTGCAACCACGAGTTATACATTGTAAATTTACATACATTTACCCTTTGCTGTGCACCAGGTTAATGCAGTGATAACCTACATAGAGAAAGACTTCCACCTGTTGGGAGCCACTGGAGTGGAGGATAAACTACAAGATGGAGTCAGTGACACTATCGAGGCACTCAGGCTAGCAGGGGTAAAGGTGAGAGGTCACAGTTCACCCTGGAAACATAATTAGTTATTCCAGTTCTTTTTTACTCCAGTATGGTTGTCATGTACCTGTAGTTGTGATATTCTCGCAATCTATTGACAAATCCCTAAGCACCCAAAGTGAAGTATTATCAACCAAGAGTTCAAAATCTCATTCTTTCCTAGAACTATTGCAGTGTAGAACTCGCTCTCACCAAGTACAGTAGGGACATTATCATTAGGTAGCTTTAAACAATATGTTTAGATGTCAATGTTCAAGGGTTAGATATAACAAGTTGTTTGGGGTAATGTAGCCAGCTGCCACCACACCACGTACATCATGTACCTGCAAGCTGGTGTGTTATGCTGAAGGACGGTTATACTGGCTACATGTATACAGGTACAAGATACTACACAGTGTATTCCGTATCGCCTTAGGTACCAGCCTGAGCCACGGGAGGGCTGGGACCGAGGGTGATGTGGAATACACTGTGTTGTATTTTATTTATGCCATACCTATCCAAGAAAACGGACATTTCAATGCGAAATGTGGCAAAATTTGGTGTATCGAAACAAAAAGTGTAACAGCGTCAATTCCAACATCCGACTTCAGTGTTCGAAGTTTCGAAAGTGGCGCACTCGGTGTGTGCAAAACGCGTTTGAATTATTTTTAGGAACATTTGGAAGCCTGTGTGATAACCAAAGAGAACCCTGGGCTGTACCGCTAGTTAGCACATGGGCCAGAACACCTCTATCGAACATTATTGCAGCCCAAGTATGACATAAAGAAAAATATTGACTGTTTGTCCTGATGCAGGTCTGGGTCCTGACAGGAGATAAACAGGAGACAGCTGTGAACATCAGTCACTCCTGTACTCACTTCCAGCGCGGCATGAATGAACTGTACCTGGTGCAGCAGAGAACCATGCAGCAGTGTGCAGACACTATCCTGCAGCATCTCAAAAGGTGCAGCTCTTGTTTAAAGTTAAAACTTCTGGTGGTCCAACACAAAGAAACTTCTCAGTCTTCCTCAGTAGTCTGACCTAGTGAGGCTTGTCATATTGGCTTCTTTGAAGTGTGACGTCAACACTGGGTCAGATGAATCTGGTAAATGATGTCGGCCCCCGTCACGGTTGAGTGAAGGGTGATGGGCCCTGATGTAAATAGCCTCTTTCACCCCTCTCAGGAAGTAGTTTTGTTCGGTGTCCAATATTCTTACTGTGGATGCGTTGTGAGAGCTCTTTTTAATAAGTTTCAACAGAAATTTTTGTTTGTCATATTTTTTGGCTTCTGCAAAGGCATCCACTGCAATTTCTATTTTCCTGGGTGGCAAAATCGGATTTTCAAAGTTAATTATGGGGCCATTCTTTTAATGTTAGTAGTAAGTTGAATCCCATACCATACTGATAAATGCATCTGTGAGGCAAAAATGCAATCCTGAATATTGCATTGGATGCCTTTGAAAATTCATAGTGTCAAATGTAGACTGAGAAGTTTAGGATTATCTTCAAGAGGACAATTCCAGGGTTAGTATTTATTTTCTAACTTAGTGTCACCACCCTAGGACATCATCACACACAGGAGTCTATGGCAAGTACGATTATTTCTGCAACATACATGCACAATTTGTAGAATTCGAACTGATGTCCTGTAATTTAGGCTCAGTCTGACCAGTCTTAGTCAAATTTGGCACCAAGCAATTATATTATCATGATAAGAGCCAGTCCCAATGGATAGGCCAACAAATGGTAAGGCACTCTATTTTCAAAAATCTACACATACACATGGCAAGCAATAAATCCTCTTATTAGTATTTCTTTTTGTAACTTGTGTATCTTGAACCTAAAGTGATTTCTCACTGTTTGTGTTGAACTCAATGCTGTGCAGTTGGTCTTCGTTTCTGTTATTTTTTGTGATTCTCTTCTGTGCGCTAGTAGTTAATTCCTATTCTTTGTAATATAGTTGATTCCTATAATTCTTATTAACAATTGAATACAGGGCTCTCTCAATGGTCCTTCCATCCCTGGTTGAAATCGTGGTACCGAGAACAGGCACAAATAGTGCTGTGTACCAGTTCACTGGACCAGTTTCGGACTTGTAAAAATGTTTAGGTTCAAGTCAAAAGAACATAAAAGTCAAGAACCGATTCCGGACTTATTACAACAAAAAAAACATGTCACATTCCCCTTTTCTTCCCAAACCGCCTAAAACCTTCCATAGATTGCAAAATCTGTGTTGCAAAATGAAGAAAACATTGCCATCAGGCATCATCATCAATCTCCATGTTATGTAGCCAAAGTTTTGCCCAAACAACATTACAAGATTGCCAACATGCAATTTTGTATATGCCATGGGTTTAGGTCTGGACTTACGAGTCCGGAACTAAACCTACATTGTAAACCTCTGGACTTGGATCTGGATCTGGACCTGAACGTAATTGTGGGTTTTAGTAGGTACACAGCACTAGGCACAAATGTCTATCATTCTTCAACTGACAGACAAATAGTTTTGACATTTTTGTGACAAGTCGTCGTGTAACAATGCTGCAAGATTTGAACGAAGCCAAATAAAATTTACCTCCTGAAATGCAGCAAATAACATTTCCTTAGCCTTAGCCTTACAAATGTATGTCGAGTCCTGGTGTCCCTGGCCTCGAGACATTAGGGGGTCAAAACAACAGGATGGAAGAAAACAGAGAGCCCTGATCTTTGCTTCTTTACCCAGCTGTCACGGCAACTTGTGTTTGTTATTCTCAATCTTCTGTACCATTTCAGCATCTCACAGTCCAGATATCAACACAGTTCCACAGTTACTGGGAATACAAGAAGGTGACTTCCCAATAATCCACAATAGTACAGTGTGTCACTTGCTGACACTTTCTATATTAGTAGATTGGGCAGAGGACAGAACAATGCATGTGGTGTGTAGAAGTTCACAGTTTTCAGATTCTCCCCCCCCCCCCACTTGTTCATCATGCCAGCAAACAGGTCCCAGCATTGCCATCATATACAGCAATGCTCCTCATGATCAGTTATTTGTATAGCAATTCAATTTAAAAATGTCATGTGATCCTGTCTAATGCAAATTAAATATTAATACGATAAGTAATGTTGTACTTGTATACATTGTATTTCGGAAATAGGGGAGCACGTACAATGTACAATGTATGTCCTAAACTGTCCTATTGCAAAATATGCATCAGGTTTGGGTTGTTAAGAAGATTTCACCCACACAAACAGTTAAGAATGCCAGTGTGCTAAGGCCTATGGGAAAAAATGATGTGTTTCCTGTTTCAGTTCTGAAAAAAATTAAGGTCGTTAGAAATTGTCTTTTTTTAAAGCCTTTTGCGGTCTCTGGTGATCCAACTTAATATACAGTTTGACAAAATTGGAAGCAAAACTTACATGAGCATGAGAATACTATCCTTTTCAATGTCAATTTTGGAAAACCAATTGTGTACAACTTTTCATCACTCAAGTATCAGATCATGGAGCTAGAAAAGGTCCATTAGCTTGAAAAAAATTTGTCCCCTGCAGAGGTCCAAATGAAAAAAGTCTAGGGTCGGTAGTTTTTTCTAGGGTCGGTCAGGAAACACAACATTTTGTTTAAATTTACTAGACCTGATGACTGTAATCTTTTTGTGAAACAGAATCCAGGAGGACCATGTGACAACACACGCCCTGGTGGTGGATGGTATGAGCCTGGCCCACATACTGACTGATCACAGGGACCTGTTCATGGAGCTGTGTCAGAACTGCACGGCTGTGCTCTGCTGCAGGATGTCACCTCTGCAAAAGGCTGAGGTCAGTACAGGGCAGACACCACATTTGCGTTGCGCAGTAGAGGCCAAAAAATGGGAACACGATTGTAGTGCCTAGTTTGAAAATCCTTTTTTCTCTTGAAAGTTTTGGTCCATTTTGGAGATTTTGGGGCTGGAAGGCACAGGTAGGGTCTAAACTTTCCTACATTGGTCAAGTTTTGTTTATTTCACCAGTTTAGTGGGCGTAATGAGAGATGTGAGTGGTTAGGTCTTGTCTGGCCAGGCGGATGGATACCATAGAAAATTAGGTCAAAGTTGAGGTTTTGTTACTATCATCAGCTGTGGCGGGAATTTGAGCTGGTCAAACCCCTGTTTCCTTTCTATTTTTGGGAATCAGACCCTTGTTTCTACCTGGTGCAAAAAAAATTTTGAGATTGAAGTATGGGCAAGTACTTTCATGAGGACTTCAAATAGTGTATTTAAGCCATGTGTTCCTATGGACAAATCTAATAGTACTGTCTGCCCTACAGGACAGGCTAGTGGGGTTGTGTGGCATAAATGGTAGTAAGTGTGTTCAGCTAGGAACCATGAGGTCCTGGGTTCAAATCCTACAATGTCAATGATCTTGTGCCCTTGGGAAAGGCACTTTACATGGCTTTCCTCACTTCACTCAGGTGGAAATGTGTACCTAACTTTGGTTAGGGACGTCCCTCGGATAGGATGTTAAATGGAGGTCCCGTGTTTTGGGAGAGCCACACCCCACTCACGGTAAAGAACCCACTGCACTTATCGAAAAGAGTAGGGGTCCTTCCTGGTGTGAGTGGTTCAAACCTTACAGTCCAGTCTTACGCAGCCTGTACTTACATGTACAAAACTGGTGTGTTACGCATAAAGACAGTTTACCAGGTATGCGAAACATAATGGGTAATATATCAAAGTTCCAAAATTAATGCAGTTTTAGGGTGGCAAGACAAAAAGTATTCTGGATGAGATATTGACTCTGATATTGACATTTGTTGCCATTTCTTAGCACATTTGATACTTGTAGCATTATTTGAAATAGCCCCAGAACAAGCTACGTTCTCTTCATTTTTTTAGTACCTCACAGCAGAACACTGAATAAAAGTATTTCCACCACTGCCTTTCCCTGTCCACCTGCAGGTTGTGAAACTCATGAAAGCTTCTCCTGAGCACCCAATCACTCTGGCTATTGGAGACGGGGCTAACGATTGCAGCATGATCCAGGAAGCTCACGTAGGAGTAGGCATCATGGGAAAGGAGGGTCGTCAGGCGGTTCGCGCCAGTGACTTCGCCTTCGCCAGGTTTCAGTTTCTGAAGAAGTTACTGCTGGTGCATGGACACTACTACTACATCCGGCTCGCAACTCTGGTGCAGTACTTCTTCTATAAGGTAGGGGGCTACACAAAACTACAGTTACTATAACATTACTACAAGTCAGTGTGCAATGACGTTAATAACTCAAAGATATAATTGCATCAGATTCAGATGATAAATGCATTCAATTTTCATATAACTGTCTTGATTGAAAGAAAATCTTATACCTGATCACCTAATGGCCTGTAAAATGTACAAAATGTAATGTTATTGGGCCTGTTTTTGCCTAGTTGTTTATTTGATATTCCAAACTGCTTTGTTGTTGTTTTCCTTCCCAGAATGTTGCTTTCATTAGCCCCCAGCTCCTATTCCAGTTCTACAATGGGTACTCGCAAACGGTAGGTACAGTTTCAGTTACATCTATCTTTTATCAAATATTGTAACTCTTCTTTACTCCACAAATACAATGATGGGGATTATCTGACTTGTTTGTTAACAGTGTTGTAGTTTTTCAGTGCTAAAGTTTTAGAAAATTAAAGAATGAATACTTATTGTTCTAAAAGTGACTGGTCAAGAGCTCTAAGTGATCCCTTGTGTTGGAACAAAAGTTTTAACTTAAAACATGACACTACATTTTGTTCTGTGTTGTTGTTGTTTTCAGACTCTGTATGATACGGCGTTCCTGACGTTCTACAACATATTCTTCACTTCTCTACCGATCCTGTTGTACGGCCTGTTTGAACAGAACATGAAGAAAGTCGACCTTATGAAGAATCCTGAACTCTACAAGTCAGTACTGCAGTGTCAAAATAACAAATTTAATGTGTCTTTAACCTATTACTTTGTGTATTATAGCACGTTGGCAGAACGTACTGCACCTGCTCTAAACCCATAATGTATTGTGCATAGCATTTTGTCAGAACATCTCATATAAGGTCGGACAAGATATCATAAAATTATGCAATGGGAAAAAATCTGATACAACGTTCCAAGGGAAACTACATATGAAATCAGGGTTTCGTGCAGGTGCAGTACGTACGTTCTGCCGACGAGCTACTTTGTATTTCGGAAATAACATTCTTGTGTTTGTTTGCTCCATTAGACTTTTTGTATTTACATGACATTGTGTATTTTGATACTAGAAATGTCTATTGCTGTTTTGTAGGGACATTGCGAAGAACAGGAGGTTGGACATTTTCCACTTTCTGTACTGGACAATACTTGGTAAGAAATCCTTTCCAGTGTACACATGTATACATGTGTGGTTCATACCTAATATTATAGGATATGGAGGTTCAATTTCTTTTCTTTGTGTTTTTTGTTTGCTTGTAACATTCATAAAAATTCTACCTGTATGATTCACTTTACATCTTATCAAAACTTTTCCATAAAATCATTATAGTTTTTTGTCTACTTGTAATTGAAAACAAAAAAACCTTAAGCTTGTGGTTATATGAACCTATTAATATCTTTCATTCTCTCTTCTGTTTGTACCATAATAATTGTTTTTCGATTGGATAGCATTTCAGCACTAGATAAAGAGTTTTTTTTAGAACCTGACTTTGTCTTGTTCTACAGATAACATCTTGACAATACTTGGTTTACAATGTTTACACGAATATACTTTTCAGGAATCTGGCATGCGTTGGTTAACTACTATGGCCCAATGTACCTGTTCTGGGATGCACCCTCACTGATGCCTGACCAAACGGTACGTACATGTAGAACAGAATCAGTATCCTCAGCTGAAACCTGCTTTTAACTGTAAAGCTGTTGTTGGAAACACCTCAAATGTCAATATCTAACAGATTTAACGTTACTGTAAAAATTTTTTTGTCTTTTGCCACCCTGAAATATTGGATACCTATTATTAGTCTAACATTCAAGCAGATGTCATGTATACAATGTATATATATATATTTTTTTTTCATATTATATTTACTAGTTTTAATAGTCTAACTTTGTGACGGTCTTTTCCAGATGTTTGGGAACTTCGGTTTGGGGACATTCATCTTTACGGCAGTGGTGATAGTAGTCAACCTTAAGGTAAGGTTAAACTAGCCAGTACAATGAGTTAGATTTAAACAGATTGTTTCAGTTTTAAGCTCTTCTACATGACATTGTACATTGTACATTGTACATTGTACATAAAGCTCAACATTTTACTATATATGATTACTACCAACACAGATTAACATGTTAAACAATTGGATGGCATTTCAGCACTAGATGCTGATTTTTGGCAGCACCACAGGGGCGGAGCCCTTTTCCACTCACTAACAATGAGTTTTGCCTGTCTTGTTCAGATGGCAGTGGAGACTCACTACTGGACCTGGCTGAACCATTTCGCCATCTGGGGGTCCATCATTGTCTACTTTCTCTTCACATTGGTCTACAGTGCCATCATGTTGTAAGTCTTGAACCCAGCTACTTGTTGAACATTGTTTTGTATACTATGCTTAATGTATGTGGTTACCGCAATGATTAGCTTTTTTAAGTCCAATGGTAAGTTTACATATTATTAATATAATCCCTATAGATAGCAAGCTATAGATACCCCCATACACAAAATTGAGACAGATTTCTGGAATATTGGGACAGATTTCTAGAATATTCTGACACCGAAAGATAAATAGTACATATAAATAAATAAATAAATAAATAAATGGTTTATTGGCCAAACATCATCCGTGCAATTGCAGCCTTATAGTGCTGAATTGATGCAGGGTTTTACAATGGTACAATACTACAAATGGTAATAATACACATAATAATACACATAATGATACATTACATATTTGTTCCACATTTTTTTGTGGAACTGCCGCAAGGGTCTGTGCGGCTGCCATTCGGCGCCACAAGGTGACCTCAATACGACTTTCCCCAACCGAAGTGAGGTACCCATTCACACCTGGGTGCAGTGAGGAAAGTCGTGTAAAGTGCCTTTCCCAAGGGCACAACGTCGAGGCACATGGCCAGACATGTCCCGGGTACGACTCGGGATTGAACTCAGGTCTCCCGGTTGACAGTCGAATGATCTACCACTACGCCACCCGACGCCACAATATTTTATGACCATGTAGATCACACTAATTCATCTCAACTTATCAAACTTTCCAATGCATCAATACCACACAGTAGATCTTTTCTGCTCTGCATGAACTAACTGGATATTCTGTCCTGCTTCTGCTTACCTTACTTCTAAACTCTGGCCTCATCTATGCAGTCCAAGGTATGAGTTCTTCCTCTCTACCTCAGTTTTTTTCTTGCACCATTTTTGCTCCTTTATTAGTTTAAGATGAAACTTTAAGTGTTGTGTCAAAATGGATATTGTAAGAATTTCTCCTATAACTGAAATCATTGTGAAGTTGTATGTGCATGGGAAAATTCTCCGGAAAATATCTGTCTTGTCTAACATGTATCCAGATTGCAACAGGGAGTCTTATGTGTGGATAGAGAAACATAGATATTTTAAAGAATCTGATGATATATATGATATTTCAAGGAGCCATTTTGAATTTACAACATGGAGTAATCAGACATGTCATTTGATTGGTTGATTGAATTATCAGACACATCACTTGATTGGTTAAAAAGAATCATGTGATATTTTTGTGATCGGCCATTGGCATAAGATGTACAATGTCATGTGCTTTCATAGATTGACATAACAGCCTCTTTAAGCCTGTCTAAGTGCAGTAATAAGTTGTCCTATGTGCACCCAATACTGGTTACATTGTGGAGGCCGTCTACAACCTTGGACCACTGGATTAAGGGTTTGAACCTTATACTACTTAGTTGGGTGTTTGAGGCATGCTATAATTATTACAATTATTACTAAAATTTAATACAAAATGTGGTGAGTCTTGAAATCCGTGTACTACATGCATTCCATGTTTTAAAGATAACAGATTGTTAGTAGATTATCAGCGTATTACAGGTTATATCATACATGTAAGTTGTTGGATGCCCAGAGTATTCTTTTCTTTTGCCCTCCTTTGCACTAAAATCTTTCAAAATCTGTCTCCTGTGCTCATATTCACTTTTACTGATTCAGAACTTTCCAAATACAAGCCAAATACATGAATAAGTATTAGTTGCTTCATCGTATGTATTGAAATACAAACTATCATTGGTGTTCTACAATTCATTTTTTTATATTCCATAAGTTGCAGTTAAAGATATATCCATTACGTATAGCTGTGTTTAATAGCTATTGCAATATATAATTATCATATGTACATGTACATGTATACTTAACTGGGGCAAAGTGTTGTCCCCTACCTACCATTAGTTCCATATACTTAAGAATCTTCAGTTTGATTCATCCAACAAGTCACTAGCCTAAGGAAACATATTAAGATTTTTCTTCATTCCAAGTTGCTAGTGTTATACTTTAACTTACTGGTTTGTTATGACTGTATCAAATATTGTGTTTGCTTTTAACTTTAATATGTATTGATTATGTTCTGTTCTGTTGTATAGATTCAGCTCCATTGAAAACTAGCTGAAAGAACATCCAATGGTCTAAATACATTAGTTTAAGCATGAACTGTTATTAAATGACATGTTTTCTTTCTCTCTGTCCACAGTGGCTGGCCCATTGATAATGATGATATGTACTACGTGTTCCTCCAACTCCTGTCCAGTCCGACGGTGTGGCTGGCCCTCCTGGTCCTGGTCACTGCCTGTATGGTTCCGGACATCTTCATAAAGGTCATCTTCAAACACATCAGGCCAAGCAGGGTGCAACACAAGCAGGTACTTGGACATAATGCTTTTTCAAACTTTAAGCCTGTACATGGAAATTAAATTTTCCTAAAACTTTCAGTCAATGATAAAGTGCAACTGTTACACAATTTTCAGCCAATGACAAGGTGCAACACAACCAGGTACATGTACATATATATAGAAATAGAAGTTTCCTGAAACTTTCAGCCAATAGCAGGGTGCAACACATATCCAGGTATATGGAAATAAATGTTCCAAGAAAATTCAGCCAATGACAGGGTGCAACACAATCAGGTGTATGCAAATAAATGTTCCAGAAACTTTCAGCCAACAGCAGGGTGCAACAAAATCAGGTGTATGCAAATACATGTACATGTTCCTAAAACTTTCAGCCAATGGCAGGGTTCAACACAAGGAAATACAGAAAAGCTGTGCAAATACTGCACATGGTATTCCAACCAATCAAGGCCAAACATTGCCTATAGGGTGTGACACAAGGAAGTACATTTTTTGTACAAGTAAAGGTGTTCCAAAAAAACAAGCCAAATTAGACTATAAGTAAAGTGAACACAAGCAGATATATACATTTTGTACAGGTAAAGGTAATGTTCAAAGAATTTTGATATCCCTCATAATACTACCATTTAAAACAATCCATTAACCATGTCAATGTTTAGAATAGTTTTGGTCGACTCAGTAGATGTAGTCCATACCATATTTTATCATTCATTTAACAGTGATTTTTTGTTGATTTTCTCTTCTTAATCTGAATTGATCTTTATATTTTCTCTTTTGTTGTTTGTGTTGTACATTTTAGTTGGGATGGTCAGTGCAGAATGGCATTAATTTGCTGTGAATCAGTTATAATGAAAGCTTGTTTTGTTCTTATTTTCTGTCAAAATACTAAGTCTGTCGCCAAAGCATGAAAAGCCCCCTTTTTTCTACTTTTTTTTCATAGATTTGGCCCAGAATGACTCAGCTGTTTGTGTCAAGCTAACAGGTACAGTTTTTTGTGGCAAAATTTTTGTTGGCTCTGTCAACAGGGTTTGTATATAGTAGGCTTCATTTGTGTCCTAAAACTTTTCTTTCAATTTCATAACTAAACTGTACCTTAGACAAATTATAGGAACCACTAAAAAAATTATGAAATGTTTTATGTCGTAATTTGAAAACATTGTTGAACTGTTGCAACTTAGCATGCACATCTTGAACTAAATTCTATTGCAATGATTACAATTTATTCAGCTTATAAACATGCAGTTGCACTGTACAACCACCAACATGTACATGTAGCCTTGGTGCCATCCTAATAAGTTTAAATCTGCTCATGTGACAAATACTTGCTACACAACAAACCAGAATGACACTAAGGGTACCAATTTCAATGAACTGGATGAGAGACTTAAAAGAACAAATTTGAAATGATTTTTACTAAATATACAGACCCTGTGACAGAGCCCACAGTGCTTATATGCCTCTGTGATGATCTACCAATCTGCATGGCCATTCCCAGCTTACTTGCCACAAATACTTCCTCTTCCAAGGCTTGAAATACTTTTCTGTCCCTACATGTACCTGCACTGGTGCATGTGCCATTCAAAATCACCTGCACTGCATAGATTTTACCTTTTACACATTTACAGTTTTTCTGTCGATTTTTTTGCTTCACATGTTGTTATAATAACAATCAATTAAGCAAACAAAAATCTTTAAAAATTAATACACATTGTGCTTTACACTCATATACCCAGTACATTGGCCACTGCAGGTACAGCAAGATCAGAAATGCCTACACCACTCCAACTGTACCTGCATGCCCAGCATTTTAAGTTCTGATCTCTTTATTGTCTAGACAATTGTCTGTTGTCATCTTTTCTTTTTCCTGGTGGTCACAGATGTCGCCTCTTCACAGTCTGTTCTCTATAATTTATTATTCTTTTTCCTCCCTTAGAACTTCACTTGTAAGCACTAGAAGTAGAAATTCAATGTGAAGTGTTTCCTTTTTTGTTGTCACCACCAAAGTGTAGTCACAGGATATTGTCTTGTACTTTTGTTCTATATATACTTCTTTTCTCTTCCTTCCCACTTCATTACATAATGTACAAGAAAAGCAGATTTTGCATACTACCGCGTTATCTGTTTTTGTTGTCACCACCACGGTGTAGTCACAGATACATGTATTACATTCTCTTCTGTTCTTATATACTTCTTACTTCTTCCTTCCCACTTCACTTGTACAAAATAAATGTACAGTACAAGAGAAGCAGATTTTGCATACTGCTACAGCATTAATGTTTTTGTTATCACCCGGTATAGTCACAGATATTACATGTACTTCTGTTCTGTATGTACTTCTTTCTTCTTCCTTCCCACTTCACTACATAATGTACAAGAAAAGCAGATATTGCATACTACTACCGCGTTATCTGTTTTTGTTGTCACCACCATAGTGTAATCACAGATACTATGTATTTCTGTTCTGTATAATACTTCTTTCTTCTTCCTTCCAACTTCATTACGTAATGTACAAGAGAAGCAGATTTTGCATAGTGCTACATCGTTATCTGTTTTTGTTGTCACCACCACGGTGTAGTCATATTACATGTACTGTCTACCTTTCTTCCCTTTCTTCACTTGTACAAGAGAAGCAGGTTTTGCATACTGCTACCGCGTTATCTAACCGTTTTTGTTGTCACCATCGCAGGCCAGAAGGAGAAGGCATTTTGTTGGCTCCAGCGTTTCCTTTGGTGCTCACGATGAATCGCTGGCTATAATAACATAGAGGCCAAAGGTCAGAGGTCACGTAGTTCCCCAGCACAGCTTGACCCCTAGGTCATAAATTGCTAACAAAACTGTGCTGCACACCCCCGTTTTATAGTTCTGTGGTCCAGAAACATTATTCAAGGCAATGAGGGAAGGAATTAAAATAAATAGGCAATTTCTTTTAGATTTGAATTTGCTTCCCTCTTTGCTCAATGACATACTCTTAGTAAGGCCATGTTGATTTGATTATATGGATGACATCTGCGCGCGCATGAATTTTCGACCGTTTCAAAAAAAAAGTTTTCAACCACACTGTAAATCGTACAAAACAGTTGCAAAATGAGCAAATATATGCCGTAGGTTGAAAAAAAACATTGGAAAACGATACCAATGTGACAGTCGTATGCCAAAATCAAACAAAAAAGACAAAAATGTAAAGAAATGAATTTGAAGACTAGATTATTCACCAAACCATACACAGTGTCATTTGTTCAACCTTCAAAACCACGTAGGTTTCATAATGAAAGCAACTTTTTTGGGGGGGGCCCAACTTTTTTTTTGTTCGCTCGCTCGCATCAGTTTTGGGTTCCCAGAGGATGTCATCCATATAATCAAATCAACATGGCCCAAGTGTTGACATTTTTCCATGACCACAGTTAGTTTTGTTCCTGGTTGCAGTGCTTGTAGCATAAATAAAGCACCCTAACAACAACTTACAATAACTGCTGGGTTGACGTGTGCCTTTTTAACATGGGTTATTTCAATGCTGCTTTTTAATAAACCCTCCTAACAAACAAGCTGTGTTATCTGCAGAAAACTTGGATTAGGAAACTTTGCATACTTTAGCCTCAGCATCTGTCCTGATCTACACTAACTTGAATTTGACACACAGATGTGCATTCCTAGCTAGTTCTAACACATATCTTTGTTCCTAACATCCTGTCTTGCATTGCATTCACTCAATGACAAATTCCTTTTTCCAGTTGAATGCCTATGGTTGCGAGAGCCAAGTTCAATGTTATCTTGCCACTCACAAAATGAGTCAAGAAAGCCTATACGAGCGATCGCTGTTTTTGTTGACATGATGTAAATTATTTGAAGATATATGAAACTATCGATGGGCAAATAACCAACCGGCACCAGCTTTTTGCCTACCGTGACATTATGGCGATCGCTCGTATATGTACATGTAACATCTGTGTCCATAATATCACCATAGTCCATAATATCGCCACCTTGAGAAAAAGTGTGCTGAAAGATATTTTTACTGCAACATACCCTAGGTACATGTATGTACATTTGAGGTGTGCAGGAGTGCATAGTTTTTTACCAAAAGTATGTTGCAGTCAAAATATCTTAAAGCACACTGTTTCTCAACGTGGCGATATTATGGACCCCGGTGATAGGACACGGATGTTACTGCTTTTATGAAAAATTCTATTAACAATTCTGCAGCGCTGATGCATACTTAATCATTCATTACTTAAAATGTATGATATGATTACATATAAAATTTGTTGCACATGATTTCCAACTGCTATCTGTGAACAAAAAATTTTAAAAATAATTCTGAAAATAAGCACTCTTTATCATAAAATGTAACTTTTGTCTGAGTAGAGAATAATTGATTTGTAATTTTGTATGCAATGTGATTTTGAAATAGAGACATTCCAAAACAATGACATTTTTAATGTAATTAGCCAATTAGAATTTCATGGTTTGAACTATGGGCATGTAATGTGATGCATTATGGGTAATATGTCAAAGTTGAAGGTTCTTCACAAGTTAGGGGACTTCACCTTTGACCTCACACATGCACATTTCAAACTGTGAACCAGCTTATTCCAACTAAATGATGTTGTCCTTTTTTTTCCCCAATTATAGATGAAGATGAAGAACAAGTTGCAGCAGTTAAAAACCAGTATCAGTACCGTGTCGGAACAAATGCTTCTCTCGGTCCAATCGTCTCGTGCCCCGTCACGCGCAACGACACCCAACATTGAAGGCGTCCGCTACGTTACGCGGTCGGAGACGGCCGAACTTGTCACCACATTGTAAATGTGTTAATCTGGAATTTGATTATAACTGTTACAGCACAATGGGAATTTCAAACTCTTTGTCACTCAAAGAAACCATAGCAATATAAGTATTACGTTCCGTATTGTTAGAACAATTATAATTTGCAGTATTAGTATCTTGAATGCCCTTTTGAGTAATTTGATGTAAAATTGCAGTGAAAATAGCAAATTTTGGGCAATTCTAGTTTGTTTTCTTTCTCGTACAAATCATTATTAACAATTATTCATACACATCACCTGCACCTCAAATATATCTTTTTGTTTTGGATGTTTATTAATTTTTTCATATGCATACATAATGCTATATTAGGTGCATCTAAATAATCTTTATTTTATTTTATTAGTAAACAGTCGGGTTGTTTGTTGCCATTATTGATTGACTGGTGCAATTATTATATTTACTTCTTATCTACAAAAGTAGGAAAGAAACATTTAATATATGATATGTAATCAAGAGATTGTGTCCATTTTCAGACTACTTTTAAGTCCTTATGTATGTATTGTGAGATTAGAAATATGATACTTTGTATGCAGTTTTAAATTGCAAATTTCACATCAGCAGTGTTACAATTTTCTCAGTTTTCAGCATTATGGTGACCATGAGATGTAAAAGGTAAATTTTGACTTAGTCTTTAGTATTTTTCTGAAAGAAGAACAGCAAAGTGTTATCAGTCTCACTTTAACCTTCTTCCTGCCAAGGGATGTACAAATTTGTATAGGTTGCACTGCAAGCAGGAAGATGGTTAAAAACTACTTGTTGGGTGAAGGGATGGAAGGGTTTTATACTGTATGACAGCTTTTGAAATGAATGAAATCGTAAAGCAAGCGACTTACAGCTTAGAATTGTGTACACGTACCTTCAGGTTATCATATGTTTTGCACATCTTTTTTCATGCATTTTCTTATGAATTAGTCCAGTAGATTGTTTAAATATTGTTATTGTATACAGAAAGGTGCATTTCTTATTACGCTGTCATAGAATTTTGTACTGTAGGAAAAATTAGGAAACCTAGTAGGATGATATTTGAAAGAATACTGGCTTTAAAAAAGGTATCATTCATGAAGTCACAAAAAGTTTCATGATGCTTTTGGGAGAAAACAGTTACTATTTTTTTGAAGGGTAAGAGTGCTAACCTCCAACTTTTCGATAACTATCAGTCCATCTTGTTCACGGAGTGGCCTTGTCTCGCGAGAGCAAGAGACTAGGCCCGAGAGCAAGGGTAAGTATGTCTTGGGGAGCTCCCAACCTTCGGTCCAGTGCAGACCGATGCAAGTGTCGGGCCTAGTCACTAGGCCACTCCGTGAACAAGATAGACTGATAGTCATCGAAAATTTTGAGGTTAGAACTCTTACCCTTCAAAAACTTGTCACTGATGAAAGAATCTTCTAGTAACTATAACAGTTACTAAATGAATCCCTTCAACGGGAGAAAAACACTTCATGTACGAATTTAGGAAAATGATTTCATCCTCTGCAGAAGTTTAAGTGAGGAAAATGCAGCAAAAGTAGCGTGCTGTTTTGCTTTCATGATTTTGGGTAATATGATGATATCGATCAGTCTAGTTTTTTGGGACCAAAGCAGGAGATAGGGTGCAGCAATGACCTGTGTGGTCGTGAAGGGAGTTTGCAAAACAATGGGAGCAAAAATGTCTTTCCAAAGAGCTTTTTAGTAGGTGAAACTACAACCTTGTCCTTTGAGTCTAGATGGAACACGCGTTTTGATAACAGGGCAAAGATAAACATTCAAATTTGAATGTGGTTTGTGCCATTTGATTTACCACAAATATACAGACATGAGATTTGGTATACTTCTTGTTAAGGCTATTTTGCTCACTCATCTCAGCTAGCAAAGAACAAATGATTAAACCTCTTCCATATGACGAAGAATGTAAAATGTAAATGTACAGGGACAGTTTTTTAAATGTATTGTCCAAACTACCAGTATTTGAGAATTAACTGGCTATAGAGATTGACAGAGGATTTGGTGCAATTTTATCTGACATTAGCCATAATGAAGATTTCATTTAAAGATTAAAAGTCTTGGTTTCTTCTAAGCCAGCTTGCATTTTTGGGTGTATACCTAACATTTTTCCTGAGATATTTCAGCAAAACAGTCTGACTTGTTCAGTTGTGCAATGGATTGTGTGATTGGCTACTTAATAGGCACATGCATTTACATAATGCTTTGGAGAGTTGAAGCATATTATAAAATTAACATGATAGTAAATTTCTGTTTCTTCCTTTGCTTTCCAACATTGTAGAGGTCTCTACTTTCTGGTTAAACCACCAAAGTCTGTCATATACCTCCATGTTTATAGTGAAATGGTAATTACAAAGTAGCAGACAGGAAAAGGCCTATCTTTAAGCCAGTTCATGGTTTGGACTGTAAGTTTGTGAAGGCCCCATAAATTATTTGTGTAAGGCCACACCAATTTAATTTGTTATTTCTCGGATTTGCCCTGTCCATTTTTTTCTGATTTGCAAAAAAAATTTTTTTCTAAATCAACTGCAAAATGCTCACTGAAAGACATATTTTGGCTCCAATGGTTGAAGAAAGTCCTTTTCTTCCTAGTTGTTAAAGTTGTTCAAAGTAACAATGCAATTTTGTTTCATTAAAAGATCAAAATCTATTGTTTTAATTATAAACCAGCCTGGTATGTTCACTTCATGGCTCATATTGTAACATTTCCAGCTATCAGGCAGTGCACTGCATGCCTTGGCCTGTTTTTTTTTTTCTCGCCCTGTCGCTTCATATTTTTTCAGAAAAATCCAAGAAACAAGAAATTAAATTGGTGTGGCCTTAAACATGAACTGGGGTACTGACATGCCAATGTTCTCAAAGCTACATTCAGAATTTCTTTGTTCCAGAAATAAAAAGAAATAAAAGCTTTTGTAAGAGAAATAAATGTGCATGGTGCCAAGTTACTGCCAAGCAAACTTTAGGTCTTTCTTAGGCATTCTATTTCATGCTGATGGGCAATATTCTTAACAATGATTTTTCTATTAACATCAGTATTATTATACCTTCACTTCAAGCATCCATGACAGTCAACCATTTCTTACACTTTGTAACTTGTAACTAAGCATTTTGACAGCTTTATACATTAAGGAGGAAGTTCATGATTGTAACGTTACATGTTTGTTGTAGGACCAATTCAGTCTAGAGCCTTGTGTAGCCAAGTTTTCTAGTTTTATCTTGAAACTTCATCTGTGTTGGTAGAAATCATTATGAAGCAAGTTTAAACTGCAATTTTCAACACAACAAGCAAATTTGGGTGGGTCCAATTTGTTGTGTTGGAAATTGCAGTTTAAACTTGCTTCATAAGGTCTTCTAGTTGTACGTTTGCATCTATTAGTGTTAGTTGATATAACAAAATTATATTACACATTCAAGGTTTTGGTCTTCAAGTGTATACTGTATGATTTTAACATTGTGCCTTGCATGCATGGCTGTTCAGTTTATTGAGAGAAAAATCTGTATATCTACACAGAGCTTTGCCTTGTACAATGTACACTGATTGCATGAATGGTAGAAATTAGTACTGTATGTATGCAGGTATGTTCAATTAACATCACAATATAACAAGGGCATTCAAATGTCAACATTTGTTTCATAGACCACAGCAAGTAAATTTATGGGTGTCATCTTTGTATGCATTGATTTTTGCCTTATAAAAAAAACAGGACATTGCATTTCTCTCTAGTATGGTCAAATTCTGTATTTCTTAAAATTAGGAATAAAAGACTTGGTAGTTGTGATACTATATTTCTTTGTTTTAATTTCTTGTTACAAAGTTTATGGTCTATTTTAAAAATTTAGGCATCTTGTTCTTTTTTTTTACTTGCATTACATTTATAGTCATCATCATCATCATCAATAGATTTTACTTGCTGTGGCCATAACACAAAAACTCGCAACAATCCCAACAAAGAGGCCAAAAATGATATTGCAAAAATTAATAAAACCACAGCTCTACTGATACAATAAAAGAATATGATGACAGTATCAGTTATGACAGTATCTCCGTTCACAGAGATACAATCTGGTTATGAAAAAAATTGATCTTCATAAGATCCAACCAGTATCATGTAAATACAAGAAAAAAAGTTCCAACTAAAGTTGAATGAAATGTTACCTTTAACAAGTTACAACATAACAGACTGAATATTTATGCTAGATTTTGTTCTACAACTCGAGATTCTGTCACATTCCGTAAATCTTGTATGCAATTTGTGAAACTTTTTCATGATGACTTTTTCCATGGATAAACAATGTAGTTTCTTGTGTGATATGGTCCCTTTAAGTTAGCCCCCCCCGACTTAATTTTATGGATGACATCTGCGTACGCATTGATTTTCGCCTGTTCTCAAAATAAAGAAAAAGTCCTTTGAGGCTCTGGCTTGGCTCTAGGCCTGGGTAGTCCATAAAATTAAGACGGTTGCGATCCATAAAATTAAGACGGTGTGGCCTTAAGAGGCATCTAGTGATTGGTACATGCATGAAGTGTCTTCTAAAATAGAGCTTGGGCTATTGTTCAAATGCTTACATCATACTAGTACATTGTACATGTAGGCTTGTTTTTTGCAGTACACATTAAAGTGTTTTGTTCAGATCAGAAACGATGTCTTTGATGTCAGTAATGCTGTCTTCAAGTTTATTCTATGGCAAGATGCACCATATTCTTAACTGCATAGCAGTATATCTTTTATCATGATTGCATTCATATAATGTCCTGTCACAACAAATGACAATATACCAATCTAGATTAAATTTTCATGGCTAACGATATGGTATAAAAAGATGTATCAGACTGATAAAATATGTACAGCACCAATTTGTACAATTTTAAAACTTTGATAATATTACATGCAACTGTCCAGCTCATTTAAGTAGGCTTTTTTACCATTTCTTTAAGTCATTTGAACATTACAATATGCGTGAAAATTATAGAACCTATATCCACTTATGACGTTATGAGTTTAAAAAAAGCATTCTTTTTCTATATTTGTTTTCTAGTTCTTAAGTGCTGAACTACCTAATTAGTCTATAAACTCCACTTGACCATAGTACACCCATCGTGCCATTTGTCCGAAGGTCCCTCTCATGTGTTTGATGTCTTCTGGGTTGTGTTCATCACCATGGTAACTGGAAGAAACAGAAACATTTAGGCTGTCAGAATCAACTTCAGCAAGACTGTCAGAATCAACTTTAGCAATCTTTCAACCTTTAAAGGCATCCAGTGCAGTTTTTAGGGCTTGGAAACCTGATTTCTCAAAGCCAATATTCTAGTCATTTATCTACATACTGAGTTGAAACCACACTATCCCAGTGTATATTGACCCTCATGGAGCAAAAATTCGCAAAATTCTGACAGAAAAAGGTTACTGGAAGGTCCCTGGGCTGATTTTTAGGGTACCACCCAGAAAATAAAGGACTCATCTTGGGGCTTGTTTCTGCAGTTTTCCATACCCAAAGTATGAAATGTTCACTCAAATGTGCTAATGTGAAGCAGTATGTATCAATATCACAAATTGCCTTATTAAGAATAATTGTAGTTTTGCTACCCTAAAATCGCATTTGATGCCTTTAAATGGGTTCCAATGACCTTATGCAAAGTTATATAAACTAAAATGGAAAACAAAATGGAAAACAATGACTTTCATATTACTAAGTACTTGTCTAACTTTGCGAAAATCACCACCAGTGCCAATTGCTAAATGTTCAAATTTATTATTTTTTGAGCCTTGGAAATCCACGTCACGTTTCTATAGCACATGCAATAAGCATTGCTTGAATAGTGTATGTGCATTGTTAAAGTTAAAGGCTTCTGAGACATAAACAAAACACGTCTGTACTTGAAACTGTTTACAGATTATGGGCATTCATCTTTGTTCTTACCATATGCACAGTTAAAACCGTGAACCGGTAGTACTAATGTACCTGTAGATGAAATGTACTCCATAGACATGTGACCAGGGGAACAGGTGGTCCTCATTCCACATGGCCTTCATATCCCACCAGTCTTCCCACCTGGAACAAAACAATCATCGTTACGCAGCGATAATTGTACTTGTGGGCCTTCGTAGAATCATGTTTCTGTAGTACCCACGGATAAAATGTGACATTCGAAACGAATTTGATAAAAAACTTTTTTCAAATCTACTGAAACCGTCCGTTGGAAAAGACGAACACGTTTGGTTTGTGCGCCTTTTACATTTTTTAATCTAACATACTAGTAATATCGTAGATAATTGTAACATTACTACTTCTCATGGATTGTACTATAACCACAGTACAAATGTACTCTTAGCCTGGTATCCAACCTATCGTTGTTGGGACAGGCTGTCTTCGGCGGGCTCTAATACTTTCCCCCGTCCAACTCAACAGGCCGCCCGGTTGGGTTTGATTGTTACGCCTGTGATAGAGTAAAGCACTCCCGTCGTGCAAAATCTACCGGGGGACCTAACTGAGGCGGGCGGGAAAGAGCTTCAAGAGCCCCGAAGAAAACCCACCCCAACCGCGATAGACTGGATGTGCACCAGGCTAACCTACCCTGGTCGGGACAGCGTGTTGAACTCCATCAAAATCAGGTTCGGGTGTTTGAAGGCCAGGCGGAACGGTTCCATGACGGAGTGGAAGTTCCACTTGTTGTCGTCAAAGTGCTTGTAGTTCTCCCACCACACCTGGGAAGTACATTGTAGAGGTTGTGGCAATGATGTTCCTTGTAAAACCACTGTGGATCTTGCAGACCAGTCTGCTGTATTTTGAATGATGCTAAAAACTACGATGTAAGTAATTTTGGTGTCTCAAGCTGGTCTTTATCATTCAAATATCAGAGTTATCAACCAAGAATTTAGGAGTTAAAAAACTTGTAGAGTGGAACTCGCTGCCACGAAGCACAGTTGAGGCATCATCACTAGAAAGCTTTAAACAACTCATGCGATGTAATATGCAAAGATTTGGTGTAACATGTCGTTCGGTGCAACATAGCTAACTGCCGCCGCGCCGCGTGCCTGTGAAGCTGATGTGTTACGCCGATCGAAGTGCAGTTATACCGTCTATAGCGGTATAGATACAGATATGGGTTAGGTGCACGCGGATACTAAAACTCCAATTTTACCTGCACTAGCTTGTATTGCAGGTGGTATTTCCAGCCCTGGCTGTATTTGAGATGCTCTCAAGATCCTTACCTTTAAGAATGGAGCGTCCTTCTTGGACAGGATGAGGCCGTTGTTCAGACCGGCTATCTCACACCCCATGACGAAGTCAAACCGACGGAGAGGGTGGAAAGGCTTCATGGCAAACACGTCCCAGTCCACGTACACGCCGCCATACTCCTTTAGAACCTGCAAAATAACACAGACTAGAAATGGTGGATGGTGTTCAGTACTAAGGGCAGGGCGTACTTCTGTTATGTGGATGGTGTTCAGTACTAAGGACAGGCACATTTTTGTGAGGTGGATAGTTTTCAGCACTAAGGACAGGCATGTTTTCTGGGGTGGATACTGTTCAGTATTATGGACAGGCACATTCTTGTGAGGTGGACAGATTTCAGTACTGAGGACAGGCATATTTCTGTTAGGTGGATAGTGTTCAGTACTAAGGACAGGCATATTTCTGTTAGGTGGATAGTGTTCAGTACTAAGGACAGGCATATTGCTAAGTTGATAGTGTTCAGTACTAAGGACAGACATATTTCTCTCATGTGGATAGTTTTCAGTACTAAGGACAGGTATGCTGTCTGCGATGGATAGTGTTCAGTACTAAGGGCAGGCATGTTTTCTTAGGTGGATAGTGTTCAGTACTGATGTGGATTGTGTTCAATACTAAGGACAGGCATATTTCTGTAAGGTTGATAGTGATCAGTACTAAGGAAAGGCATGTTTCTGTTAGGTGGATAGTGTTCAGTACTAAGGACAGGCATGTTTCTGTTAGGTGGATAGTGTTCAGTACTAAGGACAGGCATGTTTCTGTTAGGTGGATAGCGCTCAGTACTAAGGACAGGCATGTTTCTGTTAGCTAGGTGGTGTTTAGTACTAAGGACAGGCATGTTTCTGTTAGGTGGATAGTGTTCAGTACTAAGGACAGGCATGTTTCTGTTAGGTGGATAGTGTTCAGTACTAAGGACAGGCATGTTTCTGTTAGGTGGATAGTGTTCAGTACTAAGGACAGGCATGTTTCTGTTAGCTAGGTGGTGTTTAGTGCTAAGGACAGGCATGGGCATGAGTTCAGAGGCGAGGTGGTCCATACCTCCATACGCGTGATGTCCGAGCGATGCGGCACGTTGTTGATGACGTTCCCCCAGATGTCGCTAGGCTGCCCCCTCTGCCGTACCTCCAGCACCGGGATGTCCCGGACGGCCTCGTCCCAGTTGTGCCCGCTCGGCGTGCAGTCCGTCCAGATGATGATACGGTCAGCCTGTGGGTGATTGCGACCAAACTGTCAAGCCTGAGATTGTGACGTTTCAGTCTATAAGGCCATGTTGAGTTGATTATATGGATGACATCCTCTGGGAGCCCCAAAACTGATGCGCGCGTGCGAATAAACAAAAAAGTTTTGCAACAGAAAAGTTGCTTTCATTATGAAATCTACGTGGTCATGAGGGTTGAACAAAGGGCCACTCTCTCATTGGTCGAACTGGTAATTAATATTTTCCATCTCTCATTGGTCGAACCGCTACTTGCGCTTCATTCATTGGTTGAACTTTTAATTGTGATCGACATTCGGGACTGGTCTATTCTGGAGGGGGGTGGTTTTGTCAAGATTTGACCGACCTAAACTGGCAATAACCTATCTGGAGGGATGTGTCAATAGAATGCCTTACCTTCGCGCGGAGGTACATGCTCTTCACACTCAGGAGGTGGTGGAAGCGGAAGTCATGGCAGGTGAACCAGACGTAGTGAAAGATGTTGGGGACGACGTAATGGTCATGTGGGAGGGGCTCCTCTCCTCTTAGCACCGGCTCATTCAACCTATGAACAAAAGGTTATGAAGAAGATAAAAGATGTTAAAACGCATGCCGAATGTTCGTTTGATTAATGTAGTATGAGGTTGGAGTCATAACAACCCTTATTTGGAATAATGGGTACATTACATCCTCTTCTGATGTCACGTGTTTCCGTTAGGTCACGTGTCAAACGTGAGTGGGTCAGTTTGCCCCTGAAGAAGGCCGAGATGTTAGTTGAACATTTGAAGACTTTACATTACTTGTACTGATCACTGGGAGAGCTCATATTTGTTAGGATTTATATCTTAAAAATGTGCAGTTTTGTTTGGTAGAAATTTAGCATGCCACATGTGGTGTATACTACTGTCACAGAAAGCCACAGTAGGAAGATGTACCTACCTGTAGAACAGTTTTCGCGCCATCCATCCGAAGGTGGATTCCATGCCGAGAATGTCGTACTGGTCGATTTGCTTTCCCAACTTGTCGTAGAAAAGCTGAACGGCAAAGTTGTTCTCCAAAGAGACATTTTGGGTGTAGAGAGCGTCCAGGTCACTCCAATGCGAGAGTTCAGGACGGAAAAGGCTGTACTCTTCGATACGAAGGAGATGCGGGTTTTCGTTAGCGAGGCGAAACGGCTCTTCCGAGGCGAAGACGTCCCATTTCCCCTCGCCAAACTTTCGAAAACTTTCGGTCCACAATTTGAGAAACTCCGAACCTGGCTTGGAGCAAATCACGGCGTTGCTGAGTCCGTGTATGCTTCTACCCATCGTGACGCCATAATGACGTAACGGTTCAAACGATTTCAGTCCAATGACGTCGATGTTGAGGTAGATGCCGCCTCTACTCTGTAGGATCCCTAAAGCGGTGGCGAGCTCTTGGTGATCCGGAATGGTCACGGGGACGCCATCAAGAGAGTCTGACGCGTTTTCCGGGACGATTTTGACGTTTTCTCTCTCAATGACTCTGTCCCACCACACTCCATCAAAGCTAGCGTCGGTGTGGAAGAACACTTTTCCCGCACCTACGTAGTCCCAAGCAGCCTTGACGCTGAGAAAATGCCTGAACTCAAACTTGCTGCCTCTACTAGCCCCGTCAAACCAGACAAAATGGACCTCATTTGGTACAACGGCTTCCCTGTTAGGCGATATTGGTGACCGTTGACTCTTGGCAACATCATTGGGAGATGTCAGATACACGCTTCTCGCTAGGTGGCCAAACGACGTGTCCAGTTTTGTTATGGTTTCCGGCGTCTCTTCTAGATTGTACTTGTCGTATTCTAGCTTGATGGCGTAGTTGGAGTCCAGGTCAACGTTGTTGTAGTAGATGCTAAGAGGGTCCCAACCGTCCGTCCAACGTGGTCTGTATAAACTGCTGTCTTCTACGTGTACCAAGTCCAGATGTCGCGCCACCACCGCCTCGGGAGCTTTGTAGCCGTCTTGTTCCATACTTTTCTTCCAAATCTTTAAGAATTGTGCCCCTCTCTTGGCTATGAGCACGCCAAGGTTTAGCCCTGTTGCTCCGCGGCTTACCACACAGTCGTAACGCAAGAGAGGGTCGAACGGTTTGAGCACGAAAGTGTCTGTGTCCAACATGATGCCACCTTCTCTGAGAAGGATGTCTACTTTTGCCTCAAGGTAGCTGTCCGATTTGGGTCTTCTTTCGTCTATACCTTGATCGTCGTCGTTCTTATTGTTGTCGTCAAGTGATATTTGACTGAACTGAAATGTTGGGATGTCGTTTGCTTCTTTCCACCATTTTCCATCGGGTGCTTTGACGGCGTGGAAGACAATTGCTTCCGGCTCAAGATGTTTGCGGGCGCTCTTAACACTGAGAAGGTCGTGAAACCTAAAGTCTCTGCCACCGTCCCATACAAAGTGTACGACTTTCGGCCCCTCTAGATCTGTTCCCGACTTTGCCTTGTCACCAGCTCTGTTCTGTTGTTGATCACTCTTCCTCATACTTTTCCGGCGATTTTTGACGGGTAAGTTTTCACCGTCGTCCTCATGTCTTTTATCGAAGGGTTCCTCGTCTTTTTGCCCTTCCTGTCCGTGGACAATGTTGTCTTCTTTTTCTCCATGTACTTTCATTCCCTGGCCATGACCGTGCATTTTGTGCATGACTTGTTTCTTCTCCGGAGCGCCATGCATGATTTTCTCTAGTCTTTCTGCCCGCTCTTTTTCAAGTGCCTGTATCCTTTCTTCTACTTTGACAATCGGCTTTGGGTGATCCCTTCGGTTAGTTTCTCGGTTAGAATCACGCCTGTGCTTTGCCTCCTTATCTTCCTTTCTCCCATCCTCCTCTTTCTGTACATCTTCTTTTCTTCTTGACCGTTTCTGTTCCTCCTTGTCACTAAATTCTTCTTCCTTCTCCCTCTTCACCGACGAGCTTTGTTGTAACTTTAATTTCTTTTCCTTGATTTCATCAAACCGTCTTTGTAATTGTCCGTCCGAGCCTGTGTCTTTCAGAGCAACGCCATCATTCTGAGACAGTGGGACGTCCTTGCCTGCATCTGAATGCATTTTTGCGGGCCCCCCGTTCGCGTGCTTGCCTTCCATCGCGTACTTGCCTTCCATCGCGTACGAAGGTTCCTCTATCATCGTGTTCAGGCCTCTTTTGTGAACCTCAGTTACTGTTGACGAGGCCGTTACCATGAAGTACCCTATCGGAACCAGCATCGTCAACACGGCTACGAGAACGAAGAAGTTCTTTGTGAGGAAGAACCTGAAACCAAAAGATTCGAGTGACTAAATTTCTTATCCTACCAGTTTGACGTGGAGTACCAAGTTGCAATTTACCTGTACACAACGCTTCTTTATCATTTCCTTATATTTCATATTATCGCAGTTATTATGCGTTGTAACCTTAATTCACTTTGTTATCCTTATCTACTTTTATAATGTTCTTTGTTTCGATGACGACACGAACATACGCCATAAGACATCCGCGTGAGCATGAATTTTCGGTCCGTTTCCCAAAAAAATTTTCAACCATACTATGAATCATAAAAACAATAGTTGCAAAATGAGCAAATATATACCGTGAGTTGCAAAGAAAAAAATTGAAAACGGTACCGATGTTGTAGAATGCCAAAACCAAACAAGAAAAGAAAGACGTAAATGTAAAGAAATGAATTTGAAGAATTGATAGTTTGCCATCACAACACTTAAGGGTCTTATCCAGTCTGACACTGGTCTACAAGGAGTGGAACTTTTGTCTGCTATGAAAGACAGAAAGTACCGGCGACAAAACTTCACACGCTGCACCTCAGAAGAGGATGAGTAAAGAAGAAGAAGAAGATAGTTCGCCATGCCATGTCATTTTTTTCAACCTTCATGACCACGTAGATTTCATAATTAAAGCACGGTCGCGTCCGTTTTTGCGGTTCCCAGAGGATGTCAACCATATAATCAAATCAGCATGGCCTAATAAAGAAAAAAAAGAACCTGGGGACGCGCATGTTTGCCGGGAGGATGTTGCTGAGGTCCTGTCTGTCGTACAGGATGGAGGACACCAGGATGAGCAGGACTGCGATGACGAAGGCGGTGTTGAGGATGAACTTCTCCGGGAACAGGAAGCTGCAGACCGCGGCGGTCATCAGGATGGAGATGGAGGCAGAGTAGATCTTCACGATGTTGTCCAACGACCTGATGATTGCTGCAGATAAGAAAAATCACCATTTAGTGGGGTCGTATGTCGTAACGGCAGAGTGCTCGACTCGGAACCAAGAGGTCCCGAGTTCGAGTCCTGACATGCCATGACTTTACCCACTTCGCTCAGGTGAAAATTAATATTGTATTGTCCCCTGTGTTAGTGGCGGAATTGATATCAGTTGAAAAAAGTTGAAAAAACCACGTCTTATGGTTACATGTTGGAATATTAAAAAAAGGCCCGCAATGCTATCATAGCTCGAGTGTGCATGCGAAGTTTCTAGCAATGTATACACACTGCTCACGTCAACAAGCATTTAACCCTAGCATTTCCAGATCGTGAGATATCAAAACCGGATGTTCTGCTGTAGTACCAAGGCAAGCCGCTGGGGGGGGGGCAAAATCCAATCATTTCTAGGTCTCATCAACACCTATCCACCTACAAACTTTCATGACAAGACATCAAAAGCTTCTTGAGTTATCGTGCTAAACCACATGCATACATACACACAAACAAATGCTATGGAAAATATAACCTTCTTGGCGAAGGTAATTAACTCAACCAACAACAAAAGACTATATTATTGCTAAAGTCTCCCAACCCATTTATTTTTCAAAGAGTCGGACATTTCATCTCCCACTGCCTCCTGAGAAGAAGTCAAACCCCCTAACAGCATGGCAAGAATAGTTTAATAGAATAGAATAGATTAGAATAGCAGTTACTTTGTTCCTATTACTTGGTCACATATTGTATATCTACTTTTTACCCTGTATGTATACCAACGTTATTAGGTTTAAGTAGAGATAGTAGGTTCGATAAGTATATCCTACACGTAGAAGTTGTTAGCAAATAGTCTTATATCACCACATTTTTCTTGTTAATGTCTGTATGCAATTAGCCCTCGGGCATGAATTTGCAATAAACATCTCAATTAACAGAATTCTCAAATGTGACCCACCTGCAACAGCCAGTCCGCCAGCGCCACCTAGCAGAATCGCTGCGACCAGCAGGAAGACTATGTCGGACCTCAAAGATTCCGTCCCGCTGATCTTGAAGACGTCGCCTTTGGTGGCGACCGCGGACCAGATACTGGCGATGAGGAAGCCGAAGGCGTACATCTGGACCTGCTGTTCCATGAACGGCCGCTTGTCGTTTTTGAACAGGTACTATGGAGCAAAGGTACAATTTAGTCCATGCAAACACTTGAAAACCAACATTTGCTAGCAAATGCAAATGATCGCCGTCCCCTTTTCTACCTGCTGTTCCATGAACAGCCGCTTGTCGTTTTTGGACAAGTACTGCGGAGCACAAAGATATAATGTATATAAACGCTTGAACACCAACATTTGATAGCAAATGCAAATGATCCCTTCCCCTTTTCTACCTGCTTTTCCATGAACGGGTGCTGAACAAAGGAACAAATACTTCGAAAGAAAAGTATCCTTAGAAGTAAACATTTGCCAGCAAATGCAGAAAATATCACTCTCCTATTGTTACCCAAAGTGTTATCCCCTGAGCATTTTCGCCCTGGAGTTTTTCCCAACTGTAATTTACCTCGGTGATGATAGAGGCCGCTGTGGAGATGGCGGCGCTGACTAGACTGAGACCGAGAGCTTGGGGAAGAACGTAGATGTCCTGGGACGCTGGGGACGAGGACGACCCGGCCAGCTGCGCAAGCGCGATGCCCAGCATGAGCAGCAGAAGCGCCACCCAGCGGACAACGGAGATCTTTCAAAAACAGAAAAGAAACATTTTTTACACAAGAAAAATGTAGCCTGGTATCCAGTCTATCGTGGTTGGGACAGGCTGTCTTCGAGGCTCTAATAGTTTTCTCCCCGTCCAGCTCAACAGACCGACGGTAGGAGTGTTACACCTGTAGGAGTTTTGCACGCTAGGAGTTGATTGGCACCACCATAATAATTTAACTTTAGCATTCTGGTGAACTTTAACTTTAGTTTAATTATTATTTAATTAGCCATAGATTTAAAGAAAAACATTTGCAAATCAAGTACATAATGTTTACCTTCGCATATGGTCTGCTCTGTTAATTCTTACTCAAACACATTCATATATATGGTGACAGGAGTCTAAATCCCTCCTACTATAAAATTGCAACATGATGTCACCCAACACTAGTTACCATGGTGACAGACGTCTGGTTCAGGTCATGGACCTTGTTTGTTTGGAGAAGAAGAAGAAGAAACAGTGCAAAGACAAGATGTTTTCCCTCGGTTAACATAAAGATTTTTGAACATCAGGTAGAGCGCATCACTCACCTGTCTCCCAAAGATGATCCTATAGGTGAGTGCCGTCATGATCACGCGAGACTGGATCAGTACATTCCAGGTCGGAGGGGTGGTGTAGTTCAGAGCGACCAGGTACAGGTTGTTATTCGCGCAGTATATGATAGAGGGCACTGCGAACACGATGGACGGCCGAAACGACGACAGACCAGTGGTAAACATGACCGGTATCAAAACCATCAACAATTTGACTAGCTCAATACAACACACGATAGCCGAGGAAGATATAGGATAGACGCCGTTGTTGTAATGTCTCGTGGCGTACGTTACGACTTGCTTGGCTACTTCTAAAGTTATGAAGATAGCACAGTAAGATAAACTCGTCATGTTGGATGGCTGTGCCCTGGCAGTCATGAGTGGTGAGTTGTTGGCCCGCAGACCTCGTGTTTCCGAGGGTTTTCCCTTTTTCCTCTCCATGTCGATGGTAGTATTCCTGTTATAGCACAAGACAAGATATAACCGTTTATTGCGTGCTGAGTAGACCTAAATAAATAATATTTCACATGCATGAATACAAATTCCAACTTGGTAGAGCCCTTTGACGCCGACAAAAAAAGGTTTGCGATACAAAAAAAAGTTGCCCCACTACGTACATAAAAATACGACGACACAAAAAAACAAAACGTTGCCCCACTACGTAATATTATATTGTCCCTCCTATAATTAGAGTTAAAATTTTCACATTTACGCTTGCTTTAGTGACTGAGATGCTTAACTGGTAGAATGTGATAAATTTACCGATATACAGCATTTAGACTAGGAATGCCTTTAACCGGTAGTCGACTAGTATATTTTTTATTGTCGTCGAAGTTTTGAACAGTGTAAGCCATATGGCAGCGAATTGCGTGTGAATAATTATTAATTACAGTGAAAGTTAATCCAAAGTCGCTGTTGACCAAAAAATGCGTTTACTGAAAAGAGAGCAACTTTTGCACTCAGAACAGTTATATTTAAAACCCGCGATTATTTCTCATGCTAGAATACTATTATGTTTGCGTTATTTTCAAGAAGAAAGATAATACCATATAAAACAGTTACTGTTCAATTCTTGTCATACTTACGTTTCTACCGAAGAAGACATTATACGATGGCGATTTCATCAGCTAAAATTCTATCGTCTTATCAATGTAGTACATCTACGTTACAGTTGACATAAACTTTCTACTTGTTAACCTTTACTCAACAGCTGTTAGCGCACGGTTTTCCATTCTGCCTGATCACGCGGCGAAGGCGTGATCACAAGCTACGTGGACGTCGTTTGAAAATTACGTCATCCTGAGAAAAATGAAGGGCACAACAAGTGAACCTACAATTTAAGCCACAATACCGCATTTTTTTCTCCTCAACTCCGACCTGTTTTCAATCTGTAGCAATTAATTTGAAATTTTGAACTTATTTTTGTCATAAATGGTATTTTTAAAGACGGTTTGTGTGTGGAAAACCCCATGCGGTAGCGGTAAGGTCTTTGGGTCCAAAGGTTGAAATTGTTTTCGCAAGGCATTGATGAGAGTTAATATTGCATCAGCGCATGTTAGCAATGACAGGAATAGTGTACAAAGCACTTATGAAACAATAATCATCAGATCCATGTGTCGTTAATTATTATTAGATCTGGTCTTTCACATAATTTTACTGCAAATTCGCTCTGGAGTAAAACAGCGTACCAAAGACATATACTAGTAGATAGAACTCTCTATCTTAGATGCTATGCCCGCTCCTCTACAATTAAATGCTGTTTGTTTTCGGATTGGTGATTAACTCACGATTCTCTGTCGATAAACAGGACTGGGTTTCCTCAGTACAATGTGGGTGTATGATTGTAAGAAGGATTCCTGAATCGCGAACAACATTTACACTCTGCCTCAAAGCACGCACAAGGATAAGCTCCATCAGACTCCTTTATTTGCAGGCTGAATAAGTAGTCAAAATCGGCCTAAAAATGGGCCAGGGGAGATAGCCAGCCATAGACCATTGATTTTGACTACGCAAGGCTACAAGGATACCCCTTTAATAAAAACGTCGCTTATTAGTTTTGCGGTTTCTAAATGATGCTTTTTGCTTCCTTGTCGTTATGTAACGTTATACATTTGTAGGACAAAATCATGCAAAATCAGAGTACTTTTACAGAGTATCATAAAGACAATATCGTACGCTAAAATAAACTTGTGGTGCGATGGCATTACATGTGTAGATAAAAAAAAAGTATAACAGTTATTCGCTCTCCCTGGAGACTTTTAATACAGATACTTGATCGTACTTATTTTAAATATTAATCAGCTACACGGCCAAGCAACGTCATAACTAGTTTATATCATCCTTGTGTTCGCTTTTTTCCTTCCAGCACTGGTCGTGTTGCTCAGAGCTTACCATCTAGATGTTTTCCAGATGTTTGCATTCTATCTACCGATGATATCTACCAAATAAGCGGCTTCAATTACTGCACCAAACGGGCTAGCAAAACAACAACGTTACGTAGAACTGATCTACTCACCTGTGTCTTCAGTGTGGGTCAATACTACTAGTACGTTGGAACACCCCCGAACCGCGCAAGGTGGTTGTGGCTTGACTTCAGTCGGTGGTCTTCTCACATAGGACCAAACGTTGACTTGAGTGGGTTCTTTGACTGATTAACAAGTCCAGTCCTTCGTCCTTGATCAAACCACGCACTGATTGGAGGAGGTGAGTTGGCCAAGGTCTCCGTAATTCACGTGTTATGTAAGGCGTAGTTGCGACTTGGGCGAATCGCACATTGTTTGCACAAAACTTCATCGCCGAGTTTGGACACGATCATTTGCTGAGCCGGCGTAAAATGAAAGGTCGACAACCTCAGCTAAGGCAGTAGCCCGATGGTTCGACGAATCACGTTGTTTGCTTGATGTGGTTGGTTGGGAGAATCATTTACATAGCAGACTTGTACTCAAACGGGTGAACGGCCTCTCTCAACCCACCGTAACCCCAACGAATTAATAACTGACGACCCTTAGTACATATAGTCCACTAAACTTTCAACGACTTACCTAGGGGTAAAGGTGGGATGCCAGATTAATCATTATGAGCCATATATCGTACGCGATGAAGTTCTTTAGGCCACAGCAAGTAATTTTTATGGATGACATCAGCGCGCGCAATAATTTTCGCCTGATTTTGGAAATAAAAACAAGAAACTTTGTTGCCCTCTGACAGTGGTCACCATGCCGAAAATGGGCAAAGATGTCTGTTGCCATGCCGGAAGGTGGATGGCAGATAAATATGAAGAGAGGAGACAAAACAAGGCTCTGATTTAATGTTTTATCTTTTATTTGATGCAGTGTTCGAAGTATTTCATTCCTTTATATGTGATGGTGGCTGTGCATATGTGATGTTCCCACCGAATCAAAACCATGTGTACAATGATTGAAAACTTATTTTACAAAGTTGTTAAGTGACAAATGATGTTGTAATAGAGGTCAGTTAACTTACCACAATATATGTATCATATCTTGTTTGATAAAGTTTATGATGTCAAAAATTGAAAATGCAGGAATCTTGTTTTTTTATTGCCCACTTAGTTTTTTTCGCCCTATCGCATTAGATATGGAGTTTGCGGAGGATATCATCCATAAAATCGACTTGCTGTGGCCTTATTCTAATGAGGTATCATAGTAGTTTTTCATTAATTGTACAAATGAGGTTCTAATTTGTAGATTTGATAGCTAACTTCATGAATGTTTCTTTCTTCCTAATCAAGGTATGAAACCTCAAGGCGAAGGTAAGATTCGCAACTTCGAATGGGCATCAACGTAGGAGTCAAAACTTGCCGTGCAAAACTGCCACCTAGCGACTTTTAGATAAAACGTATTTATGTTTCTGAGACCAAGCGATGTCACTAAAAACGAACGGTCCCTACTGTGTAACCTTTGCCCTGACTTGACCCTAACACACATCTAACACAGACACAGCGGCGGTAACATCACACATTCGCCGGAGCTGTCGCTGCAAAAATTACCTTCTGCAATTTTACATTCCCTGAGCTTCCTGTCCGGATTCAGAAGGCGGAGGGAAGATGGCTACGGGAAGGACAAAGACACAAGTCGTTATCGTCGGCGCAGGCTTGAGCGGTAAGAAAAATCTGTATGATTTGAAATAAGAGCATCTATTATATAAGGACTAGGAAAGGAGGTGTGTCTGGGTTTCTTGTTTCAAGCAATTACAAGGAGGTGGCGGTTACTACAAGGTCTGGACAAAGAAAATAATGGAACCGTAACAGGACATCATGTTAATAATGTAAACAGAGTGTTATATTGACATGAAATAAAAGTGTCTTACGTTAGTCTATCAGAACTTAATTCTTTTATGGCTTTTATATGCGGCTAAATGCTAAAATATGCAAAGAAGAGCAGGATATTTTATGCCATATTCTTGCATATTTTAGCTGCAGCTTTGTCAAGTTCATTGTTGGTAAGGTTTGTATTCAAACTGTTTTTAATGTGAGTTTAGTGGTATTCAACTTTTCTTAATATATGATAGCAAAAGGAATTGTTCTTTACACCTGTGATTTAAAAATGTTTATTCTTATTACATTAAGCAAATGAGTTCTTATTACTAAGAGTAACAAGCATCAATTGTGTAACAGAATTTCCTGATAAAATGAAAACATTGTAGCCCATATTTCCAAGCCTAATACAAACACTTGAATGTTTTATCCGTTTTTTACGACTTTTTACACACTTTCACAATAGTTTATAACATAGAACACCCTTGCAACATTATAATTCACAGGTCGACATTTTTATTACCATTTTTATGACTCTAACTGGTAACATTAACAATTTTAGGTTAGAAACATGCATTGAATTGAATGAGACATCAATGTTGACCTAGTATTAGTAACGTTACATGTGTCAAATTAATGCTAAAAAGTCCACAATTAGAACTTCATCCAAAGGGAATGACATAGAAAATGTGTAACGTTACAGTTAATCATTTGTTTTTTCTGTCTGTCAGTCTAGATGTATTTCTCCCAATACACTTAGTACAGAATGCAGTATTGCCATGCTATAGTTGCTATTTTTGTCTATCAGACTGGATTGGTAGGTCGCAAAGCATTTAAGGGTTAAGGGGTGAAGTCTGCCATTGCTCTGGTAGTTTCCCATTCAGCAACAACTAACCAAAATAAACATTAACTGGAATATTTATGGTGAGTGTAACGTTATGTACTAAGCTTCCAAATTTGCTTGGGTGCAGCCAACTGCCACAGTCTTGTTTAAATTCCAAATCGGATGTCCTTCCATTTGCCCCCATCATGTGTGTACTAGTATATATGTCACTTGTGACTCCATTTAAACTTCTGCTCACGTACTAGTTATACATGTTGTGTCTGAACAAAGAGGTTACAGAGAACCTCCTATGTCTGAAGTGACCGTTCAAACTGAGTATGGGAGCAAAGGTATGTTTGTTCAGCTGATTTAGCCTTGGCAGCCGCTGACCGTTATAAATTTACTAGTATAGGTCAGCTGATGTAAATCGTTAAAAAATTCATTTTTTGCATGTTTCACAGTCACTGCTCAACTACAAAAACAAAGAAGCAAACATAAACAGCAACAACTTGGAAGCGAATAATTGAAAAGTTGGTTTAGCTGGGTTCCAACAGAGCATCACATTGGGGGAATTTTAATCTTGTTTACATATGCTCCTAAACTGTGAAGCAGTCATGTGAGAGTCAGCCATGAAATCTGGAAGAGCTTTTAGTAGAGGGACTGTCCATTTTGTATGAGGGCCTGCAAGGGGGGGTCCCGACAACGCTCTATGCTGAATTCGGAAACCTCTTGATAACGCTTTACGATAAATTCCAAGTGGCTACAACGCATTACGTAGAATTAAAACGGCGAATTACGCTCTACGCAAAAATATTAGAGCGGTCCGTCTACGCTCTACGTAGAATTAAAACGGCCGATTACGCTCTACAAAAAAGGGCTTGCGGGCCCTCATTACGTCTTCCATGGTTTACAGAAAAGAAGTCAAACCCCTCAGACATAGTTTTAGAGATAGCTATATTTTTAGACAACTACCTTTCATCATGTAGACTTTAGTTATTTTGTACTCTGTTTCATTGTTCTTTTACGTTTTGTAATTTGCAATTAGCCTCCGGGCACGAATTTGCAATTAACTTTTCAATTACCCTGTACGTACATCTGTCTGTCATACTGTAGGCCTCAGTGCTGCCAAACTCTTGAACGAGCATGGCGTGGAAACTATCGTGTTGGAAGCGCGGGACCGTGTCGGCGGACGCACCCACACTATCAAGGTATAACTGCACATCGCAGTTTTGTATCTTATTTTGTCATGCAGATTAGTTTTTTTTTTGTTCTTTGGAAAAGAAAAGGATATACATGTACGCTGTCTGTCCATGTTTAATATAAAAAAATACTGCATTTTGAAACTTAATGCTAGCTGTAAATGCTTTAAACTTAACCCTCACCTTGCTCATAATCCTACATCCAAAAGACTAACTCAGCAGGTGGGAGGTTAAACATTAATCTTGCCCCCTCTATCTGATTCCTGTTGAACTGCAGGGCCCAGGTTTTGGGTATGTTGATGTGGGCGGAGCCTATGTTGGTCCCACCCAGAACCACATGCTGAAACTGGTGAAAGAGCTGGGGATACAGATGTACAAGATCAACACTGAGGGAACATCTGCAGTATGGAGAAAGGTCAGACCTTAAAGCTGCATTATGTAACTTAGGGCAATAACAAAAGTAAATTTTCTGCGCATTTCTTTACAAAGTAAGTTGGATCAACCCTAATCCAAATTTGCAAATAAATGTCATTCACGGTTTTCTTACATAATTTTCCATTGTTTGAAAAGTCTCTTTCAAAATCACCTGTGAAAACTTGGCTGCCATGTTGTTGTTTTTTTGTCATTGTTAGGGTTAGACGCTAATCCCCATTTAATTATCTATTGTTCAAAACAATTGATGGTATCTGAGTGGGGTCCAACCTTAAAAGCTGAGTTAGAGTTTTATCAATTTCAGGGTAAGAAATTCACGGTTGATTCAGAACAAGTTGCCGTGACCAACCCCGTGTGTCTACTGGACCTGCAACATCTCTTCAGAACCCTGGACAGGATGGGGTCTGAGGTAGGTGTCCTCTTTGCTTCTGTGTACGGAGGTTTTTTTTTAAATTTATTTTATTTTCTGACGATTTACCACATTTGTAGAAGGATTGACATAACAGGTGACTATCACCTCTTCAAAGATGTCAAACCTGAGACCAGACTGTAAGGTTTGAACCACTCACACCAGGAAGGTCCCCTACTCTTTTCGATAAGCACGGTGGGTTCTTTAACGTGCGTGGGGTGTGGCTCTCCCAAACACGGGACCTCCATTTAACGTCCTAACCGAAGTTAGGTACCCATTCACACCTGTGTGAAGTGAGGAAAGTCGTGTTAAGTGCCTTTCCCAAAGGCACAAGATCGGTGGCATCGCGGGCAGGATTCGAACCCTCGCCCATTTGAGTCTGGGCTGAATACGCTACCGCTATGCCACACGACCCCACAATTGTGTTGTTTTTGGTGTGTTTGTCTTGTTGTTTGTGTGTCCATAATTATGACTTTTTGATACTGCTATAGATATGCTGATTTCTTACTGTTGTCTGAATGACCTCATGTTTCATGTGTTATCTGTTGCATTGAAATACAGCTATGATCAGAAAAATGTTTGCATTCATATCTCCATCCATCCGTCCATCGATCCATCGATCCATCCATCCATTCATTCATTCCTTTCTTTACCCATTTGTTCACTCATTCCTTCATTTGTTCTTCAGATTCCCCCAGAAGCTCCCTGGAAGGCTCCCCATGCCAAAGAATGGGACAGTCTAACCATGAAAGATGTGTTCGACAAACTGGTATGGACAAGGTAAGTCAGAAAGTTACTGAAATTATGAATAAAATCTTGGGTTGATTCTTTACAAATCATCTTTGCAATGTGTTTCTAAATATTAGCTTGTGAAGTTATATCCGTAGCAACTTGATTTTCGGACCCAAAATTGAATTTGATCTCTGGCAATGATTCTATTGAAACCTGTATGATGATTTTAATTTCTTGCCTGTATTTTTGCAGCTCTGTGCGGAGATTTGCAGACATGTTCATACACATAAACATGACGTCAGAGCCACACGAGGTCTCCGCTCTGTGGGCCTTGTGGTACATCAAGCAGTGTGGAGGTAGGACTTGATATGAAAATACATATGGACGACAACGCGGTGTATCACCCGAGGTACCAGCCCGACCGCGCGTCGGATCGCCTGAAGGCTGGAGGGAGATCCGATCCATGGGAGGGCTGGGACCGAGGGTGATGCAGAATACACCGTGTTGTATTTCATTTATGTTGTGCCCACATTAGAAAACACACAGAATTGAGCCAAAATTTGGTGTCCCTAAACCCAAAAGTGCAACAACATCAATTCCAACGTCCGAACCCAGTATTCTATTCGAATTTAATTTCAAAAGTGGTGCATGTGGCTCAGGCAAAAATGCATTTGAACTATTCTATGGAACATTTGGAAGCCCGTGTGATAAGCAAATAGAAACCCAGGCTGTATAGTACACGGGCTGGAACAATTGTATCGAATGTTATCACGGCCCAGGTATAACATATTATACATTTAAGACAGAGGTGCTGTATTCTGCCCTTTGGAGAATATGCCAGCTTCTATATCTGTATAACCAATACAACTGCCCTTCTGCAATTAATACGCCAGCTTCTTTCTGCATTTATAACTGGTGTGCATTGGTGTGCTTGGTGTAATTCTCTTCTGACATAACACCTTTCTTTCCTCTACCTTGTTCTTTAGGAGTGAAGAGAATATTTTCTGTTGATAATGGTGGACAGGTGAGATGGGCTAAGGTTGCCCCCTACCTACATATTACAGTACTGCAGCCATTAGGTCCTGCCAAGGAGGTCATTTCAAGTAGAAAGATATTCCATTTTATGACAATAGTAGTCATTCAAAGCTTAGAATATCCAACACAGATTACACACATTTGTAATACTACATAATGTATTATGCATATTTACCTACCTACTTTGCATATTTGGGACAGTTTAAATGAAACTCACACCATAAAAAAACCCTCCACCCCACCCCACATTTGCTGGTTGGTCCCCAAGCATATATTTATCCCAATTACAACACAGTAACTAGACGTTCCTATTTTTGACCCTGCCTATTTCCTGGTTAATGCCATTGATTACTTCAGTACACCACAATTACTAGACATTCACGTTGCTATATCTGGACTTCAGGAAGTCAGACCCTTCAATTAACACTATACAACATACTGTACTTGTGTTTCTATTTCTGGACCTCTTTTCTGGAACTTGCAGGGGAAACTGAATAAAGAATCACACTGTACATGTACAACTACAATGTACTTAGTATCATTCTGTTTCTTATACATGCAACGTTACGTGTAACATGCAAAATAACCCAGAAGTCTTTTATGATATTCGAATAGCAATAGCTTTATATCCCAAACCAAACATTCCTTTTTTCCATATTACATCTAATGTTATACAAGGACATATACAAAATTCGAAAAATATGGTATCCAAAATAGCTTCATGTAGCTGTCATTTTCATTAAACAATATCTGAAAAAAATGCACACGTTACAGAAAAAGTGAGATCTTTTGTCTTTCTCTGTGTTAAAAAAAATTCGATGTAGGAGTTACGTTTTTATTTCTTGTGTCTAGTTCTGTATTACTTTTCTGTACTAATTTTTCTTAATTTGTATTTGCAATTAGCCCTCGGGCATGAGTTTGCAAAATAAACGATTATTAAAATTGATTACAACTATAGTATTACTGTTGTAGGAGAGGAAGTTGGTGGGAGGGACCCAGCAGATCAGTCTGCGGCTGGCCGAGTTGCTAGGCAACCGGGTGATGCTGAACAGCTCGGTCTCCAAGGTGACGCAGACTGAGACAGGCATCACCGTAGATACACTGAGTGGAGACGGGTTTCAGGTAACAATAACCATTTGACGTGTGTGCATTACTTCATTGTTCAAGTTGAAAGAGGATCGCTTGTTTGTTAATAGGTTAAGGTTCCTTAGAAATTGGAATTCTAAACCAATAAGGTCAATGACTGGAACCAGACTGTCTGTTACCGTGATAAATAGTGTTGGTTTACAATGTACATCATGTTGCAATTTTATAGCAGGAGGGATTTAGACTCTATCTGATCATATATCATATATGAATGTGTTTGAGTAAGAATTAACAGAGCAGACCATATGCAAAGGTAAACATTATGCACTTGCTATGCAAATGTTACCTTTCTAGTTTTGTTTAGTTTAGTTCAGTACTAAATGCACTCAATGAGGAAAATATATAGTAACATTCTAACCTTAGTGCTGAAATGCTTTCCAGAAGTTAGTTGATAAACAATTGCCTGGAATCAAATTGTTGCCTAAAAGCAAGATCACCAACTACTTGACTGCACATGTAGTAGACAACCCTAGTAACCCTCTAACTGAGGGGGGAAATGCATGTTAAGTGCCTTTCCCAAGGGCACAACATCTGGGTGCATGTCGAGACATGTCTGGGTCCAACCCTGGGGATTGAACCTGGGTCCCCTTGCTTGCCAGTTGGCTGCTCTACCAATACACCACACAGATGCCAAGACACAGTAGATTAACAGCACACTAACCCTACAGCCTAAACTAGCCTCTGGGACCTTTTACCTCTTCTGAACTGTGATTTGTTTTCCAGGGGGAGTACTCTATCGTGGCCATCCCCCCTCCCCTGCAGCTCAGGGTGTCCTTCAGTCCCAGTCTCCCCCCTGTGAGGAACCAGATGATCCAGCGTATGCCCATGGGCTCTGTCATCAAAACTATGATGTACTACGAGAAGGCCTACTGGCAAGAGAAGGGTACATAATATTGCCATATTTTGTTTCATGCTTTAATTTCCTCTTCTGCCTTTGTACTTTGTATATCTGTCCTTAGTTTTGGTCATTGGACATTACATGTCGCTCTTTGATAAGGCTATAGCAAGTAAATTTTATGGATAACATCCTCCGCAGACTCCAAGTCTAGTGCAAAAGGGCAAAAAAAAAACAAGGCAGACCCCAAGAAACAAGATTCCTACATTTTTCATCATAAACCCTGTTAAACAAGAAATGATACCTAGTATATTGTGGTAACTTTACTGCTAACTATTACAACATCCATTTGTCACTGAAACAACTTTGAAAAATGAAAGTTTTCAATTATTCTACAAATGGTGTTGATTGAGTGGGAACATATAAAAGGAAGGAAATAAAGCACTGCATCAAAGTAAAAGTCCAAACAATACATAGGATAATTGTATTGTCTCCTCTCTTCATGTTTATCTGCCATCCAAATTCCGGCATGACAAGACATGCAATTTTGCCCATTTTCGGCATGTTGACCACTGTCAGAAGGCAACAAAATTCAGGCCCAAATCAGGCAAAAATCAATGCACGCGCTGATGTCATCCATTAAAATAACTTAGAAAATAAGAGAAATGAAATAGGCTCCGGCCTAATCAGATACATCAGTCCATATTTCTTTTGTTTGTTGTTACAGTTCTTCTGTTAACTCTAGGAAAGTTTATCTTTTGAGTACATGTAGTTATTGTCATTATATAGAAATGAAGACAAACCCTGCCACACTGCAAGGTGTCAGAAGGATGAACTTAATTATCTTGTCCCCTCTTTCCAGGGTTGTCAGGGATGGGTGTTATTGAAGATGATGACTGTCCTGTGGAGTTTACCTTAGATGACACCAAGCCTGACGGATCCTACCCTGCCATCATTGGGTCAGCACATAACAACAGTTTTTAAACATTGATATTTTTGTAAATAATGTATTACATGTGTATATAGCTTGATATTGCATTGTACAGTATTTGATGTTTAATGTATTATACTTGATGTTTAATGTATAATATTTCATGTTAATGATGATTATTGCAATTTGTTTTGTATTCAATAATATAATCGGCAGTGTACTGAGTTCTTGAGTTCCGTGGAGCTTCAGCAGCCTGGGTGCCATCCTCCGTAGTTACCGCCGGCTCCCTACTGTCACTAGCTACCATGGACTATGGAAGATAGCACCCAGGCCATAGCCTTGGGCGAAAATCAGTGTGTGCACAGATGTCATCCATAAAACTAAATCAGTGTGGCCTAAGGCAACTACATGTAGGTTGTTTTATTAATCTAAGAAGCATATAATCTGAAAGAGATTATTGTTTAGAAACATCTGCTCATGTCCCAAATGTTGTTTCATTAATATTCCCCATCATTTTACTCAAGATGTTTTGTGTTATGATATGAATAGAATTCCTCAAATTCATTATCCATGTTTCCACCATTTTTGTTTTAAAACAGATTTGTTGCTGCTGACAAAGCCAGGAAGTACACCAACTATAGTGAAGATGAAAGGTACAATTTGATTCCATCTTCAGTGATTACATGGTACTTTTGGTAAGGGGGAGGCTTTATGATTGTATAATTTTCTCTGATTTGTTAGTGAATTGGATCTCAACACAAGAAGTAGCTACATGTACATTTCCACAATCTCACAAAGTTGTTTGTAACCCTTTAACCCAAACTTAACTCCAAACTAAAAAGGTAACATTTGCAAAGCAGATGCATAATGTTTACCTTCGCATATGGTCTCAGCTGAGATGTTAATTCTTACTCAAACACATTCATATGGTCAGACAGGAGTCTAAATGCTATAAAATTGCAACATGATGTAACCCAACACCAGTTATCATGGTGACAGATGTCTGGTTCAGGTCATTGACCTTATTCAAATTGGTTTGGAGAAGAAGAAGAAGAAGAAGAAGAAGAAGAAGAGGAAACAGAGCAAAAACAATATGTTTTTCTTCAGTAAACTTAAAAATTATTCATTTTTCTTTGTAGGTACAAATCTCAATACTCCCCATGGCCTTTTACTAACCATTTTCCTCTTGTTCTATTTGCAGGAGGGACCTGATATGCAAAGGATACGCTAAAGCATTTGGCCTGAAAGAAATGCTACATGTAAGAATGAGATTCAACTGTTCTGTTGATAATTTAACAATCAATAACTCCTTTTTACACTTCTATATAGTTGAAGATTAAACATGATTGTTGTTTGTTTCAAGTTAAAACTTAAGATCCAACACAAAGAAGTTCTCTCACCTAGAGCTTTCGACCAGTCACTCTGGTCTTCCTCAGTAGACTGACCCAGTGAGGCTTGTCACATGGCTTCTTTGAAGTGTGACGTCAACACTGGGTCAAAGGTACATGCATCTGGTAAACCCCATACTGTGACATTAGTCTCACTGAGTTAGTCCACTGAGGAAGACCAGAGTGACTGGTCAAAAGCTCTAGGTGAGAAAACTAAATTAGAGCTCTTTGTGTTGGATCTTAAAGTTTAACTTTAAACATGTTACTACCAACACAGATGGACTTTCATGATAGTGTGATTGTTGTTTATGTGTTTATCTAACTTAAAGCTTTGTTTATGTTGACTGTTGTTTCCAGCCCACCTGTTATGTAGAGAAGAACTGGTTGGAGGAGCCGTATTCAGGAGGCTGTTACACCACTGCGCTGCCCCCTGGTGTTCTCACACAGTTTGGCAGGTAGACAACAGAAATACATGTACCTGCACAGCTCCAATTTTACCTGAACTAAGGTATATCTGTATCTGTATAACCGCCTTTCGGCGCAACACACCAGCTTTGCAGGCACGCGGCACGGCAGCAGCTGGCTACATTACACCGATCGACTGGTTACACCTAACCCTTGAACATCTAACTCTAAAATCTAGCTTTGCTTAAAGCTATCTAATGACAATGCCCCTACTGTACTTGGTGACAGCGAGTTCCACTCTGCGATAGTTCTAGGAAAGAATGAATTCTTAAACACCTCAATCCTTGGTTGATAACTCTAGTATTTCAAGGCATGGCTATTTCTTGCTCTCTTCTGGGCTGGTAGGTGCATAATATTATGCACCCAGCTTTGCTTGTACACACGTATGTGCAGTGTCATCTAGTCAAATGATTCATTTAAAGTATAGATGAAAGGGATTTTCTGAGAAGGCACTTTGCAATCTGAAAACCCTTTAATTACCCAGTAATACCAAGATATTGAAACTACATTTGTGGTTTAAAGGGCACTGGCAACATTAAAAAAAAAAACAACTATTGTATATTCAACTCTTCAAAAGTTTGAAGAAAGGAAATGAATGTTCTGACTGTATCTGTATAGCCAGTATAACCGCCCTTAAGAAGCTTGGGTTTTATATAGATCAACTTTTCACTGGGTTGGAATCGTTGTTGCATACAGGATAGTGAGGGAGCCTTTTGGACGTATCTACTTTGCTGGAACAGAGACGGCCACCCAATGGTCAGGTTACATGGAGGGGGCGGTGGCGGCTGGCCAGAGGGCAGCTAGGGAGGTGAGGAGAAAATTTGTTAGCATTTTCGTACCAAATTCATAGCATTATGTGGCGCGGAACTCATGGGTCCTGGGTTCGATTCCACCTACATGCCCTGACGTTGCAGCCTGGGTATCATCCGGATTTTTGCTCTGCAATGCTAAAAAAAATCTGTACCATCCAGATTTTCACTGTACAGCGCTATTTTCATTGAGTGTTGCGAAGCGAACATCCGGATGGTACAGATTTTTTCGAGCGTTGCGGAGTGAAAATCCGGATGGTACAGATTTTTTTGAGCGTTGTGGAGCAAAAATCCCAGATGGTACCCGGACTACTGACGTTGTGCCCTTGGGAAAGGCACTTTACACAACTTTCCCCCAACATGTCACTTATTGCAGATTTCTCAGCATATGGGCAGTATAGGAAGATGAAGAAGAAATAATAGTGTATGACTAAAATATTTTTTGTGTTATGGCTATGGTTCCCAATATCTGTTTTAGATTACAAGTATCTATTATTATGATCAATGTGTACATATGAAAATGATAGATTTTCCCTTTTTTTTAGATCCTCCATGCCATGGGGAAAATTGAGAAAGACCAAATTTGGCAAGATGCCCCTCAGTCCCAGGTATGGTAGACTGCAACTTGTTTTAGCAGTAATATTCAATACATGTAGATACCAATCAATAGATGACTTGAGTAGGAACTTGTAAGAATGTACTGTAGGCTTTGTTGCAGTAAATGCATTCATGTTGAGCATCAAGCAGATACTGTAAATTACTTTATATGTGCGGTACCAAAATTTCACAGTCTGAGAAAAATGAACACCTTTGCAGAACTTAATGTTCACGGTAACTTGCCTACCAAAAATCAAGAACATCTATTTACATATACCGAGTTATCCTGTTCACAAACGACAAAAACAAAAGGTCCACTGCAGTGATGTAGGACCCCCATGAATTCCATTTTCGACCTTAACCTTGGTCTCCACAACAGTAACTTGCCTACCAAAAATCATGAACATCCTGGGGTACAGAGGAAAGAAAGTCAGCAAATTATTTGTCTGTGGTAATGATACATGTAGATTCCGGTACAGACTTTGAAAATTGCAAATATAAAAGTACTTATTTACACTCATTGATTAATTAAGCTTTGATTTTTCCGCACTAGGAGGTCCCAGCTCTTCCATTTGTTGACTCGTTTTATGAGGCCTATTCTCCGTCCATCCCTGGTCTACTGAGCACCATCGGACTGACTGCTATCCTGGGCCTAGCTATTGGGGCCAGCTTCATCTTGTACAACAAATAAGTGTGGTTTTATCTTGAAAGTTCATCTGTGTTGGTAGAAATCATTATGAAGCAAGTTTAAACTGTAGACTCGCCCAAATTTTTGACAGTACAACTCCAGTCTTTGTCAAGGAATGAGCAAAATTCCACCGCTTCCGTGACGTCATGCAGATAACACACGTGAATCCGTGAGCAGTGGATCATAGGTTGCAGAAAGTCTGTGGCACCCCCCGTCTCTGTTGAGGGATGGTTGTAATGCCCTGATGAAGATGGCATCTTTAATCCCTTGTGCAAAGAAGTTTGTTGTGTTGGTAATTACAGTTTAAATTTGATTCATAATAAGTGTGGTTATATAGCGTGCATCTTGATGTCCAACACATAGGATGTAGTACAGCTTTTAACAAAACATTAACTTTAGGTTCATGTATGAAAATGTGTTGAAGTATGGTCTTTTTGTTTTTTGAATGTTCAAATTTTATTTTGACCCAAAATCTTTCATAATAGGCATTAACTGAGTGTTCATGAGTCAGTATTTCAATCTCTGTGTACGTGTACGTGTAGTTATACAGTAGATCTACAAATGTTAAAGGTATTGGTGAGTAATAGACAAGCAGGGTAAATGGAAAATTGATGGAAACATGATTTTGATGCTGTGCAGGATATAACAGAGTTTCTGTCTTCCAAGTATAATGTAGTCCATATTTGATATCAATGGTATTCTGTGTTTTAAGATTTATCAGGGAGTTTGAACTCCCCCTTAACTTCCTTAACCTTGGTTTAATTCTGTGTGCTGTGTGCTTCTCTTTGCTGCCTAACCTTGTTGCCAAGTGTGCTACAGGTAAAGTTGTACTCTGTCACAGTGCACAGTACAGTGCAATTTTACAGAATACAGTGCAATTTTACAGAATACAGTGCAATTTTACGGAATACAAGTACAATGGTAGTAGTAAGCAGTGCAATTGTACGGAATATAGTGCAATGGTATTAATATACAGTGCAATTTTACTATTATACAGTGTAATTTTTACTAGTAAAATTGCACTGTATATATACTAATACGATTGCACTGTCTTCCTTAAAATTGTACTGTATACTTATAATACGATTTCACTGTATTCCATAAAATTGCACTGTATTCCGAAAAATTGCACTGTATACTCTGGCACCCCTGTTTGTGTGTTGCATAATTATAATTTCTGTTACTTTACCTTAAACCTTCTCTTTGCTGCCTTATTTCTTAACCATGACAAACATTGTGCCAAAAGACTTTAAGACGTCGCTTCATTCCATGTTTTTACCTTATTGGGGGCCCGCATGCCCTTTTCCATAGAGCATAATTGGCTGTTCCAATTCTACGTAGAGCGTAGACAGACCACTCTAATTCAACGTAGAATGTAATTGGCGCGTTTTGCGTAGAGGGTATTCGCCATTTTGATTCTACGTAATGCGTTGTAGCCACTTGGAATTTATTATAAAGCGTAATCGAGAAGTTTCCGAATTCAGCGTAGAGCATTGTCAGGACACCGCCATGCAAGCCCCCCTTATTGGCAGACTGTTTCTGCTCTTGAAGATGAACTGTTGTAATAACTAAAATAACTTATTAAGGCCACACCAATTTAATTTGTTGGTTCTCGGATTTTTTCAGAAAAAACATAAAGCGACAGGGCGAAAAAAAATAAGAATAAAAACAGGTCTAGGCATCCTATTATAGGCTTAAATGCTATGGAATGAGCCATGAAGTCAACACAAAAGGCTGGGTTAAAATTTAAACATTGAATTTTGAACTTTTAATCAAACCACTGCAATGATAGATGGGAAAACTGTAACAACTAGGAAGAAAAGGACTTTCCTCAATTGTTGGGGGCAAAGCATCAGCATTTTTCAGTTGATTCAGGACCAGAATCAAATTTTTTTTTTTTTTGCAAATCAGAAAAAAACGAAGAGGCGAATCCGAGAACCAACAAATTAAATTGGTGTGGCCTAATTACAATGAGAAAACATTGATGTGTGTCATGGACATATTTCAGTGCAACAAAAAATACTAGTATTCTGTAATGTATAAGCTGTGATGTTTCTACATACAATTTGTCTAGTCACTCTAATATTGCTCAGGTTTCATTGAATTGTAGCTAAATTTTGTGGAAGCTAGATTTTAAAAGTAGTTGAAACATGGATATGCCATATTTTATGATAAATGTATAAGCTGTGATGTTTCTACATGCAATTTGTCTAGTCACTCTAATATTGCTCAGGTTTCATTGAATTGTAGCTAAATTTTGTGGAAGCTAGATTTTAAAAGTAGTTAGAACATGGATATGCCATATTTTATGATAAATTTACATGTGGGTTTTATATGATAACTACAACTGCATTCTTGAATGTGTTAGTTTATAAAATCACTTCTCTGTTGCAAAATGTTGTGTAATATAAAAATGCCCCAAACAATAATACAGCTATGGGTGCAAACTTCAAGTCAAATTAGTTTGACATGTATAACATAGTAACTGTTGTACTGCAATGTGTTGTATACTATTAGCATGGATTGCACAATTACAATGGTTATATATCATTTTGATATATTCATAATGTACAAAATGTAACTAGTAATGATGACAAGTAATGTACCTTTGTAACTGGCTTGGCTAATTACGTTGCACTTAATAAAGATATAACAGTCCTTGTTCTAATTTTTGTTTGGATTGTGGCCCTTTTTTTCTATCATGGAATTAATTAACAATCTACATTTGAAATATTACGTTACATAAAATATCCCCGTTTTTTGTTGTTGCCATGTTTGAGAATTTGTACAAAATAATTAAAAGATTCATCAATTGTGACTTGACCTCACATTCGTGAGGAAATTTCAAGTTCTGTGACAGTGTGAGGAAATTTCAAGTTCTGTATTGAGCAGGTGCCATACAGGTTAAGCTGACAGGCATCGTATGTCTGGTAATCAGGTTCTGGGCTAAATAAGGGTCAAGGGTCAAACCACTCAAATCGTCATGTCAGCTAGGAAGCAGCAATCTGGCGGATATTTCACTTATAAAGGGGTTCTGTTTAACAGCAAAGTGAACGCAGACTGCCTGAAGAATATTGAAACTTTGGAGGTTAAGGAGGACGATGTTTTTGTGGCAACGTATCCAAGATCAGGTAAGTCTGACTGAGCAAAGTCTAAGCACTAGTGAGTCTGGTATCAGAACAGCAAAACTTTGAATTTCAAAGTTTTGCTGTTCTGATACCCCGTACCACTCGTACAATATCCTTGTCTGAAGTTTAACGATCTAGAAATTCTTACCATTGTATAAATGGTAATCAAATTCAGTCGGTTTCGTGCCCTCAGTCTCCTTTCCGGTGTCATTTTTTGTTAAAATTATGTAATACATATTGTCATAAAGTGCCTCATGGTGTCGTCGACCTTTGACCTCAAAACCTGATTGCACAAATTGAAATATAATATATGGTTGAAAAAATACTCCTTGGCGATGTGAGTTGTTCGACGCTTATCAACCAAATTAATTTCTACAACTAACTATAATTTTATGGTGATAGATTGCAGAGAATCAGTCCTACAGAAAAAACATTGTTTTTCCTCTGTTTCTTCCTCTTCTTCTCCAAACTAATAAGGTCAATGACCTGAACCAGACGGCTGTCACCATGGTAACTGGTGTTGGGTTACGTTGTGTTGCAATTTTATAGCAGGAGGGATTTAGACTTCTGTCACCATATATATGAATGTGTTTGAGTAAGAATTACTAGTAATGGAGCAGACCATGTGCAAAGGTAAACATTATCCATTTGCCTTGCAATTGTTACCTGTCTAGTTAAATCTTTATTTAGTCTTCCTTAAGAATCTTTTTTTCTTCCCATCATTTCAAAACTAACCAGGCACCACGTGGACAGAAGAGATCCTGTCTCTTATCTACAATAGAGGAGATGTGGGGAAAGTGAAGACCACTCCCATCTACACCCGCATCCCTTACCTGGAGTACCAGTACTTCCCAGAGGGGCAGACGGAGTACGACAGGTTCTTAGAACTGCCCTCACCACGTCTTGGAAAAACTCATCTACCTTATAACATGCTTCCCAGGCAGCTACAAGAAGGAAGAGGAAAGGTACGAATCTGTGAATTACTTTTGTCCTGTAACAGTTATTATTCCACAACAACAGGTGGCAAGGTGGTCTTGTTAAAAATAGAATGGGTCTGCCTATATACCAGAATACACTGGAAAACACCAGAATACACATATAGGAGGCTTAAATCTACCGGAATACACCCTGCATTGATGAGATAACAGCCTAAGTCGCTGTATTTTAGCATAAAATAACTTATACCAAGGACATCCAATCATTGCTTATACGTAGCCCAGGGAACAAGAAATCACTTAAATACTAAATCGGCAGAGGCGGCCCGGCCAGTCCCCATGTTTGTTTGTATATCATATATGTGTATATGTGTATTCCAGTGTTTTCCTGTGTTTTTATGTGTATTCCGGTAAATAGGCAGACCGTGTTAGAATTAACTTAGATTTAGAAGCTAGCTAAACATTCTGGGCTTGAATCCCCATCAGGTCTCAATGTTGTGCCCTTAGAAAATGTACTTAACACCATTTTCATTGGAGCATTTCTCTGCATTTCAATTCTAATACAAAATGACACTATGTGCCATTCAGTAATTGTATCACGTACATGTAGTTTCATGTAATAATGACCTAAATCAAAAGTATATATTATTTAGAAGAATGAAACTTCGTGGCTGTATGTATGTTGCTACTTGAGATCATATCTACTATATTTATAACATTTTTTCCTATATTGATTGTTCCAGCTGATCTGTGTAGCACGTAACCCCAAAGATGTGGCAGTCTCCTACTTTTATTTCCACAGGATGAACCGAAGTTTCAGAACACCAGCCTCGTGGGACTCCTTCCTATCTGACTTTATAGCAGGGAATGGTAAATACAACAACATTGTGTTCTTTTCACTGTGTTTGTCTGTGTTTCTGTGTTTGCGTTGGATGGCGTAATGGTAGTCAGAGCATTTGGGTATGAAAGGGGCAAGACACGGGTTTGATCCCGAGTTGTACCAGGGACATGTCTGAATAGAACAATTGCGCCCCGATGTTGTGCCCTTGGGAAAGACACTTAACACAACTTTCCTCTCTCCACCCAGGTGTGAATGGGTACCTAACTTCGGTTGGGGAAAGTCGTATTGTGGTCACCTGGTGGCGCCGAATGGCAGCTAGCGCTGCACACTGACTCTTGCGACAGTTCCACAAAAGTGTGTGGAGCAAATATGTTATATGTATCATGTGTATTATGTGATTGTAAAGCCTTCATCACTTCAGCGCTATAAAAGGCTGTGATTGCATGGGTAATGTTTGACCGATAAACCATTTATTATAGGATGTTTGGTACGCAGATAGAAGTTAGGTCAAAGGTCCCAGAAATGGTTATCTCTTTTACTGTCTTCTACATGCATATCTTTTGCCTTATATGGCAGCCAGTGAATTCCAAAGAAGTAACAACTGTTATTCTTTTGTTTTCTCCATAACAGTTGTTGGAGGATCTGTTTTCGACCATGTCCTAGGATACTGGGCTCATAGAAGCAACCCTACAGTGCTCTTCATCAAATATGAAGATATGCAAAAGGTATGCTTCTTAATATACATGTACATATATATATACTAGTATATATATTACACTAATACAGTGCAGTCATAAGCAGGTGGAATATGGGTTTGCGGAAAAGGCAGGCTAGCCTGCAGCTTTTGGGTTTATGGAAAATTGGGCAGGGCTAGGGATACTTTGCAGGCTATCCTTTCTGTGACCCAAAGGGTGTGCATGGGGGTTTGGCCTCTAATAAATTTACTTATCTTTGCAGCTATGGGTGGGCTGTTTGGGGTGGTAATTACTGCTATTAGCAACTCGAGCAAGACTTAGTCATAGAAACTATGTTTCTATTTATGCAGAACTTCGTCAGTGGATAAATGCAGTGGAAAGGTGACTGAAAAACTCACCATGAAAATCATGAAAAGGAACAAAATTGCTGCTAATACTTCAAGATTTACAGTGAATTTAATGATTGTGCCCATTTAACAGATATGTCGCATATTACCAGTAACTTAATGTGGAATATCATACACATATTCTTATGTCAGAACATAGTAGTGCTTTGCAGTCAATCTTTAAGTTTTTCATGTCACAAATACCTATATTTTTCTGGGGGAAACATCCACAGGACTTATGAAAAACTTAAACTTTTCTCCAACTCAAAATTTGACTCACCAGAAATTTTCGACCGAATCACTCAGTCTTCCTCAGCTATCTGACCCAAATGCTGTGGACACGTGATTTTTCCCACGTGTGACGTCAGCAAAGGGTCAAAGGTTGTCTGAAGTCGATATCGCCCCCCGTCCCGGTTGAGCGATGGTTGAAGTGCCCTGATGTATATGGCCTCTTTTATGCCTCTCTTGAAGTAATCCTGTTCAGTATCCAAGATTCTGACCCCCTCCAAATCCACTGTGTGTCCCGGTGATTCTATGTGGATGTGCTGTGACACCTCAGATGCAACAGAACTGAGGAAGCTAGCTAGCATCAGATAGCTGAGGAAGACTGAGTGATTCGGTCGAAAATTTCTGGTGAGTCAAATTTTGAGTTGGAGAAAAGTTTAAGTTTTTCATAATGTAATTTACCAACTCAGATGAACTTTCATGCTGATCCACAGGACTTACATGGAAGTGTTAAGAAATTAGCAGACTTTGTGGGATGTGAGTTGCCAAGTGGAGCGGTAGACAAGATTGTGGACCACTGCTCGTTCAGGTCCATGAGCGAAAATCCCATGACAAACTACTCCAAACACCCGGATCAACGCTGTCGTTTTGACACCTCCAATGCAGAATTTATCAGGAAAGGTAGGTGTTGAACACTCTCTGATTGGGTTTGTGAAAAAAAACTCGTCCAGTGAAGACTGTCTGACTGGACAGGTTTTTCCTCCTCCTGGACTGGACAGGTTTTTCCACCAACCCCTCTCTGATTGCCATGACTCAGAATGTACATTAGATTGTATTTATAATCTCACATTTCCTAGTGTTATGAATATGTATATAAAGGAGAAACTTGGAGTGCAAGATTCTTTTTTTAATGTACTTTTCTTGTTTTTTTTCTTCTTTAGGGATTGTAGGCGACTGGAAGAATCACTTCACAGATCAGCAAAATATAGCTTTTGACAAGATGTTGGAAGAAAAACTATCTGGTACAGGCTTGGAATATGATTTTGACATCTAGTACTCTACATGCCTCTACCTCCATGCTGGTGGATGTTCAATGGATCCAAGATGGCTGCTGGTAATTCCAGATGCACATACATGTAGTTCTAAAATGGGATTCTCCATAGTATGTTTTTTTTAAGTGCAGAGGTAAAAAAATGTTTCTGTTGAGGTAGAGAAAATCAAGATGTGTCAGGTCTGAACTACTAGTAATGAGTTCTATGCGTCTTTAACCCACCAAGATGGCGGACGCTAAACCTACTACGTCACAAGCCACGTGAGTGCAATCAACCAATAACGTCACTCGTCAATTGTCGGTACGCTGTATTTCCTTCTGACGGGGCTGGGCGACACGTGCACGCTTCTCTCGTGACCGTAGCGCTTGCCCTTGTAAAGTATCAGTCCGCCGCCGAAGAACAGTAGCATGAAGACGATACACAGTACAGGAACGATCACTGCCGCCGTGTTGGTGGTACCAGCTGGGGTGTTGGGACCTGATGAAATGAAATATACGATAATGAATTATCATGAAAGTTCATCTGTGTTGGTAGTAATAATGTTGAACTTTATTCCAATACAAGGTTTACACAGAAATCAAATTTTCAATGACCACTGTCGCCTTCATCAGGATAATGAATGACCAATCACTTCAAAACGTAATCTTGCGAGAGTTACGGTTACAGACACGTGAACTTATTCACACGAGAATTTACGGATCTATGAAATAAGCAATTGATCAAACGTGCCAGGGAGTCTATATCATCCACCGTCTCTATTAAGTGATGGCTGGAGTGCCCTGATGAATATGGTTTGAAGTGATTGGTCATTCATTATCCTGAAGAAGGTGACAGTGGTCGTTGAAAATTTTTATCTCTGTGTAATCCTTGTGTTTGAATAAAGTTCAACATTTTACTATTACGTTGATGAATGTTAGACATCCAGGTAAACAATATTCGAAATCAAACTCTACTACTGGATAAATTATGGAGATAACTTCCAGATGTTTCGAGTTACATCCGTCACTCTTCTTCAGCGTCACTAAATGAACTGTGAGAACAAGTCGACATTAGTACTAATCACAAGGATATTAACTAGAAAACCAGTTGAATATGATAAAGACTCGTAAATATCACTGTTATGTAAATGGCGTAAATGAAAATGAAATGTGTAATTTTGCCAATTTTAGTATTTTTGCCATTTTGATGTTGTTAAACTCTACCATCAGAGAGAGGATAGATACAATGTATGTGATTATGGATATTAAAGAATTGTCATCAATATTTTTATAACTTTTACATCAACAATATTAATCAATTACAATGTATTCAGAATCAATCAATGTGTAAAATAAATAAAATGAGGAAGACCAGAGTGACTGTTCGATAACTCTAGGTGAGAACATTTATCTTTTGTGTTGGAACAAAAGTTTTACCTTTAAACAAATAAATAAAATAGTTATGTTAATATTTAGTCGATTATTAGTAATATTATAGGCCATACTTACGGGCACAGCCTGGTGTGAAGTTAGAATTTGAGGAGGTTGTTCCGGCAGGGCATGGCGTCTCTGTCCCTGTGAATTATCAAGGGTTAATGACCTGCCCGAGGTGTTTATGACTGGCCATAATGACTGGCCAGTGACCTATAACCATAAGTTAATTTCAAATTCCTACCATAAGGCTAATTGCAAAAAACAAGGATAAAAGAACATAGAAACAGAGTACAAAATAACTTCAAAATCTACATAATAAAAGGTCTAAAACTATCGCTATTTCTAAAACTACGTCTGAAGGTTTTTACTTATTTGTGGGTTGGTAGTTAGGCCATGTTGATTTGATTATATGGATGACATCCGCTCGCGCATGAATTTTCGGCCGTTTCCAAAAAAAAAAAGTTTTCAACCATACTGTAAATCGTACAAAACAGTTGCAAAATGAGCAAAAATATACCATAACTTACAAAAAAAAAATCAATAAAAACTATACCAATGTCGTAGAATGCCAAAATCAAACGAAAAAAGGCGAAATTGTAAAGAAATGAACTTGAAGACTAGATTATTCGCCAAACCATATTCTGTGCCATTTGCTCAACCCTCATGACCACGTAGATTTCATAATGAAAAACTTTTTTTTTTTGCTAAAACTTTTTTTTTATTCGCACGCGCGCATCAGTTTTGGGGCTCCCGGAGGATGTCATCCATATAATCAAATCAACATGGCCTTACAACAGTACATTACGCACCCATGGGTTTTATTCGAGGGTTTTCACTGGACATAGAAAATATAAAAAGATATCATTCTAACAGCAGTTATAAACTCATCCAACTTTATATGCTCCTTCTTAATAAAAACAGTTTTAAATCCGCAATTAGAAATGCACCTGCTAAGTTTTCCTTACCTGCACAGTACGCCATGTCGCACCCTGGCGGACTTGTCAGGTAGTACACGTAGAACCCGCTACAGTTTCTAACCCGGATGTCAACCTGTAAGCCACAGCAATCATCGCTTTGACGAACACAGACAGTTCGGTTGACCTCGCCGTCCTGAACGGCCGGATGGCCCCCGTTTAACCACATGGGTTCCCGGGTACCGCATGCAAAATTGGGCGGGCAGGTGGTGGGCATCTCCCCGCCCGCGGCACTGGTGAAGCGGTACCACCCCGTAGAGAGCCCGCGGTCACAGAGTAGAGTAGAGTTCGTGGTGGCATTGTACTGCACGCTGCGCTTTGGCTCGTCATCTGCCGTGTAGTCTGTACAAGTGTCCGCCGTACATAACACTGAAAAGGAAGACACAAGTATATCTATATTAACGTACTGATTGTATGTATATGTAAAGAAAGAGAGAGAGAATGGTTTTATTCACACGCACACTGTTAAATTATACACTTATAATTAGTATACATTTGTCACAAATAAGCAGCTATGTCGTTTTACAGTAGCTGAATTGAGTTGTGACATAACGTGGAAGCAAACGTACGTTACAACAATAAAATTATCTCAGATACTTGCTGAAATGATATTCTTTCGATGAGTGACACATAATTATTGACAGATAACGTCCGAAGTTATTAAGCATAAAGAGACTCTTTTTACACAACCAAGTCTTTTATTCAGCCATTTCGGTGACCGTCTGTCACCTTCCTCAGGGAAATTCTGACTGGTATATCAGAATATCAGTATATCAGAATTGCCCTGAGGAAGGTGACAGACGGTCACCGAAACGACGGCTGAATAAAAGACTTGGTTGTGTAAAAAGATTCTCTTTACTCAGTGACTTACCAACCTGATGAAACTATTCGCTGATACTCTTGTACAGATATCCTTACCTTGTAAACAACAGCATGCGACAACCCAGCATACAGCACGGTAGAAACGGACCATTTTAAGTCTGAAATTAAAACGGATAACAAAATCAAGACACGTGAATGGTAGACCACAACTGGGCACTATATGGATGCATTCACTCTGACACCAAGACTCAACTCGTAGTCGTCTAGACTAAATGTAACGGCAATGCGCATTGTCACACAAATCATGGTCAGGTACAAAGCCATGTTTATTCTACATGGACTCGATTGTTGCTGACGATCGTTTGGGTCAACCGGCACAACAGATGGACGTGACTACATGTATGTAAGATTCACATGTTACAAACTTGGATACTTTGGCAACACGAGGTTCTATCATAGCCCATCATGACCATGTGCTAAGTATATGACTATCACCACTCATCAAATACTATGAACACTGCGGTAGCATTGGGTACTAAAGTTAGACTGACACACTCTGACAGTTACAAATGACCATGTAAAGGGTCACCCATAAAGGGACGAATATAGGTACCCTGGTTCTTTGTACCCCAGTCTCTTTGTACTGGATAGCTCTTTGTTGGCGTTTGTTTCAGTCTTGGTCTAGAGATTATACTTATGATAGACAATTTTTAATCGTATTATCTCGTAAACTACCGAATGTCGCAGTTTGAAGCTGTATGAGACCACCCAATGCTCGATGTTCCACTCTTGCATAACCGCCACAGACATCAGGAAGCACCGTTGTTTCAGTATATGCACTGGCGTTAAAACCAAAAGGATAGTACCTAGTAGGTCTCTTATGCTTTCCTTGAACGTCACAGTTTAAAGTTTCTTTCCCCGTACGGCCAAGCTTTGGAATTCCCTCCCTGACAAGTGTTTCTCACCAACCTACAATCTACAGGCTTTCAAATCAAACGTTCACCGCCATCTCTTGACATAAGCCATGTTTCTCTCATATTTCTAGTTCAATGCGGAGAAGTGGTCGCATAGGCCTTGCATTGAACCACTCCGTTAAAAAAAAGATTCCTGATTATGACAGATTGCTCACCTTGTGCTGTTTTGAAGGGATGCTCACGAGCCGTTACCTGTAAGCTCCACCATAACACGATTACCTTTTAGCGTGTTGTTGACACAACGTCCAGGTGAAGGGAACACGATCTTCTGTCTGCCGTACATCGATATGGGCCCTTCTGTTCACATCTGTTTACTTAAACGTAAAGCTGATACGTCTGTGAGAAATGTGAGTATATGGCGTAGATATACGTAGACGAGTGTTAGGTGTTCTATATCTCAGCTGGACTTACAGATAGCCTCCATAGCATGCCAAAAACTGGGGGTTTTGAGGATCTTCATAGCCTTTGGGAGCTTTTATGTGCTATTTTCTGATTGCATATAGACAACATAGCCGGCCTGGCTGAATTACCCCCGTTTTTAGAACTGGGCTAATCAGAAAACAGCCGAAGACCACCAAACCCCCAGTTCTATAAGCCTGCTACGGAGGCTAAGATACAGAGATATCTGCGTTATAGGTCCCATTCCCACTTGGATAAAATTGTCCGGATCGAGCCGAATTGATTCGGCTTGATCCGGCTCAATCCGGCTGAAACCAGCTCAAACGAATCAATTCGGCTCGATCCGGACAATTTTACCCTAGTGGGAATGGGGCCATAGTTTGCAAAGTGATTGTTCGAAGGAGACAGCTATACAAAAGATTTACGTTTCTTTTATTAATGGTGCAGAGACGGAAAGAGGTCACATATCAATAACTACAGATGGTGTGATAAAAAATTATATTATGTATTCAGGTGCATACATGATTATTTTTTCACATCTTATGCAAGTAATATAGCTCTGTCACTGTATAAATCTAAGCCTTTGCCAAGTAACCGTGTGCTAAGGCCTGTAAACTGTACTCTTCTTGCTTTATGATATCAGGCGAAATCATAAAATGTTATGATCGAATTCGAATCTTATCATAACTTTTGTTTTGTCTTCCTCTGTTTTCAAAAAAGAAGTCAAACCCAGTAGTTTTTACTAGTGGTTTCTTAGTAGTTATCAGTGGTTCTATGTGTACTAATTGTCTGTTTTTATACCATATGTTTCTTCTGTTCCTGCAATTAGCCCTCGGGCAAGAATTTGCAATAAACAATTATTATGATATCATTAATCTTATACTTCATTTTATAGTAAGAGAGTCTTGGCCAAAAGGAAGTTGGCCAAATGTCGCAGATAGCCAGTACCGTTTGTCAACGACTTATAATATTTCAGCTCTGTGAATGTTAAAAACAAGGACATATTCTTAACGTAGTGTATTGGTTAATATTGTCACGCTCATTTGAAGTATGGCTTTAAAAAGGAGCTTAGGCCATGTTGATTTGATTATATGGATGACATCCTCTGGGAACCCCAAAATTGCGAGCGTGCGAATAAAAAAAAAGTGCAAAAAATGTTTCCTTCGTTATGAAATTTACGTGGTCACAAAGGTTGAACAAATGACTTACATTGTAATACACAGAGTATGGCGAATAACAATAATAGACTCTTCATTTTCATTTCTTCACATTTTGTTTTTTTCCTGAATTGATTTCGGCATTCTATGACATTAGTATAGTTTTCCAATACTTTTTTTTACAACATACGACATATATTCGCTCATTTGTACGATTTACAGTATGGTCGAAAACTTTTTTTTTCGGAAACGAAAATTCATGCGCGCGCGGATGTCATCCATATAATCAAATCAACATGGCCTTATATCGGCCTCGCAAAAATCCTGTCTTAAGTAGAGACACTAGTAAGACGAGCAAGTGTTCTCGGAGACTGTTGAGGACTAGGTTGTTCCTCCATCTGAATGTATTCAAAGTTGTTCAGTGCTATCGGGTGGCCATCTGCCGAAGCCCCCATCTCGTCGTGGCGCTCGGCTGTTCGGGCCTGTTCGGCGGGCACCTCGTACTGGTTGTCGCGACGTCTTCGGCGGTTTTCGTGACGGCGTTTCGCCCAGGCCATCCACATGCCCAACCCCAGCACGACACAGGCTACAGTCGGGAAGATCACTTTGGTTCCGTACGAGGCCCATCCCTGGTAGTGGTACGGCTCTGTATTAAAGGAAAAGAAGATAGATTAGGCCACACCAATTTAATTTGTAGTTTCTCGGATTTTTTCAGAAAAAAAATATAAAGCGACAGGGCGAAATGAAATTAAAAAAAAGGCCAAGGCACCCAATATGATAGCCGGAAATGTTACGACATAAGCCTTGGAGTCTACATACCAGGCTGCTTTGAAATCAAAGCAATAGATTTTGAACTTTTAATGAAATAAAGTTGCATTGCTACATTGAAAAATTTTAACAACTAGGAAGAAAAGGACTTTCTTCAAGCGTTGAGCATTTTGCAGTTGATTCAGAACCTAAAATATTTTTTTTTGCAAATCAGAAAAAAATAGACAGAGCAAATCCGAGAAACAAAAAATTAAATTGGTGTGGCCTTATATAGAAATGCAGTTTTTAGGGCTTGGAAACCAGATTTTTCAAAGTCAATATTCTAGTCACTTATCTACATATTAAGTTGAAACAACACTATCCCCAATGTATATTGACCCTCATGGAGCAAAAATGCCCAAAATTCTGATGAAAAACGGTTACTGGAAGGAACTGGATTGATTTTTAAGGTACCGCCCAGAAAATAAAGGACTAATATTGGGGCTAATTTCTGCAGTTTTAAATGCTTAAGTATGAAATGCTGATTCAAATGTGCTAATGTGGGATAGTATGTTTCAAAATAATACAGATTGCCTTAGTCAGAATATTTGCAGTCTTGCCGCCCTGAAATTGCATTAGATGCCTTTAATGAGTTTCCAAGATCTACTACTATTGATATCTTTTCACCTTTAGTGTAGCCGGGATTTCTTTCTCAGTTTTCTTTTTTTAAGAAACCTTTGACTGTTCACTCATTCTAGATCTCTTGACCAAGCAGATGTCGTACCAACAAAAATGCATGGAAATGCACTGTTTACTACATTAAGTCACACACAAGATAATGTACTATCCAAGCAGAGGTTTGGGTTTTGGGTTATTTTTGGTGTGTTTTTAGGATCTTTTTATCGGGGTTTCTTGTTTGCACTGCTGGAATTTTTTTCACCCCCCAAAAAAATTCCAGGGAAACAAATTCCAGAAAAAAAAAAAGAAACCCCGATAAAAGCCTGCCTACCTGCCTAAGTGCCCAGGCCAGGTACTGGCCCCTTGCTCCCCTCCGTCAGGTTCCTCCAACCAGTTCTGTCAAGAGCGATAGCCTCAGCTACACTTAGAGTAATCCCTGTGTCACTCTGGATCTGATCTTTCCACCTCTTGGGTGGTCTTCCCCGGGGTCTAGGGTTTTGGAAGTCCTGATGGTACGCCTTATAAACTAGGGTGTTTGTCGGTCTACGCATCACGTGCCCAAACCATCTGAGCCTTCTAGTGCGTATCCTGTCAGTGATGGTTTGTTCCGCCCCAAGTCTTGACCGGATTTCTGCATTTGGGATGCGGTCCCGCAGGGTGATGCAGAGTATCACTCTTAAGCATCTCATTTCAAAGGATAGCAGTAGAAGTTCGTCCGATTTTTTCAGGGTCCATGTTTCACATGCATATGTAGCAATTGGCAGGATAAGTGCTTGGAACAGCCGTACTTTGAGGTTTTTGCTAATATCCCTTCGGTTCCATACTGTTTTTCTGAGCCTACCAAATGCAGAGGCAGCAAGCGCTATCCTCCTCTTAATGTCGCTAGTCGTGCCAGGGACGACACTTCCAAGAAAGACAAATTCAGGGACCTTCTCAACTGCTGTGTCTTCTATCATGATGTTATCTGTTTCCTCACTAGTGATAACTTTACATTTTGCCGCATTGACCTTTAACCCCCATTTTTTACATGCAGACTCAAGTTCTGTTGTAGAGATTTGAAGTTTTCTAAATATAGCTGCTATAAGAGTGGTGTCATCAGCATATCTCTCCTCAGTAGAGAGGTTGTCATGTAGCTGAAAAGTGGGATCAAGACTTTTCAGCTCATCCATCACAAACTCAAGAAATATGTTGAAAGATTCCCGTGCAAAAAAAGAAACCCGATAAAAAAATCTAAAAACACGCCAAAAATAACCCAAAACCCAAACCTCTGCTTGGAGAATAAAGTTGACAGACATTCTTGTCAGTAGGTTGTCTGTAGATTGTTTATATATCAACAGATATACGGCGTTTCTGTTGCATTACATGTACATGTATATACAACCTCTACCGGTTCAGTGTAGCCTGGGTTCCAGACCTATTAGGCATCCAATGCGATTTCAGAGCAGCAGAACTGGAAATATTCTGAAAAAGGCAATCTTTATGATATTGAAACATACTGCTTCACATTAACACATGTCAATCAGTATTTCATACTTTGGGTATTTAAAACTGCAGAAACACGCCCCAAGATGAGTCCTTTATTTTATGGGTGGTACCCTAAAATCAGCCCAGGGCCCTTCCAGTAACCATTTTCCGTCAGACTTTTGGTCATTTTTTTCTCCATGAGGGTCAACATACATTGGGATAGTGTGGTGTCAGCTCAGTATGTAGATAAGTGGGTAGAATATTGACTTTGAAAGTTCGGATTTCCAAGCCTTAAAAACTGCATTGGATGCCTTTAGGCCACACAAAGTAAATTTTATGGATGCCGGCCGCGCGCGCATTGATTTCGGCCTGTTCCTAGAAAAAAGAAATTCCACTTCCTGTAACTATGACCAAAGAGTCACGACAGTGTTGCATATCGTCAGATTGACGTGAAACCCGTAACGCGAGAACAGGGCAGGACGACAACTGCTGTTACACCTGATTTATTGCTGTTTTGATTACGAATAAAAGACTTCTTGCTTGTTACACTGTGTCACCTCATTCAAATTGTGCCCTAACATTTGTCGTCTCTTAGTATATTTCTTATCTAGGCATCTTGTTTTTTAGGGCCCTTCTTGTTTTTTTTCGCCCTCTCGCATTAGATTTAGGGTCTCCAAAGGATGTCATCCATAAAATTTACTTGGTGTGGCCTTAAGTATTATAACTCCCGTAAATAGCTATTTGCGAAGAGGATGTAGGACTCGGGAGGTATAATATGTCTGGTAACCAGGCTAGGTTCAGTGACAAATTGTGAAATTGTCGACAAAATAACAAACATCAATTAACTACATCAACAGTTAAATGTAGCTCAACACAAATTGGGAATAATCAATCTAACACTGTTCGGAATATATAGTCTCAGGTTTCTTTTCTAGTCCTCTCAACCATTACGGAAACAAAAGACTGGCCTATTGTATTACCTGTGGTTGTATTCGTGCTTAAAGTTGTGGCGTTTGGTCCAGCAAACGTAGTTTCATCAACCCCACCTGGTAAACAGCTCACACCATCTAGGAAACCTGCAATTCAGAATTATAATTTTTTGTATATTTACTCTTTTAGTTTTAACGTCACACTACTACGATAAGTGTATAATATCTACAGTTGAATCTGATATGGTCATATGGCTGACTAGTATATTTACCAGTAGACGTTATGATTTGGTGGTACATATTTACAAATCGTATACGTAGTAGGAAAGAAACCACTACTAGTAAAGTAGCTGCATCTACTTTGCTGTAACAATTGTCCAAAAGCTCAACAAAAATACGTTAAACAACGACAGGATTCAAAACTACAAACTAGCACGTTGCACAGCCAATGAAAATACAGTTTTTGCCCACTTACCCAGCAAAAACGGCAAGATGATTACTGGTCTGTATATAAGCGATTTTAGTTGTCTCAGATCCATCTTTCTTTGAACGGGTATCAACGTTGGTTACAGTGTAAACTTCATCTGCATTCGCCGTATCACGTCTGGTGGTATGACTTTTAGGTGAGGGATCTATTGAAACATTAGCTAGCTCTGTTGTGTTGTGTGTAATGTGTCTATTGTACTGTGGTGAATGGAAGGTGCACTGTTGCGCCATGTATGTGTATAGATAGGCCAGTTCAAGTTGGCATTGCGTGTCGAGTCAGGCTATAGCATGGATTGGTCAATAAAGTGTTAATTCCTCGTCCCGAGGTGTATATGGTGAGATAATCCCTGGTCGGATGCGATAACTACGGAATAAACCACCAAGTGAGCGTAGCGAACGAGGTGGTTTATGAGCTGACAATGGATTATCTCACCATATACACCGAGGATAAGGCGGGGCATGAACGTTTATTATCATATAGCCTATCCAACTGACTCAATTATTTGTCACAAATTAAGTGCCACTGGGGTGTCAAAAATCATGTTTATTGTCTTTTTCTGTTAAATTCATTTACATCTTTTTGATTGTGTTGTATTTTCAAATAGATTATTCAAAATAAACTCCAATATGTTGCACAGAAAGAGACACCAGTATTCACTACAGTATCAGGAAGAAGACAGAGTTATTCTTTTCTGACTTTATTTTTCCACATTCACAAATTGTCTGCAATGGTAAGCATTACTCTTGTATATTTATTCAAAGCACAGTGACAGCAGACCGACCCTAATTGTCCATCACAATTAGCTTTTCAACCAATGATAGCATGGCAATTACCTGTGCGACCAATGACAGGCCACCTCCGTCAAAACGTAGAAATGCAAATATATTTGACGAATACGCAGGCACTCTGTCATTGGTCGCACAGGTAATTGCCATGCTATCATTGGTTGAAAAGCTAATTGTGGGCGGGGCTACGGGATCGGTCTATTGTGCCAGTGACATTAGAAAAAGAACAAAGTTCGGTATCCTGCAGCTTGCAAGCGTAATAGACAAATAGTCAGCTCAACATAGCACCAGTTAAGGTTAGCTCAAAAAAGTATTTTTGACAATGTGTATGTCACTATGCATCCAGGATACACATGTGTTACGTTAATGCAATGAGTTCTTGCATACAAACATTATTCGCATCATAAACTTTGTAAACAACAACATGTTTTTGCAAAATATCTTACATATACAATTGTGCAAAGACATTCAAGACCACGACCTGCATGGTCGATTTTACATGTATAATAAAAACGCCACAACAAAACATTAACTATAGCTGCAATGCCAGAGAACACTTTGACTAGCATTCATATGTTTAAACGTTTAACGCCCTTTGGGCCTGTGATTTTGTACGAATCACTTAAACATATTATCACGGGTAATGGTACACCCAGAAACTACGCTTCTCTATTCTGCTTCAACTTTTATTACCAGTGCACGTGCACATGTATGGCCGATAGAAAAAGACTCTATGGACCAGGTACCTCAGAAAGCTATGAAAAAAGTTTGAACTGCAATATCCCACACAAGAAATTGGACTAACCAAAATTTTCGACTGTACAACTCCAGTCTTTGTTAAGGAATGAGCAATCCACCACTTCCGTGACGTCACGCAGATAACACACGTGACTGCGCGAGCAGTGGGTCATAGGTCGCAGAAAGCCTGTGGCGCCCCCCAGCTCTGTTGAGGGATGGTTGCAATGCCCCGATGTAGATGGCCTCTTTAATCCCTCTTTAATTCGTACAGTCGAAAATTTGGGTGAGTCCAATTTCTTGTGGTGGATATTGCAGTTAAAACTTGTTTCATAATGACTTCTACCAACACAGATGAACTTTCAAAATAACCTCGAGCTCAGAGAGCTGTTAAGATAAATACTGATCCATAGAATGGATACCGACGACCTCTTGGAATCATCCTCTGTCATCTTCTGGAATTTCTATGGGGTAAAACTCGTCCATGAGCTCTTCGTTTGGGCTGGGCGACGGCTTGCGAAGTTCGTGGTAAACCGTGGAATCGTCAGGGTCGTCGTCGGCCAGTCTGATCGGCAGCCCCGACAACTGTTCCGTCATCTCCCCGCGACTGCTGGAGATGAAGCCGGGGTTCTGTAGGACCGTGGAGAGGTCCTCTGTCTCGGCGGGGCCGGGCCGCGGGACCTGGCCGTTAGGTCGCCCGGGGAGTCCGCGGCGACTTCGCCGCCACATCACAAGGATGGTAACGGCGGCGACAACCACCAACACCGACACCACGATCAGGATAATCATCCGGCTGGTGCTCTCTGCGTCGAGTGCTGTCAGCGGCCCTGTGTGTACGGAAAAAATACAGAACCTTTTTTTTGCCAAGTTTCAAAGAGCAAGAAACTAGACGGTACATATACAAGAATGTCAAGAACAGTGTATAATGATCTATAATGTTTCATTTGATCATGGAGACAACATCTAACAAACAAACAAACAAACAAACAAACAAACAACACTATGGCTCTCTCCCGCCCATTTTGTCTGTAGTCCGACGACGTATAGGCTCACCCTGGCAGGGCATGTTGTTCGTAGTAACGAACCAGCTGGTAGACTAATACAGTGGCTCCCTACTGGGAGACGTAGAGTGGGACGTCCTTATACTACACTTTTGTCCATGTTAGAGAGAGACACTGGTCTCGCAGGGACTGCATTAGTGTCTGCTATGAGGGATAGAACATACTGGAGTAACTTTATCAAGTGTACCTCACCGGATTTATAATCCGCAGGCATGATGATAATGATGAAAGTAACGTTGATACTTGTTGAGACATTATACAAAGAACAGTCCTGAGAGGAAGAAAGATACTCTCCAAGCACTCGACTCGAGGTTTGGTCTTTGGCTGATTTTTGGCGAGTTTGTACGCTTTTTGTGCTAGCCAAACAACCAAAAAGATACCAGTACAAAAAAGCCCGATAAAAAAGCCTAAAACACGCCAAAAATAAGCCAAGGCACAAACCTCTGCGTGTATGTAGAGTAGAAGAAAATGGTGTAGGTAACATTAAAGATGGGAGGATAACATCAATGGACAGGCACTGAGGCAATATGTGAAACGTTAAAAAAAAAAAGGAAAACCGTGAAAGATGGAGAAAACTGGTTGTCAGATCTTCTGCTGTGGTACCCCAAACGATTATACCGAGTGGTAGATGACAAGAGATGATATGTTGTTGTGTTTGTTTGTTTGTTTATTGTTTATTTAGCCAGGGAATAAAACACCCTGAAGGGTGCTTTTCAATGTACCCGGGGGGCAATTCCCAAACACAATAAAAATAATAACAATTTAACATAAAGTAATAACTTAACAAACTTATGTACAATCAAATTAAAATAAGTTAACTTAATGGTAAGCACAAACTTGAGTAATTGAAGAATAAGTGGTCTAAAATAGGCACACATCAAATAATTTCAAATCAATCATACAAAAGTCAAATAAATAATAAGTGAAGGGATGACTTTGCAAATAAATTATAGCTATTTATTAAGTAAAAGAGTGAATCTTTACAACACTTTAGCAAGAGGATACGCATGAGACACCAAATCCATAAGTATATGTAAATATTCACCTGAACTCGTTGAATTTGAAATAGTTGTATTTGGTGTGGATGCGTTGTTAACCGTCGTTACGTTGTCCACATATCTGGATACCGTGGCTAGTGGAGCTGTGGTCGTAGACGCCCTTGCAGATTGCCCCCTTACCTGCAAAACTGATAGCAAACTAGAAAGTTAACAATTGCAAAGCAAATGTATAATGTCAACCTTCGCATATGGTCTGCTGTGTTAATTCTTACTCAAACACGTTCATATATATGGTCAGGCAGGAGTCTAAATCCCTCCTGCTGTAAAATTGCAACATGATGTAACCCAACACCAGTTACCATGGTGACAGACGTCTGGTTCAGGTCATTGGCCTTATTTGTTTGGAGAAGAAGAAGAAGAAAATGAAGAAGAAACAGAAGGTTGAAATAAACATAATCAAAGACAGTTATTTAAACCGCTCATAAATTTTCATCTATTTGTTATATGTTGTTGTTCTTCGCTTCTATATCTACAACTGGTTCAAGTTAGAAACATTTCATTTCATTTATTGGGGATGCAACAAATGGCAAGTGGTAGCCAGGCAGTAATAAAACAAGGCTGGTAGCGACTACCACTGATACATACAGCATACTACAAATCATAACAATATACAAGACGTACGACAAAATATCAATATTATATCTAACATTAATAGAATATAACTACTAGTATTCTTTCTTGTTCACATTCATAGAGTGTAGATCAAACCACAATTGTTCTTGATTTATATGAGAAGTTTATTGCAAATTCATACCCGAAGGCTAATTGCAAGTTACAAACATAAAAGAACACTAGAGAGGCCGACATTTGCTTGGGAGCAAATACAGCATATTTCAGTCCATCTCCCTCCCACGCAAAAGTGGACTATTCCAAACTTACCCCAGTGTAAAAACTGGCAAAGATTCTCAAATAAATGAATTATATAGTAGCTATGTAATTGAGAACAAAGATGCAAGAGCAAGCACATTGAATATCGAAAGCTTTACTAGTCTTATTACAGGTATGCAAATACTAACAATGATGAGATTTGATACATTTTAAAGGTCTTAGGCACATAAAATTGAATGTGTGGGTCATTACGCACGACTTACGTGCAATGTGACTTTAGGTAACCCGCTATGGAACACATGTTCCATGGCCAACGGCAGATGGAACAGGCCATTCTTTAGATAGAACATGGAACGGGTATAGCACTTTTGGCCCTTTTTTTTGCTGAAAATAGCCATTAAAGTCCCCCAAATGAGTCATTTGGAAGTGGTGTATGCCAAATATGTGACTGCTATTCTGAAGACACATCTTCAAGGTACCCTTATACCGAATTTCAGATCATTTGGTTGTAAAACCAGGGCTCAGGATCCAAAAATCCATTTTTTGGCGAAAAATGCCCCAAAAAACCTTCATAAAAATTTTTCAAAGGCATGTATCAAAAAAATGAAAAAAAAACGCCTGGGGGTATTCGCTCACTCTACCTCCATGCCAAATTTCAAGTCATTTGGCTGAATGATGGCGGAGTTGAATCCCTTTGAGTGTTTGGCAGGAGAAGGAGAAGAAACATCAGAGAACACAATATATTTCATCCATACCATGGTATGGACTGAAATATAATTATTGGATCATGGAACAGAGTATAAAATAACTTCAAAATGTACATAACGAAATCTAATTGTCTAAATCTATTGCTATGTCTAAAGCCTCCATTCACCACCTCTTAGGAGCAAGTTCCACGCTGAAAGCCCAGAACAACATCACTATGGAATAAGCTACCTCGTGATTGTTTCCCTCATGAGTATAACCTTAAACTTTTCAAGTCTAAGGTCAACAAACATATGTCCTCACAGTAACCAAAAACATTTTGAGTGGCTTATGAGCCTTGTTTTGTGGTGACCTATAAAAGTAAATAAATAAAAAAAGCTATATCTGAAGGGTCCCCAGAATAATTCAACGGGCTTAAATCCCACTGTTCTGTATTGTTTTTCAGTGTTGGAAAAACAGCAATATTACAAGGGGAATGAGTAATTTTGAGGTATAAATGATTTTTTTTTTATATTCGAACATGTAATCACAAGACGTGGTGACGGCACACTCAACTTATATTAATTCCGCCACCAACACAGGGGACAATACAATACTCATTTTTCACCTGAGCGTCGTGTAAAGTGCCTTTCCCAAGGTGGCATATCAGGACTCGAACCCGAGACCTCTTGGTACCGAGTCGAGCACTCTGCCGCTACTCCACACGACCCCACGATTTTGTTGTTAATATATAACTGTTTGTACACCCACTTTATCAACAGTTTGTTCCTGTTTGCTAAGAATATCTCATGAGTTTCCTAACTACATGAAACAACTTCTAGAGACCCTTAATGCTACGCGTGGGTCTGTGTGTATTCTGTAAATGTTTACCATTTAGTGCTGGCAACGTGCTACAAGAGGGTGGTGATATACAATGTTCTTATTATCCATGTTTGTCTACGGTAAACACTTAAAAAATAATAAACACATCGTTGTTTATTAAACAGATGGAGCTGGAACGGTGGAAAACATTGATAGATTTACAATAAGTGAAGATAATTTTTAAACGTAAGAGCGCTTACTATTTGAGCGAGCATGAATAAGTTTGTTGTTATAATAACTGAACATGTCTGTGTTAGCACATGAATACATCTTGAACAAGTGTTCCATGGAAATTTTATACGTCGTTTGTGTGTGTGAGGGGGGGGGGGCAAGAAATACATATATCCACAAATTTGAACAACATAAGTATCTGAACACAAAAATACATGTATATCAAATTGTGGGTAATTCACGAACAGGAAAGCTGATAGGGGAGTCAAAATGCTTTTGAATTGATAAAGTGTCGGTGTTTTAAAAGAAATATTTCTACATTATACTAGACGAAGTATTATACACAATTCAATCTGATGCTCCGTAACCGTGGTACACTAGAGAAGTACATGTACTTGTGACGACCAAACATAACAGTGATTTAAAAATCTTACCGGCAAGTGCGTACATGTACACCAACAGGAAGCCTGAGCTAGCTGTTTGGAACATGAACATGGCTGCTCACTCTTTGCACGTCAGTTGAACTTCGGTCAACACTAGTGTTGTGGACCTTGGCGTTGGATTATGATGTGACCTTGTGCGACCTTCCATGGCCATCACGCGTGAGGGAGTTTCACAGCATGATCCGTGAATGTGTTTTGCTACTGTGGGAGGGTCAAAGTAAATCTGCCCCCCTCCCCACACCTTTGTTGGCACATACAATAGTAGCGAAGGCGACGGTTGTGGCGTCAGGGGTCAGTGAGAGTACTCTCTGCGTCGGTAAATATTGACATTGGCTGTTGTAGGGGCGCTAGAGTATACAGTGCAATTTTACGGAATACAGTACAATTTTACGGAATACAGTACAATCGTACAGTGCAATTTTAAGGAATACAATGCAATCGTATTAGTATACAGTGCAATTTTACTAGTAAAATTGCACTGTATACTAGCAAGGAGGTTCAAAAGAAACTTATAACTCCATGATACTAGTAAAATTGTACTGTATACTAATACGGTGACGATTGCACTGTATTCCGTAAAATTGTTCTGTATTCCGTAAAATTGCACCGTATTCCGTAAAATTGCACTGTATTCCGTAAAATTGCACTGTATTCCGCAAAATTGGTGTATTCACCAAAATTACACTGTGTTCTCTGGCACCCCTGTGTTGGCAGTTTCGCCGCTCACGTGTAGTAGTGTAGCGTGGTGGGGAGGGGGGCGGTTGTGACGCAGCAGGTGCTAATTTTTATTGGGCTACATTTATGGCGGGAAAAAGTTATCAAGAAGGAATCGTTATGACGAAAAAGACTAAAACTATGTTCCAGCACTAAACAATTTAGGAATTACGCAAATTTTTTGGCCAACTCCATCAGCCTTGTTCACGGAATGGACCCGTCTACTGCAGCTTCCGGGAGGTGACGTCAGAAACGCGTGATGGCAGGAGACGGTCATACGTGCCAGATAACCTGTGTCGCCCCCCGTCTTTGATCAGTGTTGGAAGGAATCATTCTGTACCAAATTGGGAAATTTGGGAAATTGGGAAGGAAAAAAATACTACATACGCTGGGCATTTGTATTTTTGTCAATGCCAGACACTTATAATTGAAGTTTATTGCAAATTCATGCCCGGGGGACGAATTGCAGATTACAAACAGAAAAGAACAATGAAACGTAGTATAATGGCTTTACACTGTGTACGTATAATCTAAAAGTACAAATATGGTTTCATGTCGGAAACAACCGAGCTACCCAATGTATATTTGTGTATCAGGTTTTCGAGAGGTAAATAAAAATGTAATTATTTGGCACATTTCGGGAAGTAGGTGCTACTCTACTTGATAGGAGTTTGTACGTATGTGTGAGTGTGTAGTGGGGAGGGGGGCAGCTAGATACATTCTAAGAAATAAATGTTATTTCCCAGAAACCCAGAATTCCAGATACTAGCAGTCATCATATCGGGATTTTTACTTGCACATTTTGACATCCTAAACTTAAGCTAGTTCTGCATTGAATACGGTCACTATTCAATTTTTACCTAATACTAGTAATTCAACGTGATATACTAGTAAAACAAATGTTTGAAAATTCTATGCGTTCAATATTTTCTATCTAAAAAAACACAGAAAGTCAAGAAGAGAATTTGAAAATGTTTACCACACGATTTGTTCGTTGGCGAAAAACATCCGCCTCATGACCATGCGGAACAAGAACTGAAAGACCATCTTTCGAAAACATCTTCAAACAAAGGACGCAGCAAACAAGAAGTCTTCCTACGGCCACAGCAAGTACATTTTATGGATGACATCCTCTACAGACTCCAAATCTAATGCGATAGGGCGAAAAAAACAAGGGGGCCAAAAAAAACAACAAGATGCCATTTTGAAATTTTGACATCATAAACCTTGAATGATATGAGAAGAAATGATACATGTAAGTTCATTGTCATCTATTACATCGTCCATTTGTCATTGAAACAACCTTGAAAAATAATCATTGTACAAATGGGTTTGATTCAGTGGGAACATATAAAAGGAATAAAAATACATCAAAGGAAAACACAAAACATTAAATCACTGTCAGAGGGCAACAATTTTTTTCCAAAATCGGGCAAAAAGTAATGCGCGCGCTGATGTCATCCATAAAAATTACTTGCTGTGGCCTAATGTATAAATATGAAGTATGAAGAGCCGTCAGACCACATTGTGACATTGTCTATGTACAGTTCACACACAGCTTCTTGTGTCACGGGAAGAATGTCAAAAAAGATGTTTCTCTTCAGTACAGCGATTTTCACATGGTGGCTGTCAGGTATGTACAGTTTTATATATATTCCAATGTAATCGCAAGACGTAGTGACGGCACACTCAAGTTTTTTCAACTTATATTAATGCCGCCACCAACACAGGGGACAAGACAATACTCATTTTCACCTAAGCGAAGTAAGGGAAGTCGTGTAAAGTGCCTTTTCCAAGGGCACAAGATCGGTGGCATGTCAGGACTCGAACCCGGGACCTCTTGGTTCCGAGTCTAGCACTCTGCCGCTACGCCACACGACCCCACAATGTACAGTTTAATGTAAGTTTATTGCAAATTCATGCCCGATGGCTAATTGCAAGAACATGATATAACAAAATAAACAGTAAAAATGATAATAAGTAATGCTAATGCTACTTTAGATTTAGTTATTGTTGGGTTTGATTTCTTTTCCGTGTGGAGTGGAGTATGAAATGGCCGACATTTTGCGAGATATATGAAATGGAAGGTGTTAAATAAATAGAAATGCAGTTTTTTTGTAGTCTGGGAAGATGAATAAAGATATAGGGAACATTTTGGTGGCCATTTAAAATAACTTATCTCTCTTGGTACTATAATGATTTAATATCATTTGAACAGTAATGTTTGGGAGTTTGTTTGTCTGTCTGTTTGTTTGTTTGTTTGTTTGTTTGTTCAGATTTGGCTTTTAGGTGACACTAAGTAGAAGGGTTTGAAATCTCTTGCGTCGGGAGAGATGGGGTGCTTTTTAACATACATAAACAACGACGTATTTTTGTTGAAACGTAGTACTAGTGTGTAAGTTACCCGTGTGCACAAGATTACTTCACTGGCAATGCATAATAATTATATAGTCACATAACGTTATATATTCATTCATTGTAACTCGCAGTGCTGTTAAAACAATTGTGTGGCAATCACTTCTGCACAATTCGAAAATTCTGTAGGCTTTCAACGTAAAAGACAGCACATTGCTTGGGCAACTAATTTGAATTTTTTTGAGAGGAAATAAGATTATAGAAAATATTCTTGGATGGGACGGTAAACAAGACAACAACATTACAACAACATTACACGTAAAAAGCGACGTCCTACCTCCACAAAATTGTCTAAAATATTTGTTGATTTTGCAAACATTTACCATACAGTTCTGCAAACCCCGGACAGAATGTCCCTTACCTGTTTGACAATGTGTGAATTGTCAAAATGTTCTTCATTCTTGGAAACTTGACCTCCTATAGTTCCCTCTATGTCGTCAAATGTACGTCAATACCAGCAAAGAAGTGTGTTTTTGTTTTTGTAGCAATGTTCTGCTTTTTGTTCATTTGTCATCACCCCCTATTACGCATATCCATGGTTCTGGTACCGCTTAGTTTTGTACGAAAAGGGGATCTCTAATTTGAATATAAAAAGCCAAGTTCCCCTTAATCCCTGACTTCTGCAAATGTCTTTTCACTTGAGTCTAGTGGGGAAAGTCGTGTAAAGAGCCTTTCCCAAGGGCACAAGATCGGTGGCATGTCAGGACTCGAACCCGGGACCTCTTGATTCCGAGTCGCGCACGCTGCCATTGCGCCACACGATCCAGTACAAATGCAGAACTGTCCGGTATCAGAACAGCATGTCCGGTATCAGTACGGTTGTTGAATAATGACATGTAAATATTTGTGCGGCCTCCATGTATACATGATATTTTATCTATGAGCAAAACGTTTTAGAATATAATCACCAATTGATTTTAGAATGTCTGGAATTTTATATTGACTGATTGTACCCGCCTTTCGTCTGTTATAATCCACGTGATTAAAATTTTCTATTAGGCCACAGCAAGTACATTTTATGGATGACATCCTTTGGAGATCCTAAATCTAATGCGAGAGGGCGAAAAAAAACAACAAGAAGGGCCCTAAAAAACAAGATGCCTAGATTAGAAATATACTAAGAGACGACAAATGTTAGGACACAACTTGAACTAGAAAGGCCAATATTTGCTTTGGAGCAAATACAGCGATGGGTTCACCACATTTTACGACATGGCAGGGAAAGAATGAGAAACACAAGGGAAAACAATGATTTACATTGATATAACTATAATATGAAGTAACATACAACTAAAACAACAGTTGGATAGCTATTCCCTACTTTATTGGTTAGGATCTTTAATTGCATAATGCAAACTGTTGATTTTCAAAATAAATAAAAAAACGTTCATGCCCCGCATTCCAATGCTGGAGCAGAAAAGCTTGAAATACCTACCAAAACACTTGAATAAAGACATACTGTCAGTATGGAAATGCTCTGTGCAGGTGTTAATCAAGTTAAATCCCAACAGCCAATCAGCAAGAAATGCTCTGTGCAGGTGGAAATGCTCTGTGCAGGTGTTAATCAAGTTAAATCCCAACAGCCAATCAGCAAGAAGTATAGAGGAAAGCTGCATGCCTATTGGTTGATGCCCTGCATTCCATTGTGATGACTCATGCCCAGACGTGGTAAACACGGCACACTAACACAGTAATACATTTGCTATAACACAGCCAAAAAACTCAAATAAAACCATTCTAAAAGCCTGTATCACAAAAATTTAAAAAACGCCTAGGGGTATTTGCCCACTGTACCTCCATACCAAATTTCAGGACCTTAGGCCCTAAAATGAAGAAGCTGAATCCATTTAAAAAATGGCAGGAGGAGAATGAGGAGGAGGAGAAGAAACATCAGAAAAAGCAATATGGGTGTGGTGAACCCATAATAAGGTGACACAGTGTAATACGCAAGAAGTCTTTTATTCATCATCAAAACAGCAATCAGGTGGAACAGCAGTTGTCATCCTGTCCTGTTTCTTTCGTCACATTTTGTGCCCTTTGCCCATTTCGCGTTACGGGTTTCAGGTCAATCTGACGATTTGCGGCACTGTCGTGACTTTTTGGTCATAGTTACAGGAAGCAGAATTTCTTGGGTTTTTTTCTAGGAACAGGCCAAAATCAATGCACGCGCGGACATCATCCATAATATTTACTTGGTGTGGCCTTATGTTGTCAATATGAGTCGTAGATGACATTGAATTGTTAAAGAACCACAATTCAGCCTATGTAAGGCTGCCAGTGTTTTTATTCTCGATAAACCATTTCATCGTCATCTCTTTCATCAGCTGTTGTTTGCTTCAATGAAAACTTCATCTTGGTCACCGACACCCACATGAACACCATTTACCAAGTAAACGTCACTTCCGGTCAAAAGACGTCACTTCCGGTCGGCAACGTATCGCGTCCGTTTGCCCTGGATTTCGACTACAAGAACGACTACATCTACTGGACTGGAAACGGCAAGATACTGCAGGCTCACAGGAACGGGACTGGGAAAAGGGAACTGCTAGACAACAACATTACAGGTACGAATGTGTTTTTATTCAAACATTTCATGACTAGACATGGTGACGGCACACTCAAGTTATATCAACTCATTTTATACCGCCACCAACACAGGACAAATACAGTACAGGACAATACTCATTTCACTTCAGTTAAGAGAGGAATGTCGTGTAAAGTTCCTTTCCCAATGGCACAAGATCGGTGGCATGTCAGGACTCGAACCCGGGACCTCTTGGTTCCGAGTCGAGCACTCTGCGTTTTTGAAGTAGGGATTAAACCAGTACAAAGTTAGCAATCTCCTTGGTGCTGAAAAGCCATCTCTTGCAAGTTTTTCCCTAAAAGTAGGTTGTTTCTTATCATCTGTGTTGGTAGTTACATGTTTAAAGCTAAAACTTCAGATCCAACGCAATGAAGTTCTGCAACTGCATAATGTTTACATTCGCGTATGGTCTGCTCTGTTAATTCTTAATAATATCTACTCCAAACATATTCACATACTAGTATATAGTGACAGGAGTCTAAATCCCTCCTGCTATAAAATTGCAACATGATGTAACCCAACACCAGTTACCATGGTGACAGACGTCTGGTTCAGGTCATTGACCTTTTTTGGTTTGGAGAAGAAGAAGAGGAAACGTAGTAAAAACAATATGTTTTCCTTCGGTAAACATAAATATGAAAGTACCGTAAGAGATTGCATCTAAATATTCTACCTTACGTTTGCAAAGCTGGAGGACTGGCTCTCGACCTAGCTGGTCATAACATCTTCTGGACCGACGTCGGAAGGAAGACCATCTCGGCAGCACGGATAGACGGGAGCTACCAGAAAACCCTCATCTCTGCGGACCTGGACCAGCCCCGAGTTATCGTTCTTCAGCCGTCTAACGGGTAAGCGTAGATGTCTTTGTCGTGGGTCCCAAACTACGTTAGCTATCAGTAATGTCGATAACGCTAGGTCGCTAGGATATACATGTACTAGATACGCCAAAAGATAGTTACTCAAGCAACTGGATATGATTTTAGAAACGGTCAGACGTTTCGGGTAGCATCCACTACCTTTCGTCAGTGACACTAGAGAGTTGTCAGAAAAGCAGGTTGATAAGTACGAACTATTGATTGATATGTACATAAGTGAAGACAAATTTACCGACGGTATATTAGATGTATTGTCGTATATTAGCAAAGAAGATCAGTGAAAAACATGGCCAGATAAAGATGATTTTAAAGCTGTCTACTACTGGCAAAGGTTTGAAATACGTATAGTTAGATTTCTTCTATTTTCTTAAGGCAAGGAATACGCCAGACTATACTCACAGGGGAGGGAGGAAAGAGCTGTATCGTACTAGTGACTTGTATTGTGTGACCCTTTACTATTAAAGAAGTATATGAACATGGATATATTTCACTGTCTTGTTGTGTTGTGTTGTGTTGCAGGTACATGTACTGGACAGATTGCGGTCACGAGTCCAAGATTGAACGGGCTGCCATGGACGGTAGCGGCCGGACAACGCTCGTCAACACACACGTGCTGAGACCCACCGGGCTAGCAATCGACTTTCAGGGTAACTTCTGCTTAAAAAACATTTAGTGATGTTATTGAGGATGATTTTTGGCGACGTCTCAGGTAGGAGCCTAATGGTACAGTATTGTTTGTAGTTCGAATATATTCTAGGAATTGTACAGGAATTTTGTCCACAGGAATGAAATGTCCAAAGGAATGTCTCCCAGCTCTGTTTGTTGACATGCCCTGGAAACCCTTGGAGAAAACTTCCTGTGACACCGTTGCTCGTTCACTATACACTCAGGGTAGGGTAAGGTACCAAGGCTTCCTCAAAATCATGAAATCATAAAATAATGGCAGTGCCATGTAAACAATAACCCTAACAGCAGCCACCGTCGCCGTGACAATGTATGTTTTCATTGCTTGTTACGTTTAATGTTTATAGCACACAGAATATAGCCTCTACCAGGCCTCGGGAAGCGACTGGAAAGAGTAGAGAGCCTGGTAGAGGCTTGGTAGAGGCTACACAGAATACACATTAGTTCTGATCCGTACTGAAAACTTAGCTGTTGTTTCGGACGAATGAATGAATGAGTGAATGAGTGAATGAGTGAATGAGTGAATGAGTGAATGAGTGAATGAGTGAATGAGTGAATGAGTGAATGAGTGAATGAGTGAATGAGTGAATGAGTGAGTGAATGAATGAATGAATGAATGCGTGAATGAATGAATGAATGAATGAATGATTCGTTTTTTTTCGAACACTAGAGAACGTGCTGTATTGGTGTGATGGCGGAGACCCGAACTACCGACTGGAGAGATCGGATCTTCTCGGCAATAATCGTCGGGTCGTCGTGTCGTACCCGAACACGCAGTTCCTCGGCGTTGCGGTCGACAATGGCAACATCTACTGGACGGCGCGAAATTTGATAAAGTTGGCCAGGTGAGTGTTTCGTCAGGCAAAAAAAGCATACTCGAGTACAAACTTTCTAGTTGTGGGTTCGTGGGGTCTTGTGGCGTAGCGGCAGAGTGATCGACTCGGAACCAAGAGGTCCTGGGTTCGAGTCCTGACATGCCACCGATCTAGTGCCCTTGGGAAAGGCACTTTACACGACTTTCTTCACTTTGCTCAGGTGAAAAATGAGCATTGTAGTGTCCCCTGTGTTGGTGGCGGCATTAATATAGGTTGAAAAAACTTGAGTGTGCCGTCACCACGTCTTGTGATTATACGTTGGAATATATATATATATATATAAAAATTCTAGTTTCGTACAAAAATGATAAAATAACGCTAAGACAAAGAAGTCCTTCTCAAATCATCGCCATTCTTTGCAAAACTCATTGGAATTGTTGGTATTTCTTATCTTTGATCTTAAAGGCGACGATTTAAGACGGGAAACAAGTTCAACGATTCTTTTGTGATTTTTTGTGTTCTATACAGAACATCAGAGGCAAATACTGGCCTTCGAGTTGCCATAGGGAGTGGGTACGGTGAACTGAACGGCATTCATCTACACAAAGATGGCGTCGCCTCTGACGTCACCAACGGTACTTCTTCTATTTGACTGTTTGTCATTTAGGAACAAACCTTTGTTAGTTAGAATATGTTTCGTTAGTAAAACAAGCCCTTTTATGTTTAACAGATGGCCTGACGGTAACATAGACCCAGATTTGAATTAAGAGAAGTACCTAGAAGTTGGTATCGTCCACCGTCTCGGCTGGGTGTCAACGATATCTAGTGGATAGTACATCACTATCCATAGATAGTAGTCACTTTTGCACTGTATAAAAGTTTAGATATAAAATACAGTGCCTGTTGTGCGCACTAATCCCGACGTACCTGCCCCCGGTAGTGGAAACAGCCTACAACCTTCGCCACCGTGTAGGACTGAAACCACCTGTTAGCATGTCTAACAGACACTCATTTATCCCTAGAACATTGTCGTTGATGTGATGCCCGCTAAACCCTGTGTTTACGTTGATATTGTTGTTGTTCACAGATAAATATTTTGATATCCCTGTATAATGCTTTATCGTTCTATCGCTGATGATATTTTGAACTGTTTTATAAATGTACTGTAAAATCAGCGCAATTTAGTCTTGTTGACTACAAAGTTGATTGTACAATAAAGTTTGAAGGTTTGAAAGTTACGTCACCATTTCGCAGCTTGTTCTTCTTCCAATGGCGGATGCCACCATCTGTGCCTGGCTCTTCCCGGAGGGAGGAGGTGTGCTTGTCGTGACGGCTGGGTCCTCCAGGAGGATGAATCTACCTGCTCTCCTCCCGGTGAGTGTAAAGGTGGAATAAAGCATCAGGCATCAACTTATCAGAGAACTTAACAAAGCTATCTATGTTCAACTCTGAATAGATTATGGTTTTGTTTAGGCCATGTTGATTTGATTATATGGATGGCATCCTCCGGGAACCCTAAAATTGAGGCGAGCATGCGAATTAAAAAATTTGGCGAAAAAAGTTGTCTTCATTGTCTAGGCAGTCATGAAGGTTGAGCAAATGACTGTACACAGAGTAATATTCTATTGGCATGGTGAATAATAGATTCTTCATTTTCATTCCCTCACATTTTCTTCTTGACCTTTGGGATGGATTTTGGCATTCTGTGACATAAGTATCGTTTTATGATACGGCATATATTTTCTTATTTTGCAGCTACTTTGTACGATTTACAGTATGGTCAAAAACGTCTTTTTTTGAAGCGGACATTTGGAAAATTATGTGCGCGCGGATGTCATCCATAAAATCAAATCAACATGGCCTTAATCATTCTTTTCAAGGCTTGGCTTTCATATACAATGATGACATAGAGAGACAATTTGGTCATGCGTTGTCTTGTTTTTCTGTTGCTCGCAGATGTCCGTTTGGTTGGTGGGAGCAGTCACTACGAGGGGAGGGTAGAAGTTCAGCGTTACCATCAATGGAAGACAGTCTGCGATGATAACTGGGACATCGACAACGCACGTGTGGTGTGTCGGCAGATGGGGTACCCTGACGCCATGGAGGCAAAAAGTGAAGCGTATTTTGGCCAGGGGTTGGGCGGGAGGGACACCATCGGGCTAGACGAAGTGGATTGTACCGGAAATGAAGCTAATTTATTTGATTGCACACATAGAGGTTGGGGTGTCAGCGACTGTGGACACCAAGAGGACGCTGGAGTTGTTTGTCAGTTGGGTACGTCAACTGAACTTCTATTCTATAGGCTTTGACTGTAAAGTAAGACTTATCAAAGACATATAATGTCTTTGAGCAACATTTTGCGGTGTACAAGACCAAAGACATATAATGTCTTTGGTCTTGTACACCACAAAATGTTGCTCTTCATTGTTATACCTCAAAACATTCCTCACAATAATGAATGTTTTACTGCCTCCTTTAACCCACCAACATGGCGGACACTAAATTTGATTACGTCATAGTCACGTGAGTGCAAATTTCTGTAGATGTCCGTCTAGTGCGAGGAGGCTCTGCGTACCAGGGGAGAGTCGAGGTCCTGCACGGCGGAGTTTGGGGTACTGTTTGCGACCGCGGCTGGGACCTAAGAGACGCCGACGTCGTCTGCCGTCAGCTCGGGTACCCGGAGGCGGCGACGGCTGAAACAGGCGCGGCGTTCGGCGAGGGGACGGGGCTGATCTGGGTAGACGACGCGACGTGCTCCGGGTACGAGACCAGCCTGACCAAATGTGGCCACGCGGGGTGGAACACGAGCAGCTGCGATCACAGTCAGGATGCTGGTGTCGTATGCCAGTTGCTAGGTAACTTCTGTTAGTTGCTAGGTAACGCCTTTCAGTTGCTTGGTAACGCTGTCAGTTGCTAGGTAACGACCGTCATCTGTCAATTGCTAGGTAACGCCTGTCAGTTGCTAGGTAACGCTGTCAGTTGCTAGGTAACGACCCCCAGTTGCTAGGCAACGACCGTCAGTTGCTAGGTAATATCTGTCAGTTGTTAGGTTAGAGCTGTCAGTTGCTAGGTAACGCCTGTCAGTTGCTAGGTAACGCCTGTCAGTTGCTAGGTAAGGATATTCCAAGAGGTAGTCTGATCACATTTAGACTAGATTCTTAGGATACTGAATGTATTTGGTGTTGATCAATTGAATCTATGAACATGAATTTGTGCATCAGATTAATTTGCATAACTTTCTCGTTATTAGCTGTGCGTCTTGTCGGCGGAAGCGCTCCTAGCGAGGGACGGGTGGAAGTGCTCCACCAGGGCAAATGGGGGACCGTCTGCGACGACCAGTGGGACCTGATGGACGCCCGCGTCGTCTGCCGTCACCTTGGTTACCCGGACGCAGTTTCGGCATTGCCATCGGCTCACTTCGGAGAGGGTTCGGGGCCCGTCTGGCTGGACAATCTGGTCTGCGAGGGAAACGAAAGTGGACTGTCGGAGTGCGGTCACAACGGGCTGGGCGTGGAGAACTGTGAGCACAGCGAGGACGCAGGAGTAGTATGTGCGCCATCTAGCGAGCCGACAACAGTGACAACTGCGGGTGAATCATCAACAGTGACAACTCTGGGTAAATAATTGAACTCTTTCTTGGAAAACTGATCACTGTTTCTTGTGAAGTCGCTCGGACCAAAAAAAATTACAGGGCAAACATAAAGACATTGGCAAATATGGTTAATGAGTTTTAATTTCCCCCTTTTCTTTTTGTTTTCCAGGCGTTGTCACGGATAGTACAGACATGGGTGGAGGGACCACAGGCAAGTTTAAGAGATTTAAAGCCTTTGGTGCGGGATTCTTGTTTTAGTTGCGACGTTTTAGCGCCGCCTTGCGGTTTTTTACTAGCATTTCACTTGCTTTTTGTTAACTACAGGTGCTGTCGCGGACGACACAAACATAGGCGAAGGAAGCACAGGCAAGTTTGAGGCACTTAAACTAAAGATTTTGGTGCTTATGGATTTTTTTGTATCAGTTGCGAGCTTTGACCGCCGCCTTGCGGTTTACAGTTGCATTTCACTAGCTTTGTGTTAACTTCACAGATGCTGACGCGGACGGCACAAACACAGGCGGAGGAAACCCAGGTAAGTTTAGGGCACTTTTAAAAAGCCTTTTGGCGCCACCTTACGGTTTTTACTTGCATTTCCAAGAAACTCATGATCATGGTCATTTGCACGACTATATAGCTAGTTTTTGGCATTCAAGTTTGCACCAGTGGTTAACCCAACTACTTGTCTGCTCTCTGCATTTTGAAGTGACAGGTCGACGATGTGGATTTTTTTTCCAGTTCCTGACAAACAGACAGGCGTAAACTCGTCCAGCACAACCGCTTTTATCATAGCAACCACACTCTCTGCGGCCTTCGCTCTTATCGGAGTGGTGACGCTTGTCTTGAGCTTCTGCGTCTTAAGGCGCAGGAAGGCCGCTAAGGAGAAGAGACTTCTTCAGCGTGCCACTTCCAACGACTACAAGACCACCAACCCTGCTTTCTGTTTCGACGACAACCCCGTCTACTGCACTGGGGACGAGAACCCCTACGACGTCGTCCGAGACCGACCGAATCCGCGCGATGTGGTCCGACGACGCCGATCGACTCCACACGGCGACTGCCGAGAGCCACCGACTTCTCGCGACCACCGAGAGCCACCGACTTCTCGCGACCAGTCCCAAGACCGCCCGACTCCGTCCGACAAGGCACGAGACCTACCGACTCCACCCGGCGAGGTGCGAGACACATCGACTCCGGCGATCTCCTCTGGGCCGTACCAACACCTGCAGGTGACCGGTGGCGTGGACCCGACGGCCCCGCCAAAGCCCATGGAATCGTCCGACCTGTACGCCAGGCCTGTAAAGCAGGACCTGACAGAAGACGAGAAGAGTAATGTGTACGTAGACATGAGCGCCAAGTCTAAAGTGTACGAAAACTCAGTGTCTATTTAAGATTTTAAAGGCATCCAACGCAGCGGACCTTTTGTGTTTAGAAATAACGATCTTCCTCTACCAACCCCATAATGGAATGGGATCAAATAACGTTACATTGAGGGATTGTTCATTATAACTTCAGCGGGAGGAGGAAAGCTTGGACATGCGTCAGGTTATTTCATACGGCCACACCAAGTAATTGTTATGGATGATGTCCACTGGAGACCTTAAATTTAATGCGAAAGCGCGATAAAAACATTAAGGGCCGAGAAAACAAGATGCCTATATTTGGAATATACTATTATAAACTGTAGAAATACAAGTGTTAGGACACAAATTGAATTAAAAAAACACAGTGTAACAAGTAACAAGTTTTTCTATTTGTCATAAAAATGAATCAACAAAACAGCAGTAGTCGCCCTGTTCTGATTCTTTCCTTTTGTCACATCTTTTCTTATTATATTTTGCGACACTGTCGTGACAGTTTCATTATAGTACAGTAAGCAGAATCTCTTGTAACAGTTTATTTTTCAGTAACAGTCCAAAATCAAATAACTTAGGGGGGCCTAACACGGGTGACGGCGCGTCTGTAAAATCTGTGGCGAACCCTTTCATGGTGCTCCGTAGCATAAAATGGAGTACAGAGATTCTTTTGTACTTTATACCAAATTGATTATTAAAAATAGTAAAGAATGTCACATGTTCATTTCTCTAGAACAATGAACCTATGACGAAGACACGAGATCTCCGACCTCTAGTTCCATAATGGTAACTTCCTGGAATTTCATACTTGGGGTATTTAAAAGTTAAGTGAAGGTGAACATCATTAAACATAACTTATTCAAATAAGGACCTCATTTGCATATATATATAATTTATGATGAAATGATAGAATGGCTTTCTTTGTTAAGATAAGGATGTCTTTTGGTGGTGAATATGATCAACTGATATAATTCATGCAAATGAGGATCATATTTGCATAATCAGGAGGAATAATCTTTACTTTGTCAGTCATAAAGATTAACATCATTTGGCGAAGGTATGAAATCGTGGAACTCTAGTTTGTCTATAGGTTAATCCGCTTGTAAAGTCCTCATCAGTACGAAAGACCAAAGGTAGAAGTTCGACAAGGCTTCATTGGGTCATTTTTTACCGTTCAAAGCCCATTTTTCACCGTTCTTCATCTTGTACCTTTGGTCTTTCGTATATCAGAAACCCACAGGAAATCCTCCCTTCCGCGAGTCGCTGGCCGCGCTGATGACGTCACCTTTCCTGGCCACGCTATTGACACAGGCGGAGGATGTCACGTTAGTCACGTGTTTCTTCTGCCGTAGACCCTCCAGGACGGCCTAGTCGTGAGTGTGGAAAATAATAATAATGAGTATAATAAAATACCTTTATTGTACATTCATGCCACGACGGGCTAGGTACAGGTCAAGACTTAACAGACACATAACAGAAGTATGTAGAATAGTGGAAACAAAAGATACACTGCTACCCTGGGTGCCAAACTAGTATCGGGCCGTTAGACGTTTTCCCTTGGCAGCCAAGAGCCCTTCGCCCGCCCATCTAAATTACCGCTACGAAGGGGTTGAGCCCGATGGGTTTGTCCGGCCCTTTTCTGACGTCACACGTGGGAAAAATCACGTGTCCACAGCATTTGGGTCAGATAGCTGAGGAAGACTGAGTGATTCATTCGAAAATTCCGATGAGTGAAATTTGTGAGTTGGAGAACAGTTTAAAATTTTTCATAAACGTGTGCTTGGAGAGCACAGTGTGCTAGTATACTCACCTTTGGCTGGAACGGCCTACTTTTTTCCGTTTGCAGGCGATATGGTAGGAGCTGGTGGTGCAGCCGGGGTGTCTGCACGGCAGGCCCGATGTCCAGCCCGAACCACAGGTGCTGCATCAGGACCTGGGAGATCACGAGACCGTTATGTTAGACCTTGTTCATATGAAGTCAGTGAAGGCGCTTTACATGTGGTTTCCCCCGAAGCCGGTTTCAAGTGGCTCCCTCTGAACGCTCCAAGTCACATTGAAAGCGTCTCGATCCCAAACCACTTCTAGAGGTGGTTTCGAATCGGTCCGCATCGCGGCAACTTAAAGAGCAATAATTGTCAAATAATGTGTTCACCGCCTCTGGCGGGACCACGTCGGCATTCGGCCGAGATACGCTGGGAGGGGGGCATCAGCAATTAGGTCGTTGACCTCTGACATTAATAACACGCTACCTTGCGTGTTTTTATCAAACAACAATAAATGTAGTTTCGGAGAATCGTGATCGGGCACGGTTTGAAAGGAATGTATGGCACGTGGATCAGACATGAGGAATGCGAGTTACCCGAATCGCGGTTCAGGTGGTTTCATATGAACAAGGCCATACTTCATGATTTCGAATAGACTGATCCTGAAGCCCCGCCCACTTCCGTCAAAACATAGGAATGCAAATATTTGACGAACATGTTCTCTCATTGGTCGAACCGCTAATTTCCCTTCTCTCATTGGTTGAACTTCTAATTGTGATGGACATTTGGGATCGGTCTAATGATACACAGTTCAGGGATCAAAATACTTTTTTTCTCGGGTACCTGAGCCAAAAGCTAGGTTGTAGCATGGCCGAGAAAAAACCTAGGGAGGACTTTGTCGGATCAAGAATATTCGAATCTGACTTTCGAATAGGTTGATTGGACGAGGGGTATGGTGACGTTTGCCTTACGTAAGCCGTTGCCGTGGTGATCTTCGTGCCGCCGGACGCACCCGTCACCAGTCTGACGTCACCGTTCCCATCCACCACCACGGTCGGGGTCATGGAAGACAGGGGCCGTTTCCCGGGTCTGATGAAGTTAGCTGGCAGAAAAAGTGTCGATACAGAGTAAAGCCTTTGGGCATCATGTTGCAAATCTACGTAACGAATTACAGTGTCGTAGCAAGCCAAAAACATTGTCTGATTCTGTAGATCATAAAAAAATGAAGAAAAAAAAAAACAGTACGCACCGGGAGAAGGGGGAACTCCGAAAAAGTTGATGATGTTCGGGGAGGAGAAATCGTCCATCAGGTTGTTGAGTATCACCCCTGTCGAATTGGACCGTAACTTGGAGCCGAAACTGTTAGATGATGCATCAGAGTTTGTTAAATACGTGCTGAGACACGTGAACACTTTCAGATACATTCTCATAATTGATTCGTATGACCGTGTTCTTTTTTTTAAAATATATATTCCAACATGTAGTCACAAGACGTGGTGATGGCATACTCAAGTGTGCCATCACCACTACTGTCCGGTGTCCGGTCCCCTGTATAATGGTACGGTCCGCGATATCCATTTCTAATAGCCAACCACGTTTGAGGTTACGGCCAGATAACCAATGGCAAAATGGAGCGTTTTGATTGGTCGGCGTCTTCTGGCTATATGATAATGTTTAAGGACTCACCTCGTGTTAATGGTGCTGGTAACCGACACGGCGTCGCCATTTGGCCCTAGAACAGACACGTGTGACGTCCCGCCGGCTTCAGGCAGGACAAAAGACGGGTCGTAATACCTGCAGGGACAGGACACAGCGTAGCTTGCATCACGCAATATATGTATATGGTCAGACAGGAGTCTAAATCCCTCCTGCTATGAAATTGCAACATTATAGTTACCATGGTGACAGACCCAACATTGGTTCAGGTCAGAGATCACTGTTTGGACAAGAGGAAGAAGAAGAAACTGGGCAAAAACAATATGTTTACCATGATATGCTATTGTGAGCAATTGCCACTGAAAGTGTACATTATATATAGTTTACGAATTCAGTGGTTAAGCAATAACTCACGGCTGCCAAGTGTTCTCATTAAAAATGAAGTAGATGTCGATGGATTATGAGTCTTGTCCATCAAGCTTTAATTAAGGGTTAATGACCCGCCCCGAGGTGAATATGGTGTGATAAAGCCTTGTCAATTGCTATAACCACCGAATGAAGCCATCGAGTGAGCGCAGCGAACGAGGTGGCTTTATTCGGTGGTTATAGTAACTGA